AGAGAGAGACTTTATGTCTTTGTTGTAAATGTCTGTAACATGTCTGTAGATTTTATTTTACTTCTATTTTTTGTTTTGTTCCATGTTAATTTTATTATTTTTATTTGCTTTGGCAACACTGATTGTACCTATCGGTCATGCTAATAAAGCACCTTGAATTGAATTGAATTGAATTGACACAAGGCCGAATTCGTGTTTGCAAACGCAAGGGAAAAAAAAGGCGCTTTCAACACGAAACCAGCTAACTTGCACATCGCGTTATGGAGCCGGTACGCGAAAAGCTTAACGGGATGTCCTCCAAAACCGCCACAACAGTTTATACGTGATTAAAAATGAGTATCAGAAAATAACTACACTTGAATATAATTACAGCTTAAATATAATTCAAAATATTCTGCCCAAAGAGGCACTGAACGGATTAGGTATGGCCAGTATCCGTGCTGTCAAGGGCGCCTTAGTCCTAAATACACACTTTGAGAACATCAATGCGTATTGCAAGAGAGAAATGCTCATTTGGAAAATAATGCACACAGATATTTTTAAAAACTCGTGTCAGCTCCTTTGAAGCGAAAGTTGCCAGATGCAGGCAACGTCTCCGCGCTTTTCAATCGGGGTTAAAAAGCAGAACCCTTCTTTACAGCGGTGCCAAAAATTCAAATGTCCTGCGCGATTTAATTTTTTTTTTTAATATAGAGAGAGTCCGGAAAAAAAAAAAAGAAACGGCAACTCCTTTTCGCTGCTTTGCGAGTTAAGTCCATTTTTTGAACAGCCCGGTAGCGCCGTCATTTTTGGGGGTTTTCTAAAAAAAAGCCCGAGTACTAAACACTTCGTAACGTAGGCCACAGCAAACCCCCGCAAAACTAAAAAAAAAAAAACAAACATTTCAAACAAACAAGACCTATTCTCTTGACACATTTCTCTCTTTTTTTTAACCCACATAGACTAAGATCTTAGATGGAACTAAAACGTAAGAAAAATTGCTGCACAGTTTGATTTTTTTTTGGTTTAACCACCAAAAGAAGAGGAAAAAAGCACAGGGCTCGCGGCTCGAAAATGGAGGCTGGCGGAAGCCATTGAGGCGCTTTAGCTGGGAGAAGCGTCCTTACCTGGCCGCGGTATCCAGCGTCTGTTCTAGCATGTCCATGTGGGGACCTGGGGTTTGTATTTAAAATGTGAATTTCAGAGAGATGGAGATGGAAGTTTTGATCACGGGGACAAACACACGGGTCATGTGAGATCCCCTTTCCAGGACACGTGAGGAGAGATCAGGCTTGGAGAAAAATGGAGAGCGCTGTGTCTCTCTCTCTCCCTCTCCCTCCCTTTCTCTCTCTCTCTGCGTGTCTCTCTTTCCGTCCCTCCCTCCCGTTGCTGGCGCCCGAGTGGGCTGTGCGCTGCGCTGGCTGGCTACTACCACAGGCCGCCCGCTTAGTGCGAGTTGCAGAGCCGCTGCTTTTTTTTTTTCCCTGACTCTGGTCTCTTGTCTTCTCCCTCTCCGATCCCCGCCGGCCCTTTTTTCTCTGTCTCCCCCCTCCTCCTCCTCCTCCTCCTCCTCCCTCTCGGCTCCGCTCCTCCTCGGTAAGCCCGGGCGCCTTGTTTTGCGTATCAATCCGCTGCTGTGGGCACGACGTCGCCGCTGACAAAATATGGACTGGAACGGCGTATTGCAAGCGCCGCCACCGAAAAGGTGCACAGTTTATGTCGTGGCGTCTGTGCTCTTTTTTTTATTTTGGCTTCTTCCCCCCGCCGCATCTTAAAAAAAGAAATCGCCCGTGTTGTGGAGACTCGGTGCAGCGCGATGCCGGGTGTCTCTGAGGAGAGGATCGCTACCTGATTCAGTTTGAATGCCCTGACTTTAGACGGAAGCGAGGTGGAACTGCAAATCTGCAGATACTTCTGAACCTGTATGTATCCCGGGCACTGCGTTACTGTGGGGTGGTCTGTAATTGCATTGTCGATGTCTGTTATCACAGGTTTTTAGTTGGCACTGTCTTTGCTGTATCAAAAGCGGAGTTGGGCGATAGCGGGCAGTGCGGTCGTGTAAGTATCATAGATGTTGTGTATTTGTTCTTGTTTTCAGTTTAACTGGAAATGCCTTTAGATGTCTTAATTAGACACGGGGTGCTGAGGGCTTAGTGATTAAATACATACTTTTATTTCGCGTCATCCACTTTCTCAACGGTGTCATGAGCTGATCGTGAATGGGTGTGAAGTCCATTTCAGACTCAGGACGGTTTGTTCTGTTTTAACATAGCTAAACCTCCATTTATAAGGTAAGTCGGACTGATAAAAATCGCTTTGCGGTGAAGCGTCAAATGGTGCCTTCTGGGCAAGATGTTGGGAGGCCTGATTAGTTAAAAGTTTACGTGCGGAGTGGAGACAATTCATTTGTAGGAAGCTGACTGAGGAATTGAGAGTTCTCTTAAATGCCCTGTTATCCTCAGTGACATAATGTCTAGGTAGACACCTGACAGTTATTTTCTCTCTAAATGCCCCCTAATCTGTGTCATCTATTTAGTTCTGCACTTTTCCCATGAAAGCACTTTATACCTGGCTAATGTCTTAGGTTTGAGGTAATGGGCAGATCTGACTTTGACTGTCAAAATCTAAGTGCTGTGCATGCCACGCACTAGAGTGTGTTTTTCTGGACTGGTGTTTTCAATGTTTATCTGCTGAACATTTTATTTGTAATGCAGCTATATTTCAGCTGCACATTGAACAGCACCAAATTTAAAAAACAAATAACTAAAGGACTCCTATTGCTCTGTGACTTTAATTTTTTTAAAGACATGCCTGTATGATCTACTTCTCTGTCCCGATATTGTTCTTGTTTTCTGTGTGCTTGTTTCTCACTGGCTCAGGGTTCTCTTTTTGTATCATGGTAACAAGAATCAAACCCTTATATTCCAGTTGAGCTGTAATGCGATTTGGAGGCACATCCAATATTTTTCATTTGTCTCTCTGTGAACTGGGTTCATATCCAAGACTGAAAGAATATTGTAACGCTTACGGCCGACAGGCACTGTGTAAGAGCCGGCGTACCAGAGCGGGTGACGTCACCGCCCTTCCCTGTGATAGCAGGACCACAGCTACTGGGCTGTGGAGAGATCTCTCTTTGGCTCACGGGGCTAGGTCGCTGCAGAGAGACGCGGAAGTCCCGGGTTCGAGCCCCGGACGGTGCAGGGGCCGACCTGATGCGGCAAGGGCGCCCGCCCGAGCCCCCGTTGCGTTACAATATATAACCCTGCCTGCAACCCTTTAGGAAATAGCATGGATTTGTTCTGTACGATACAGACAGCATTGCTTCACACTGCAGAACTGGTGTGATCGAACATGAAAGTGCTATCATTAAAACAAGAGTGTCATTCATTGAACCTCAGAGAAGTTACAGTGCAGAAGAAGCCACATTTAGTTGCTAAACTATATAGTTTGTGGTTGCTGAAGCTTTTAGTAATCTATCTGGTCAGCTAAAAGTTAGTTCAGGTGGGTAGCTGCGTCAGCATGCGTTGGCTGCAAAGGGAACAAGTAACAGGTTTATTCCATGCTGAAAAATGAAGAAAGAAAACACAAAGTTTCGGCCGTGGAGCCCTCTTCAGGTGTGAGGGCCCGAGCTGGCATAAAATCTGAATCACACGATAATTCAGAAGCGAGGTGTTTTCATTTTCTCCCCAAGTCTCATCATATGTGGGTGATCAAATACTTCATCTCTTTGCTAAAATTGTTGATGCATTTGTAACGTTTAATTACCTGGCGGGCACTACACAGAAAACAATAACTGTGATGAACCTTCTGTTTTAGAATTGGCTTTCTTTTGGTCGTTTTCCCACTGTACTGCATTGATTCTGTTAAAAAAAAAAGACTTTCATCAAGCGATCACGTTGTCACTCAGCTGACAGCAGGATCCAATCCGGGTTTTCGCAAGAGCCACCTGACAGTCGAGAGTCTCGCCGGAAGAGGAGAAAGGAGAAGAAGCAGGAAGGACGAGTTAAAAACAGATCCTCTGCTCACACCGTTATGTACATGACTCGGTAGAAATTCTTTATATATGGAGGATTAAGCCTGCTAAAACCTACACACTCCATCCCAAGAGCAATAACTGTTATTCAGTTTGTGAAATATTGTATTTGGTTCATCTTTTACCTGAAAACAAGCTGTTTTTCTTTACCGCGGAAGCGCCGTGCTTCGGTTAGTAACACCCGGGACTAGATTTTTTTTTTAAAACAATGTATCTGAAAGTTTACAGGTGTTTTTTATTTTAACCCCATGCGGCGATAGTAAAAATATGTGAGCTGGTCTACACTAAAACATTCAATTTTTTTTGAGGAGAACTAATGTTGCATAACCGTTCAATTGTTCGTTTGTAAGTGCACTATGGGAAATGTAGTTTTGAACGAAGGTAAAATTCAATATAAAACAAGGTACGGTCAGATTCATTATTGTCTTTATATTCTTTGCAAATGATTTATGAAAGGGGAGGGCTAAAACTGTGAATACCTATATCAAATAGTTTTGTAAATTGTTATGTTGTATTTGCACAAAAGCAGTGCATTAAGAATAAACGACACAAGAATGTCACCACCTGTGTTGTTAATTTCCATATAGTACGGTAAAGCAATCCTATAATTAAGTGAAGATACTCGAGTTCATGGTAATAATGCCTGATGTTCCCGTAAGATGTAATATAACTTCCGCCTTGAACAAGACTAATTAAAATTCGTTTTTCGAGTATTTAGAGATTGTGTTGATGAGTGAATTCAGTTTCGGTTGAATTCTTTATGTTTTAAAAAATGCAAACTCTTTAATCTATTAAAATGTTATTTTTTTGTATTTTTATTTACCTGCCAGGATAATGTATCTCTACAAATACACAAAAAAAAATCAACATTTGTGCTTACTATTTTGGAGTGAATTAAAATATGTTTATTGGCGTTTGATAATCCACAGTTCTCTTATTTATGATATTTTTACATCATCCACCACACAAAGCTTATAAATTTTCCTGAAAAGGTAAAATTCTTTGAATTGTTGGTCATTGAGTTATAGTTACATATTGTTTTGGTTGAGTACTGCTTGTATACGGTATGATATAAGGTGTGATCTGGACTTTAATCCAAAACCCAACAGCTGTGAAGCAGGACTACTAACCATCACATTACCTACAGTATGTTACCAGGGTGAAAAAAAAATGTTATAATGTTTCCTTGTGGTTTTAAAGCACACCAAATGCACATGGAAAACCATAGCAAAGCTATTTAAATGCATAATGTAAACAGTAAAATGCAAAATGGACACAAGTTGATTTTCATAACCGATTCATTTGACAAACAATAAAAAAAGAGAATTAAATGATTATTCTGAATTGGGTATGATGTAAATCCCCTGAGACATTATGTATAGGTAACATACATTTATGACCAACTGCTTTAGAAGGGTTAGCTGTAAAAGCACTTGTCTTCACCCAGCATAGCGCAGATATCATTGCAGTGGAGGTCAGGGTAGCCGGAGGCCCATTTCACAAAGCAGCCCAGGTTGAGAGAATGAATGTTCCGAGGGACTTCTTGATGTTTGGGCCGGGCAGACTGGGGTCTTCTGACAGTCGGGTCAAAGTTCTTTTTCGGGGCCGGATGCTGGGGGTGGAACTCTTTGGAGAAGTACGAAGGAGGCTGAATGCTGCGATTCCTTTCCTTGAAGAACGCCTCTGGGATTGTGTTTCCCCAGATTCCCAGCAGAGACTTCTCAAAGGCCGTTAAGGGCCCCCATAGCTGGTATATTTTCATCCTACAACGTTACAAGAATACTGTATGTAAGAATTAATGGACATAAAACCTAAACTTTCAAGTTTACCATTACGCTGTTCTTGAAACCATTATCAATTACTTATATTAAGAATTCAGCTATCTCACTTTAGAAAAGACGAGCCATAAAGTGCTGGATTTCAATGGACTGCTATATGTAGAATTGTAGTTACTAAACTACTATTTTTAAAATATAATCTTTGTTAATCTTAATTACAGCATGATAATTCATTAATGATAGTTATTGAATGTTCTTACCTTCTGCAGCTTCTGCACAACTTTAAGGATCTTTTTATTTTCTTAGAGGTGCGTCTAGATTTTAAAAACTGCAAGAACTTTCCATTTATTTTAGAAAGTGTTTTTCTTGTTGCTATGCTTTCTAACTGTACTTTGTGATGTCACACCTCAATGATGATGTCACGTAGTTTATTTTAAAATTTGTTTATAAATAATCAAGTCATGGTGTATATTTTTAATGTTTCTGAACATCACATTATGATCTGGAATTTAGAGTCCCAATTTTAAATAGTATCTACCTAACAAGAAATTATAAGTGCAGACATAAATCTTATAAAATATATTTTAAAGAAGCCAGAGAACCAACATCAGCATTTATGTTCCAACCACAATTATGTTCCAACGACCATCAACCTTTACAGGAATTCTGTTTTCATTACTACAACACGCAGTGTCAAGCAATTCGCATTTATGCTCTCTTGTTCTTGGTTCACTACGGAAACAAATATGAAGTTACCTATTGGTTAGTACTTTTAAATAAAAGAACTATTAGCTCGGTGATTAGTTTAACAGCTGAGGTAGCAAACAGTATTAATTTTCAGATATTGTTCGATTAAAAAAAGTTCCATGAATTCAGTTTGTCTAATGCAGTAGGATGGATTTGATACGCTTGTTAAGAAGTAAGTATTTCACTCATCAGTTTATTGTCTTATTACAAAAATAAGAAGATCACTTAGCCATATACAATTTCTTGCATTAGGAATTTGTCTTTTCACATACCCCATCTTGCTCTCCATGAGACACACAGACAGGGAGAGAAGCTGGTGTTCAGAACACCAGGTCAGACATTTATACAGCTCAAGGGTCTGACAGAGTGGGATTTCTCTGCCAGCTGTGGGATTTGAACCAGCAACCTTCCAGCCACAGGCACAGATCCTTAGCCACGGTACACTAAACAGAATTCACCTTTGTGACCATTTTTATTTCCTCAAATTGCTGCAACAGAACATGCAGAAAATATCCCGCTAGATACCGTCCAGCCTGGCACAGCACACTGTTGAAACAGTCTGTGAACCTTTGCCCCAGTTTCTTGCAATCGCCACATAGGAACTCAACTGATCTGTTTTTAGTTTCTGCACCGCAGTAAACGGACCTGCGCTTTCTCCATATTCGTCACGCTTTCCCATTGGCTATAAATCGAAAGTCTGCTTTATAATTGGTTTACCGGGGGGTAGTTCCTAAGCCCTCCCCACTCCCCTCCTTTTCTTTCCCGGTGTCCCCGTGAAATCCGTCCGTCTCCCTTCTCCTGTCCGAAGAAGAGTGCAGGAGTTGTTTTTGTCAGGTTCAAAATGTCATCTCGGGTTTTGGTTGGTGTCAAGCGGGTTATTGACTACGCAGTCAAGGTACAATTATATTCAGTTCTCTCCGACTACGGAGAGATTTTTTTTTTGTTTTCGATTGGTCTTCAGTTAGCCTGCAGGAGTTTCGTTAAAGGGACAAGGTCAGATTGCTTGCAAGTTGTAATCAGATCTCACACGAATGTGACATGAAAATCGATTATCAGTTGAGTTCAGTTTTCAAACGCTATACTGTATATTGCACGTTGCAGACGGTTAATGGAAGTTTTCAGGGCAATGAGTTAAGTAACTCAGACACAGAACAGAATATATACTGTATATAATATACAGTATACTATATCCCTTAAATCCAAAGAAGGCTTCACAGCCGAAACTCTCTTTTCAGCACGGAATAAACCTATTACTTGTTCCTTTGCAGCCTACGCATGCTGACTCAGCTACCCACCTGAACTACTTCAGAATATATACTGTATGGTTATGCTGGTGAAGGTTTGCAATTTTAAGCCTCTTCAGTAGTCCGTGTTAACTACTTTTTTGTCATTTCTGATTAGAAGTAGGTAAGGAACACCTTAGTCTAAATGAGACTATTTTAGTGCACAGTCGTTAACTATGCAAAGCAAATGCATTGCCAATTCTGAAATTATCATCCTATATTTAGCCTAGTATTGCTCTGAACAAGCAATCCAAATTTCATCTCGTGGTTAATAAATCAATTCTACAATGCGCTGTGTTGCTGCTTTTGCTGAGAAGGTCCGCCTTAAGACAATTATCATTCATGTCTCCACTTACACGTGTGCATTTTAAGAATAAAAATGAAATAACCCGTATTTACTAAAACATTGAGATTGATCGTTTCAATAATAATATTAATAATATTTTAATTAAAAACCGTGATGATTAAATTGAAGACTGTTGCATTTGATGAAGTACGAATATCAGCAAAGCCTGCAAAGAAAATGTGCAAAGTAAAATTTACCACTTGCATAGGTATAATATATTTTATTTCTTTAGTTATTACCTTTATTCTCCTTTCCTCTTTGCCCCTTTCATCTTTTTCTTCCCACTTTCCTTCTTTTTTCTGTTTACTATCTTAGACGTTTCTTACCTTATGTTTACTTGAGATTTGTTTCCTTATTTATTTGATAGCCCATACTCAGACTCGGAAGTGATACTGAAAAAAAGAATGTTGCTTTTTTTTTAATCCCAGAAGACTGGTGTTCCAGGCTCTTTGCTTGACTCTGACCTCTGACCTTTCACCGGCGATTTGGTTTTGCAGATCCGGGTGAAGCCGGACCGGACAGGGGTTGTCACGGATGGGGTGAAGCACTCCATGAACCCGTTCTGTGAAATCGCTGTGGAGGAGGCGGTGAGGCTGAAGGAGAAGAAGCTGGTGAACGAGGTCATAGCCGTGAGCTGTGGGCCCCAGCAGGTTCAGGTATGCCACCACTTCATGACCTTTGACCCCCTCATCCATGTCCTGTCTTCTTATTGTGGGACCAGGCGGGGGTCAGGGTGAGTCCAGCAAAGTTGTAACCAACCAGATGTTTGCCAGACTTTTTTTTTAAGGGGAGCGACTTTTGAGATCTTGATTGTGTGTGAGAGAGTCGTGTTTAGCCTCTTTTATAAGAAAAAAACATTAAAAAGTGAGAACAGGAGAGGTATGTCTTTACACAAAGGCCTGTGGGAGTTTGTAACAAGCTACCCAGCTATGTTCTTGAATCTGATGTCCTGGTTCTCTTGTGAGCTGTGGCTTGTAATTCAGCATCTTTCTGAGAGAACTTTGCGAAGAGTATTTGAGGAAAAATGGAGGAAGTTCCTCTTATTTCATCGTTGTAAATCCTGGGATTAAGGCATCCGCAAAATAAAATGATAGTGATAATTATTTTTCTTCTAGGATTAGGTGGTTACATACCAAACAAACTGGAATAGCAATGGGGCCACCACTAGAAGCCGCCAAAAACAGCCTCTCAGGACTGGGCTTTGTTAATGCATCTGTATTTTCACATGTTGAATTGTTTAACTTTTACAAAGTTTAAGATAGGGTTAGTTATCAGCATCTTTATTTTATATAAGGGTTGCGGGTTTGTTCACTGCTTGTCCGTTGATCTGGTATCAGCTGGCGTGTAGAGCTGCATGTCAAGGTAAAAACGTGATTAACATCATGATGAGTGCTTGAAGATGGGGAAATAGTGTAGGTTTACCAACCTGCAGGCAGAGCAGTATAAATGGTAAAATAGAAGTGATGTCTTTGTCATAAATCTCTGTTGATCTACTAAACCAGGCTCCCTCAGAACTGAAGGTACCATTAGGGTGGAGGGGGGTTAATGTAAAATGGTCTTCTGAGCCACTCTAGCTCAGGTGTGGACTGTACACACAGGATATGCCATGGAACTGAGAACAAGACAGAGGTTCCTTCTGTGAAAGTTCTTTGTCCTCCCCAGGAAACCATCCGCACAGCGCTGGCAATGGGCGCTGACAGAGGGATCCATGTGGAGGTTTCTGGGAAGGATTATGACAACCTGGGGCCTCTGCAGGTCTCTAAGATTCTGGCAGCTCTAGCGAAGAAAGAAAACGCTTCTCTAGTAGTACTTGGCAAGCAGGTAAGATCAGTTATACAAAATAATTACTGCAACGTACACTTATGTGGCATCTCTCAGCACACAGCGAGAAAGGCTCCAGGTTACTGACCAGAGGATTGTGGGTTTAAGTCCCCACCTTGGATTGGATTACACCAGTGTGCAAGGGCCCATTTTCTGTGAAATGGGCTCCATTATTGCTAGGAATACCCAGAAATGGACTAGTGTCTTATCCTTGGAGTACTCATTCATTTTGAGTCCAACATTAAAGAGAAGAGGATAAGCTCAATCCTGGTGAACCACTTAACTCAAGAATGGGCTTCTTGTGTGTCTTTTATCAGCCTTAAATAAGGCTGTGTTTTTATTAAAGAGATTAGTCTGAAATATCATCTGGTTCAAACCATTCTTAGGTGGACAACGGACTTTTTTCCCTTTAATGTTATGTTAGTTCTTTGTTTTGTAGATTTCATGTAGCCATGCTCACTTCACGTAATAGTGGAACTGTGTAGTGTAAAGTTTGTAGGAGCTCCGGTGTCAAAAATACTTTTCATTGCAGAATAGCATCACATTTCTGATACTTCATTTACTGCTGCTGTGTGCTTGGGAAGCCTTGAGCTCTTAGTCTTGGCTGACCACTGATTTTGTCCTCTTCAGGCAATTGACGATGACTGCAATCAGACTGGACAGATGACCGCTGCCCTGCTGGACTGGTCTCAGGTTGATTGACCTCCGGTTATGATATTATATATCAGCAGTTTTGATTTGAACAAAACAGACCTTGACCTCAGCCGAGACCCGAAGTAACAAAACCTTAGTACATAAGGGCATTTTTCTTAATTAAACCACTCTGGCTAGTCATTACTTTATTATTAATTTTCATTGGATTCCTTAAAGCTGAGGTTTACAAGTGAATGTGTGTCAATAATTGTCACTGAATGGCACAAAATCCCACTGTTTTATTTTAATATCATCCACATTTGTTAGTCCTGTTACCTTGGGGGGTGAAAGTACTTTTTTGTTCTGCTGATGTCTGGTGGTGACCTAGAACAAGCCAAACTGAATCCCATAATGCTCTTTACAGTTGGGTGAGATGTGCTTTCTTCTAATACTCATCTTTTAATTTCGTTTGGATAAAGTCCTCAGACGGGCATCTTATATCTGCCGCTGTCTTGACTGTTAGATCTTTCTATTTTAAATGAGCAGTTTGAATTCAGGAAAAAAAAACACCTTTTTGCTGCTCCTCCAGGGAACATTTGCCTCCGAGGTGGTGTTGGAAGGGGACATGCTGAAGGTCGTCCGCGAGATCGATGGCGGCTTGGAGACCATTAAGATCAAGATGCCTGCCGTTGTGACTGCTGACCTGCGCCTCAACACGCCCCGCTATGCCACCCTGCCAAATATCATGGTCAGTATGCATGTGCAGTGCCCCTAGAGTACAGGCGTTGCTAAGCACATAAATCATTTGTTTCATACCACAGATAATGAAGGTAGTAATAATTCCTTACACTTATATAGCACTTTTCTGGACACTCCACACAAAACGCTTTACAAGTAATGGGGATCCCCCCCACTATCACCAATATGTAGCCCCAACTGGATGATGCAACAGTAGCCAGAGTGTGCCAGTACATCACACCACACACCAGCTCTCAGTGGGGAGGAAAGCAGAGAGATGAAACCAACTCATAGACAGGGATTATTAGAAGGTCATGATTGGTAATGGCCAGGGGGATATTTTGGCCAGGATGTCGGGATCCTTTTTGGAAACAAGCAAGTTTATAAATACATCTCTTTTAATCCGCTGCTTTTGATTTCAAGACAGTTTTGCCGATAAATACGGTTTACTTGTTAACTCTGCGTGCAGATCACATTGGACCATTTCTGCAGTGAAATGTCTGCTGTGCAACCTGTACGTATTGGCTCCTACATCGCATTGCATTAGTCATGACAGTGACTAGTGAGCAGGAAGGGCTGCACTGTGTCACAATTCGGGGGAAATCGAATTGCGAGTTTGAGACGACATTGCGACTTTCACAAGGTTCACGACTTAAATGTTTCTATAACATCAATGAATTGATTTTGTTGCCAAGATTTAATAACCGGTCTGAGAAATTGGGGCAGCAGTTCCCCTTTAAGATTTTTTAGTGGTCCCGAGCAAGGGCGGGCAGTATTGCTCTGAGAATTACAGCTACGTTTTGAATATATTTGTTCATCCTTGGTCAAACATTCCACAGCCAAGTAGAGGAGCCGTTTTCTACCTGGTTGTGATGAGCAGGTGTCATGTGTAATCCACAAGCCCCAAAACATCCTTCTCCCCTCTCCCTTCAGAAAGCTAAGAAGAAGAAGATCGACTGCCTGAAAGCGGCCGACCTGGGTGTGGATCTGACATCCCGCCTGGAGATCCTGAGCGTGGAAGAGCCGTCCCAGAGACAAGCTGGAGTCAAGGTGGAGACGGTGGAGGATCTAGTCACCAAGCTGAGGAATGCCAGCAGGATATAGGCCACTGACAGGGTATGACACCATGGAAAATAAAAAAGGATCCAGAACATGTTTACCATTTTTTTAATGGAATGAGTTCAACCTCACTCTTCTGTTAAGTGGCTATAAAATTGACTCTATAGTCGGGCAACTCTGCTGAAAGACAAGGAGCAATGCTGACTTCAGCCACCAGATGGCATGTGATTTTTAAAGATGATAAAAGGGTGCCAATTGTGGAATTAAGTCATTGTCAGTAGGAGCACAACAACCAGCCAGTCCCTTGAGTAGATTTATTTGCTTTTTTGCACCTGTTCTACTAACTGGTAAAGTAACATACAAGCTTAAATTAGTTTAAAACCAAACCACCCTGTGTTTTTTCTACTTCATGCTGTAATTTACTTTCCATTTTTTTTGTTGCATGTGAATTTAGTATTACTAATGCACACCTTATGGTGCCTGGTTTGAAATGATAGGACTGGAAATAGACCAAAAGGTCAAGCAAATCTTAACACAGTTACAATTCAATCAGAACTGGCAGGGTACAGTTTGGACTGCCTGGGAATCATCGGTTGTTTCACGTTTTTTCTTACTACATATTCTGCTCCTGACCCAAGCATTGTGCATTCACTATGCCACTAGCATGAATGACCTCGCCATTCCACCTTCTCTTCACCCCCAAACCGTGGCTTGTTATTTTAAAAAAATGGGTCAAGCTCTGTTCTTAAACCTGAGTTGTGCTTCTTGTTTCTCAGTGCAGTCTGCAGTCAGGAGCTCCTATGGTGGGAACCCAGGAGGAGAGTAAAGGACGTTATGTCAGACCATTTCCTGCTGTTCCGCTGGGCAGAATCCAGGAGCCCCTGTAATTCCTTCCGGGCCAGCGACGCCCCTAAGAGAGATGACAGCTGTTGATATCTTTTAACGGTGCAGCTCAAGAGCACCTATATCAGAGGAGCTCCTAGCTCTACACAAGCGCCTAATTCTACCTTGATTGTACATTTATCAATGATGAAATAAACAGTTTGTTGGGTTTTTAAAGGCATTCCTGATTCCATGCTTGACTCAATGCTTTTATTCAAAGTCAGTGTAGAACATTTTAATCTGTGAAGCTTTTTAAAGAGCAAAAAAAAAAGCAAGGTTCCAGCATATCATGTAGGACTACAAGGAATTATTCTCTCTGTGGTTATCATCCCATTTTTAATTTGTGTGGAACTTCATGTTTAACTACTGATGGGGGTGTAACATGTCCATTTGTCATTTTGTTTACAACCCTCCCAAACACAACTGTATTAATCTGAAATGACTCACTGCAGTGTACATGACATTTAGTAAAGAATCAGTGCTTTTTTCCCCCTAAAAGGCATCTTTAACTGGAAGATCATTTACAGCATTGTGGGAGGTGCTGCACTGTTAATCATTCTTTGTATAATGATTGGATGCAGGAAATACTTGTCGTAAGTATAAATGTAACAATTATTGTTTATATATTTTCTCACAAAACATTGTATGATTCCTTTGCATTTTAAAGATGAACAAAAACACTTTAGCTGAAATCACTGTTATCTTAGTAATGACAAAGAAAAGAAATGAGAGAATCAGAGAAATATGAGAAATAAAACTGTTAAAAAACAAAGACTGAGCATGAAGTTTAGAGTTGTTTACTTTTAAACAGTAAAGAAAATACATTGGCAGCATTTATCTTGTATATATATTTTCATAGAAAAATGGCTTTCAAATTCTCTGGTGTTTGTTAATTGTAAAAAATTGCACACACTTTAAACTTCTTTTCCAGTTCCTCTGTTAAAGGCACAAGTAAAGCTAACAGTAAGGATATGGTTATGAGTAACCTAACACCTCAAACAAAACAGAAGGAGGAGGATCTGACTGGAACAAATGAAAGAGCATATGAGATTGAGTATCCTAGGTCTCTGCTATGTAAAAATAAGGTATTTATACTGATTTACCACTAGATGGTGTACTATATATAGGTACTGAATTCTTTCCTTTGTATTAAAGAATATCACACTCTTTTGAAGAGGATTAGATTCAAAAGAATCCCATGATAACAGTTTTATGTTTGGATTGCTGCTGTTCTGAATAAATATTACTGAGATTATTGCCTTTCAAAATACTTCAAAATGTTCGGCACTTTAAAATCATCAGGACCTGAAAAAATGAGAAATGCAGCAGCAAAAACATCTAAAATGTTTTACAAGATTAAGTAATCAGAAGAATCCTGTGGTTTTCTCAGCAATTCAGATAGCAGTTAGTACTCAATAGTTCAGATAGTAAAGGGATCAGACTCTGCACTATCAACTGTGATCCAGGCATTACACTGTATGTTGCCTGTGTCACATCAGTCACCATCACTGTCTGGGATACCTCAAGGACTGATTCATGTTTTAGTCACCATTATGATAATTTAATCTTTATTATTCTGACTAACGCAAGAACAATAGAAAAGTTACAAACAAACTGAAGCATTCAGCCCATTTAGCTTCTTCATTGCTAGTAGCTAGTTGATCTATGGATTTCTCAAGTCATTTCTCAAGGGAAGCTAGGGTATGAGCCATCCTTTTCAAAGTCTTAAACTTCCCCATAGTTTTCACTTGTGTCCTGTAGCTTGTGTTTCACTGTTGCCCCCGAAGATGATCACTGGGTCAACTTTGTCATTGATTTTAGTGATATTATTTAAACCAAGACCCCCATGATAGGTACTTTGAACCAACAGTGGACAAGGGTTTAGTGCAGGAAAATTTGTTTTTTTTTCCAAAAACAAAATAATTGTCATCAACACTGCCCTGCAAATCAATGCTATTATGTTTGTCCTTATGTTTTACTCTACTCCTGACGATCTTGTAAAGCTTTACTATCTTCATAATCTCCCACACACCAGAAGAATGCCCCACACAAACAAAATATTGTGTTTATTTACTTTTTTCCTTTCAATTTTCCTTTCAAAGTACGGCATGAATGTCTTGGTTTGTTTGTTGACACAGCGACCCATTAAGTCTTAATCTTTAATATTTTCGGCGATATTCTTTTCTCTCATCCCACTCAGGCTGTGGAGGAGGCAGTCTATGAAAACTTGCAAGCCACAGGATCAAAGATCATCAATAAAGAGATGTCATTCACGTTTTCTCTGTAAAATGGGATCTATTCCATATGGCTGAAAACAAATAAACATTGCTTCTGCAAAACTGCAACAGCAAGAGAAACGGTTTTCATATTTTGGAGATCCACAGGACTTCTCTCCTATACAACCCTGCCTTGAGCCCATTGCTTGCTGGGATAGGTTCTGGTTCCTCTGTGACCCTGAGTTGGATGAAGTGGTTAGAAAATGGATGGATGGATCCAGAGGAACTCTGTTCAGAGACTAAAAACCTGCTATAATATATACTGGTACTGCAAATTCTAGAGGCCATTTATTCCCCGCACTGTTAATATTACCTGTACATGACAGGGCAATTGATTATTTTCACATATTTTCAAGTTCTCACTTTTTCTTCCAGTTAGACCGAATGAAAAGTTGACCTGCGTTATTTTAATGAGTCTGTCTGAATTCGGGTGATGCGCTGTAGTGTTGAATGTCATAAGGTTGGGCAACATTGGAATGATTACAGAAGTCAAAGGAACTAATAAGAATGATGACATTCGTTTTCAAGATGATTTCTTTATCCTTTAACTCCATATATACAGTAACTGCTGATGCATGTCTAATCTGATTGTAAATTTCAGTCCTTTTCGGAAGAGTACTCAGTGGAAGAATATTTTCCAATGAGCAAACTTTTGATAAAAACACACAGCTGCTATCTACTTACAATATTAGTGCTTGGTAGGCGGACTAACTAACACCATTGAATCAAATTGCACTACTTGCCTGCTAGTAAGCTGTATGAACTAAAAGTGTAACATTGGTATTATAGAAAGTACATCATTCCAAAAAGTACCAAAACCTTCTGGTAAATTAAATTTTGTGAGCTTCAGGACTTCAGGACCAAATAATTCAAGATGCATTCCAAATAACTGCACGCGTTGTCACATTATGGTATCTACTATTAAGGCACAAACTGCAAAGGGAGTAACTAATTACCAGTAACTCTTCTAGGAATAGATATGTTTTCATCCAGCCTTTGATTCGTCACTGCTTAAAAGCTGTTGAGCCAAATCATTCGGACCCCTAAAGTTCCTATACCTCAGTCCACAACTTCTCCACTAGTCAGGTCATTTGGGAAAGGAAACTTGAAAATTATTGTGACAAATGTCTCAAAAAACATGGGTTAAAAACCGATATTGAGGATTGAGATTAAGGTCTTCATTATCAGCCCCCCTCATTTGAAAATCTTTGACACAGTCCATTTCGATTTCTATTCCAATAATTCTTCCAGTGCAGACAAAAATGGACACTCCTAATTTGAGCAATAAATTGGTATAGTTACTGTATGTATTTTTTTTGAAGAAAACAAGCTATCAGAAAAAGAGGAGAAATGTTACATTCCCATGCCCTACTGTTTTAGATGAATTAATAAAGTCTACATTTTGTATCATACTGTTCACATCAATATGTTAGCTAAACACAACAGCTCCACTTGTTGTCTTGTGGCCAGTTTAAATAATAGGAACTTTTTCTTTTCTTTTTTTTTCCACTATATGGAGCATATTAATTCTGCAAAGCAGCAATTTGACTGAATTGGGAGAGCATTGTCCTCTAAATTGTTGTGTGAGCCCCTGCCGATACTGTAGGCCCCAATAGCCTTGGGCTTCTATTGAAACTATAGGCCTCAGCAAGTTCCATTTAATGGCCAGGAGTGCAGCCTCTGCACATTGGCTTTCCAGAAGAAAAAACAGGCATCCCATAGGCTTGTATGGAAATCACATGACCCAGTTGCCAGTAACACTTTCAATAGTTTTACTATTAAAAGGTTTTGCCACCATCAACAAAAATGCCAAGGGGATAACTTTTTGGAATTTGGCCTACTGCTGTCTCTTTGACTTGAAGCTGGCATAGAGTTAGCAACACTCTGTCTATCTCGGGAGACAAGAATTTTATTGAGGTAAGGCTTAATTTGTTTATTCGATTATGCATTAACGTCCAAAATGGGCGCTGGACTTCTGTCAAACGATGAAATAACAGCAAGCATGTAAGAGTATCTGGGTCCAAAATGTATTGTCAATCGTATGTTTGATTATATTTTAGTTATTACCTGTCCCCTTAAAAAATACAACAGCTAAATAAAAGTGTATTGAAAGTATCTTTTTATGTGGTTCTCGGATTCAGGGACTGAATGAAAACTTGCACAATTTAATTGTGTGCAACACAGACAGCTGTAGATTGCTTTTTATTTTTGCTCTCTGGTTTTTGGTTTTTCAAAGCTCTTTATTAACAATATGTGAACCACAAGATTATTGAGTAATCACTCATTAATCACAATGCAGTACAAAAGGAGGTGTATCTTATCATGCATCTGAGGATTTGGTAAACTGTACTCCTCCAGTGTGATGATAATGTATCCTTGTCTTGTATACAGTAAAATACACTGATATGCAGAACTGTAGTGTGATAGAGTGTACTATTAAAAATCAAGAATGGTTTAAAATGTGTTTGCTCAAATTACAATGATACAATTACATTTGGTATGTTTCATAAGTGTTATTTGAAACAATGTTGCTAAGTGTTATACAGTTTATTAAATATATTTTATTTGTACTTACTTATCATTAAGTTTAAAAATCATAACTTTTTTATCTTTATCATTCTAAAAACAACTGGAAGTGAATCAACTCTTAATATGAAGTACAGTACATGATATGGTTGCAATTATCGATGTCTGGAAATCACTCTATAGATTTGTCTCTTAAGTCACACAAAATCTTTACTCCTACTTCCAGTGCTCAATAAAACTTTGCTGACAATATCTGTAGAATGTGAAAAGGAATTTATCTGATGAACTATTTAGTGGTTCGAAATTCGATTGACTATTTAAAATTGTTGTTTTACATAGAACAGCATACAAGCACATTTGATTCCAGATACCATTTTACAATTAAAAAATAATAATATAAATGTAATGTCTCCGCACTTTAAAGACTTGTAATATTTCGTCTAGAATTTCTAAATGAATGTCACAAAACAGAATACCCTTTTCGGTCTTTCTGCCTGTGCACTTGGTATTTTTCTCCTGCTGTACCTGATATTCCTAAAAGCCAGGCAGAAGACTGAGGAAACCGCCCAACACATACCCTACACTTTGACAGGAGAAGGCTTAGAATAAGCTATCAAAACAAAGGTACAATATATTACAAAATATTACATAACAATTTTAACAATAACAGTTGGTTATTTTTGTCGTCACACAAAAAACAAACAAAGTAGCTCGTGCTCTAAATTATTCAACATGACAAGGGAGAAAAACTAGTTTCAACTGCAGGTGGAATTTAGAAAATAAGCAATTGCTTTGGTATAGTCCACTCTGCTATGGTTTATGCATACAAACAGATATACAATAAATACACATTGCCTCACTGGTCAGAAATTAGCATCACTAGTTGTTGGTGCTTTAGGTAAAATGTTGATATTTTAGCTACTGCATGTCACAAGACAAAGTGCACATTCAAGATTTCAGCAATATTTTAAGCCTTTTGTATAACCATTTGAGTGTAATACTGTATGGTACTTTTACTTAAGATTACACTGCACGGACATTCATGTTAAAATGTGTTTGTGGAGAATACTGAGTACGCATTAGGTTGCTTTTTTTAAACAATAATGTGTGCTATTTGTAAACATGTTCCTCACACTTGTCAGAGGCTGAATCATGTTTTACTTTCTTTAAGAGAATGAGAAACATAAGACCCCTAATCTGTTTGAGAGTAGAACCACTTGTTTTTTTAGATTTGCCTATATTGGATATATACAGTGAGCGATACATTTTGTGAGATGATTTAAACTTTGTGTTTAGGTAAATGTGAGCATTTTAGGATCTGTCAGGCTTGCAAAGTTTACCTAAACATGACTATCGAAATGACTTCATTAAGAAGGTCTCAAAAATGTGACAGGTAAATGTCAAAGACTTACATATTTATTTCAGGGACATGTGTCACAAATGACTTTCCCAAAAATTTGAAAGTTAAAAAAAGCCATTTCTTAGTAATGTTTTCTATCAGCTTGATCAATACGTAGGTTTTTGGTCTGAAAATGAAGTGAATATTCGTATTAAACGAAGTCGATGAAGTATGATACACACTGTGGCAAAGCAAAATGATTTGCGTAAACATCGGAAAACCACGAAAAACACAAAAAATTGACTTGCACCTATGATCTCCACAGAGAAACAGACTAAATTGTATAGCTGGGTGAAAAAAACAGAGCTTCGCTTTGTATTTCATTTTTGGTTTTTAAAAAGTGGTTTCTGGTGCTGTGTTGTTCAGTCTGTATTCCTGTAGGTTTCCTCCGTGTGGTCACTGGTCCTACCAGCAGCGCTCCTCAGAATGTACAGCTTCATGGGAGGTGGCTTGTTTTGTGCGATAGTTGGAAACATCCTCCTGGTGGTTTCCACGGCAACGGACTACTGGATGCAATACCGCCTGTCTGGGGCTTTTGCCCATCAGGGGCTGTGGAGATACTGCATGTCCGGGAAGTGCTACATGCAGACTGACAGTATTGGTAAGTGAAGGAAAGAGGAGGCAATGAATGGAGAACAGATTTGATGGTTTTACAGATCATTTTGTCCTATTTTGAAAGATTACAGGGAACTGCCCTATAGGAACCTGACTGTTCAGCCCTTTCCTGTTGTACAATATTTGTAAAATGTCTCTGGTTCTCAGTCTTAAATGTGCATCATTTATTGACAGTAGGTAGCCTTTAGCCCTGAAATGCAATATTTGATGTGAAAGGAAGACCTCTGTTGGTCAGCAAACCTAATGGCAAGTGCATTATTATTTTAACTTTTACAAATGTGCTAATGGACTTACTAACTGTACGTAAATTACCACATCGAGGCTGAAACGTCTACTGAAATTGCACAAATAATGCAAATCACCACAAAGGACTGATTGATCTATAATCAAGGAGCTTAAATATTGTGGTCCTGATATATCACAGGGTGTGATAGACTTGAGAGTTTTTTTTCTAATTATCATCCTCATTTTCAGTTAAATTTTTTAATTGAAAATGCAGGTCTCTCATAATCTTCTCCATTGTAGGCATTCAGTAAGACAGTATGTCAAAAACTCCAGTATCGAAACTGCCTCTTGGCAGGCTATTGGAATTTACAACTAAATTCTTTGTTCTTTTTTCAGTGTCTCTTAAGAGTCAACCGTGCACCCATTTTAATTCCTGTTTAAATGGGGTTTTGGTCATTTTCTCAGTGCAGTGATACAGTTTGATGATACAATGTGCATATGGTTACATATCAGTTGCTGGTTCATTCCAGGTAAATGCTTTTTCCAGTGAGGGGATTTCTCCTTGTGCTTGATCTTTCTCATTCTTTTGCTCCTCTGTATCAATCAGCCTACTGGAATGCTACAAGGGCCTTCATGATACTCTCCGCCATGTCCTGCTTTGCTGGAATAATTGCTGGGATCCTGTCCTTTGCTCACTTCTCCGCCTTTGAGAGGTTCAACAGGTCCTTTGCAGCTGGGATCATGTTTTTTGTCTCCAGTAAGTCACATTTTGTCAGAATTAGCTGAAGTGCATCACATGGGATTAGCAGCAGGTCATCTCAGCACGATTCGGAACAGGGAAAATAGATTAGAGGGAAGACTGTCTTGGAGAGTCATACCTTGTAAGAGTGAGTTGATTTGGTATTGGACTTCTGATACACAACAGCATACTGTATAAAGCCTTGTTCTCTCAACACATGCACAGAAGTCCAGACCAAATCAGATCATGCTGGTAGAGTTACCAGAGTCAACAGAATTCCCAATTCTACCACCTGCAGATTGTGCATAACATCCATTTGTTCAGGACAGGAAATGTCTAAAAAGTCTTGTTCCCTTGATGATTGTTGATTCAAAGCTTTTACTAACTCATTCATGTGAGGGCTTTTCACATTGCTTCATTAGTTTATACCAGTTAGGTTAGATGAGCAAATGAGAGCACTGGGCAGTCAAACATGGAAGGCAGATGTCTCTCCTGAAACTGAGCGTATTGTTAGATTTTAATAACAATTTGCTCTTTTAATAATGTTTCAATGATAGTCCAATGAGCATGTGTCTGTGTGGCTCTAGAAGAAATACAAATATTACTGTACAGTATATAAGTGTTGTTCTGGACTACAGTCTATGCCTTCGTCCGGCCTTTTTGGATTATTGAGAGCAATTGAGAATCACTTCTTATCCTCTTTTAAAAACTGTACCATATCAGCAAAGAACAGAATGGCAAACCACTACCAAACTGGTGATCAACAATGTTCTTTCTTGAACAGCTCTTTTTGTGCTCCTGGCTATGGCAATTTACACTGGGGTGACGGTCAATTTCCTTGGGAAACGCTTTGGTGACTGGAGATTCTCCTGGTCGTATATACTGGGTTGGGTTGCTCTTCTTATGACATTCTTTGCAGGTAAGCTTGTCTTCGATCTTTCGAAATATTTCAAAATGTTCTTAACTGATTTCTAACTCCTCAGAAGTAGAAAAACAGAGAAACAGAGAAAAGTCCTCCCTGAATCAGAGGGGACATAAACCCTCCAGAAAGATTAATACACATAGGGAATTTTTGCTTTCACAGAAAATAAGATAAAAGTTGTATGTACGCTTTTCTATAGTGTTACTTCTTGTCTTAAGCACCTAACTGATATTTAAACTTTAGGAGCTCAAGGATACAATTGTTTTCCACTCTATACATCCATGAAGGTAAAATCATTCAGATATATCAGAATTTAATCATCTTAAAAAATATGGTGCCACTTTCATTAAGAGATCACCCTAAGATTAGGCTTCTCCATATAAAGCAAAACCATTCAGTGCAGGGTGCATCAATGTAAAGTGTTTAATACTTTTGCACAGCAGTGTTCAAGAAAATAATCTATCGTGACGATGCTCTGAACTATTCCATGACTATTATAGAATGCTGTGATATTTAACAATGTGGATATTAGCAAGACATGAAAAGAAAAAAAGTGTTGTTAACAAATTGCCCTCTGTCTTCCCCTGTAGGTATATTCTATATGTGTGCCTACAGAATGCACGAGTGCAGAAGAGTTGCTGGACCACGTTGAAATCATTTTTCATTCAGTGTAAAATCAGGCTTGAAACCTTGCAGACAGGCTGGGTTGAGGAGAAAGAACATTTTTATCGATGATGTAACAATATTAAAAAGGACTGTATAAAATGGCTCAGACTGCTACAAAGCTAAGTCTTATGTTTCATTGTTTTCCACTAGATCTCTGACTAATTAATTTTTAAAATGAATCACATGGAAGAATGTAGTTCAAGTTCTTTTTAAAATAAAAAGAGGAGGTATGCTGTAACACACATCAAATTGGATCTTAAATAAAGATTCTAAACAATACAGTGTTGCTCTACTGCTATTGAATCATAGTAGAGTAGAGTAGTTTATTCCCGTATGTACACAAACTGTACATTGGCATTCTTAACCGCGCTGATCTCTCAGGACATACAGAGTAAAACAGACAACACCACGCAATGTAGACAACTGGAACAATAAAGATGTTGTGGGAAGATAAATAGCAGTGAGGCAAAAAAACAACATATTAGGGTATTTTCATACTGTATATTATCTAATCACTAATGATGGCTATAAAGCATGCCAGATGGGATGCCCACCTGGAAGACACACAGCAGCCATTCTGCACCAGCAAACTATGACTTAGCCAGAATAGAATATAAAGGTTGCTATACAGTATGCTATGCAGTAATAAATGTGTTATTTAGTGAGGTTTAAAAAGAGAAATTACTATACTATCAATCTTTTGCAACAGATATTAATGTAGACAAGTGTAATGAATTAAAAATGGAAAAAAAACATTAAAATATTTCAATCAAAAATTTAATCCACCGAATAACTGAATTCCATCATATAAGTATAATTTTTTTACAGCAGGCTACTGTTAAAACATTTACCTTTGCAAGTAACGCGTATGTAAAGGGGATTTACAGCACATATAATGAAAAAGTACATCAGGAGTAAGATACAGGAGTGAGCTAGCCCCAAATTACGTTTTGCTTTTAGTATACTTCACAGCACCATTTATTTAAACTGTCCGAATTAACCTTCTCATAATTCATGTATGATTGATAAGGGTTCAGATGATTTTCCATAGCATTTTCAAACTGAACAATTTTTAATTTGCCCCACTTTTACATTTCGGATTATGGGTACGGCAATCTGACATCAAAGTGTTATATAATTACAGTATATGATTAAAAGTGATATGACAATATACTATTGTCTCTCTTCAATAATTTTGGGAAAAATAACAGTTTCAAACATTTTATGTTTTTGACGTGAAGCCCTTTGATTGTGGTCAAAGGCCAACTCAGCTTTTTTTTTAATTAAATCAATTAAAATATAATTGATATATAATATATATATATAATATAATAATGTTCTTGAATTCTGGGGTTGGGTGCCACACATGGCTTTGCTGCTTCACAACTCTTTGCTCCTAGGTTGATATCAACCTCCTTTAGTGCCTTCTGCATAGAGTTGCATGTTCTCTCTATATTTTCTGTATGTGGGTTTTTCCAGGTTTCCTCTTTGAAAATCCGAAGGAAACTCTGCCTCCCTGGTTAGATTAAGCTAGTTCTGTTCCCCGGCTTGTGGAAGCTCATTTGCAGTTACAGTAAATAATGACAGCCCAGACACTCGCTGCAAATGTGCAGAACAAGTGTCTTTAATAGCTGAGCCTCTTTCTTTTTTGACAACCAGCCCTTCTGTCAAGGATGTCGGAAAGGACGAACCGTGGAATGACAGGAGAGCATGAAAGACCCTATGCGTAGCGGCGAGATGGGGGTTAGCCCGGGCTCAGCTGTTCAGGAAATGCCGTATAGAAACCTATGCCCTCAGGTAGCGGACGTGGGGCGACCTGGTGCTAGGCGGGTCTCAGGACATCCGAACGTCAATGCTGAGCGAGGACAGAGTGCAAGACCCGGAAATATATATCCCCAGAGAGAGAGAGAAACACCGGAAGGACAGCAAACCACTGGAAACGAGAGACAGGACAGAGTAGGAGCGCCCTCTGCAGGCACCTTCAGCATATCACAATAGTTTTCTCTTCAGCTTTGACTACAAGTGTCAACTAATAATGACATCTTTTGCACTTCTCTTGACTTCATTCTTGCGAATGCGCATTTGCTGTTTGCCCTTCAGTTTTCATCAATGGGCAAAGCAGTAAGAAATACTGTAGACGGAAACCGGAGAGACTTGAAAATGCAAGTCCATCAGTTGTATAAAAATTGATGGCAGTCTCTCGCCATAATTTAGGGGCTGCGTACAATCTCCCTCCTTCGTTTACAAAGTTTTAATTCAAGTATATTTAAATGCCTCATTACTCTGTGCTTCATGGCTTTCATTCATTTTTAAATCCATGGCAGAAAGTACTGCTTGCAATTTCTACAGTGTCTCCTGAATTTTGCAAAGAAATATTTTGTTTTTGGTATGCTGAGATGAACAAAATACTTGCATCATTTTACTCTTTGTTTTTGCTGTTATTATGGATTGGCTGCATAAAGGTGAATGTTCACAGGACTGATTTCAATTTTTGTCACCATGATGAACCAAATAAAGACCCCATTGACCTTGAATCTTGAATAAAGAATTTCAATTGACCTACTAGCTTTTAGTTTGTCCAGGAATGTCTTTCAAATTGATATTACTGTAGCTATGATAGTTGGCAGATGTTCCAAGTTTTGATTTGATCAAGGCTAACTTAATTTTTCATTAAACTAATAACTGAGGTTTCTCAAACTCACACCCAAAACAGGTTTAATTGCAGATTGACTGAATTCTGTCTGATGTGCTTCTGCTAATCTTACCTACTGTATACAGTACCTTCAGCAAAATATGGAAAGGGCTTTTCGTTGGTGCCCAAATCTTTTCCATCTTTATAAATTAACCACTTAGGCTACTTAAAAGTACCTTTGAAAGTAAGAAGTAGATCCACCAAGCAGTTACACTAAATACATTTGATTTCTTCTCTATTATTTATATCCTGTACGCTTGCAGTGTGAAAAAAGTGTTGTTAAAATAGTGGGTCAGTAAAAATCAGTACATTGAAAACAGGTTGTTCTACCTGATATACAATATAAACTTTTATTTATTCCCAGGCTTTCCTCAGACCAAACCTGGATGCAGTTTTCAGGTAGCGTAGATGAAAAACAAGACCATAAAACAGCGGAAGAAATGAATTATCATAAAACTCTTGTTACTCATTAATTGTGGTGAATCTCTAAAGTAACAACTCAATATATATACTGTATAAAAGTGTCCATATTCTGCAACAAAGAAAGTATGTTCTTACCTGAACTTAATAATTAATCCATTGACTGCTGTGGAGTATATTATTTCAGATTTGCATGTGCCAAGTGCTTTGCTTAGTCAAACTGCTATACAATGTTTATCCCCACCAGGACAATGCCTCTATGTTTTCCTTTTGTGTTGACTACCATGTTCTATCCGTTATGCTACCTGGCGGCTTGTTCCCAGTGATTTTTCGCTGTTATCAACATGAATACACAAACACAAATGCATATCTTTGGATGACAGAATACGTCATTATTTCTTTATGAATTAATTTGTAATTGACCAAAAATATTTTTTTTGTGTTGCGCCCTAGGAAACGAACAGATGTATTAAATAAAAAACAAAATCCAATTAAATTAAATTTGAGTTACCACTATAAATTTTATCAGCACAAATTCATATCCTTTACCAAACTTTGGCAGTTTAGACTGTTTGTTATCTTTCTTGCTTGTTGCTTACACAAATCTGTCCATTTGACAACAGCAGTTGTCCCCTCATTTCCCATTGATGGCTCTTATGGTTTATCACTGATCAGAGAAAATGTCTTGAGAACCTGATCGAAAACTGATACCCAAATCCTCAAAGCCACTGTCAGCAGTCTACACAAAGCTCCGTAGGGGGGCCAACGTCATGGAGCTATCAACACAGTGGAACACTATCAACAACTGAAACACAAACAAGAGGACACAAGTGGAACCAAGTTGAAGTGTTTTTTAATCCTGAGAACAGTCAGAACTTTCTTATATGAAGGGCTGTGGGAGTCCTGGACAGGGAACGCGACCCTGCAGTTGAAACTGACTTCCTGGCTTCCTTCACCAAAAAACTGGATGGGATCTGTGAATTAAATAACTGTTCTCACGACTGTCGTTGTCGTTTTCCTCAAAAGTGGTGAAGTATTATATTGCCAACTGGAATACACTGTGTGTGCTACACATTTTCAATTTATTTATTTTGTTTGGAAGTGTCACCATATGGTAATTTAGAAGTTGTATTCATTCTTGTCAAAGATAAATTTTGTATTTATTTCCTTCAACTGCCAATTAAAAAAAATATTACTGTTCAAATATATAGGGATTTTATACAAATGTGCTTATTTACTAAGTTAATTTAAGACAGAATAGAATACAGAAGTCTTCATTACACAATCCAAACCCCCCATAAAATCATTGTGAGTTAAGACAATTCTGGAATTCATAGTACTATTCACTCTAGGCCAACAAATGTTTTAGTGCAAAAAAGTGTTTACTAAAACATGGAAAACCATGCTCACTTAAAGCAAGATAACACAACCTCATAGGAAATAGTGACAAATTGGATTTGATATTGTGCTACTGATACAACAGTTTTCCTACATCCCCTCTCAATCTTTTAATTTATAAGGTGATACAATTAAAAGGTGGCTTTAAAACAATATCCACTCACTTGACCAAAAATCAGGTCTCTTTCAGTATTGGGCCTGTTACAGTACATAAGGTCACAGATAACCCGGTTTGTGTTGAAGTCTCTCTAAAGGAGGCCCAACGTACTATAAACTACAAGAGTTTAGTTTTTCTTCTATTTCCTTCTTATCAGTTGAATAAAAAAAAACTTTTTGAAGGTTTCTTGGAAAGCAGAAGAAGAGAAGTAGAAGATGATGGGATCCAAGCAAGCATTGAATGTGCTGAGAAGGAGCACAAACCTACGCCACTTGGGGCTTTTCCTATGGATGTAACCTACTATATGAGTGATGTTGTAGGGGAGAAAACAGAGGATGAACACGAGTAGAGTTCCCAAGGCCAGGCCAATAGCTCTCTGTTTCTTTTTATGGTTGATGTTGGCCAGGGTGTTGAGGATGTGGATGAAATTCAAATAGCAGAAGGCTGAGATTATAAGGGGGATGAAGAAGAGGACAACGCACAACTCGATACGAACAGGGAGAAGTATGGCCAGCTGTTCCTCTGTGAAGTCATCGTAGCACAATGAGTAATTATCAGATGCGTTCTCTGGTCGGAAGTGCTCTGTTATGTAGACAATGCTGCAGTGGGCAGAGGAGAAGATCCAGATGAAGATGCAGACCATGATGACATACAGCGGGTGACGTTTCTTCTTGTACGTGAAGGGGTAGGCCACTCCAAGGTACCTGTCAACACTCACTGCTGTCAGAAAGAGAGTGCTTATGTAGATGGTTGAGAAGAAGATAAACGCGCTCAGGGAACAGAGGAAGTTGGGCAGGACCCACTGCTGGTCATAGAAGGCTTCGGCCATTTTGAAGGGCAGAAAGAGCAGGAAGATGAGGTCTGAGACTGTCAGGTTGATCAAGAGGATGTCGATAGGAAGGGGTTTGAGTCGCACCTTCAAGCTGAAGGCATACAGCGCCAGCACATTTGATGGCAGTCCTGTAAGGAAGGTTACAATGTAAACAGCCAGCGCTAGCAAATCCATCTCTGTGGTCGTTTCGAGTCTTCAGGATAGAAGGTTACTGGGCACCTGCAGCAGAACAATAAAGAAGCATTAAGTGAAATTATATGGTAAAATAGAAGCAAGAGGATATTCTTTGTGTTTATATCTGTAGCAATATAGTTTGGGCTGACCAAGATGACAAAATATGGTCCATTCAATTCACATTTCCATTTTAAAACAGATGAATGTCTCCCTTATACATGCTCCTGTTGTAAAACCAACAAGATCGTACATTTTGAACAGTACACTTTGAACAATTCCACCTTATTGCCACTGACAAAATTTTACTCAATATTACTATATCAGTTTAAGGGTACCACTTTCCAAAGTGACTAGAAGTACCCTTTCTCTACATTATTTTTTTCATCATTGCAACCAATCAAAAAACAGTAACAGTACAACTACAAACCAGTACTCTTGACGTCTATTATTACAATAGTTCCTGTCTAAGGAACTTCAAACCATGCCAGTTTGCCTACAGAGAAAACAAGTCAGTGGATGATGCAGTCTTACTGGTCTTCTTGATATATTTCAAGATGTAGAACCACCCAACACGTATGGCCAAATCCTCTTTATTGAAAACAGTGCTGCTTTTAACATGATTTCAAACTTTTTGATAAGGAGGATACCATCTCTAAGCCTTTCAACTTGAACATGAAAACTCAGGGCTGTGTCTTATCACCTTTGCTTGACACTCTGTACACAAATGACTGTATTACACATTCAGATTCAGACAAAATGTTCAAGTGCGCTGATGACACTACTCTCGTAGGATTCATTACAAACAGGAGTCAGTATACAGGAATGAAATAGCTGAAGAATTGAACTGTGCAGCCTAAACAACCTACAACAACTGCCAGCATAAGAAAGATCTTGTGATTGACTTTAGGCAAAGGAAAGTAGAGCTTTTACCACTATCTCACCACAGAAATTCAGGGCTGTCAGCATGGAGGATATCTATCCCATATCTCTGGATTACCTAGCTCCGTGCTACCACCTATTCCTCCTTGTTCTCCCTGCTGGATCTCGGAGGTGGCCTCTGGCAGGTAGAGCTGACTACGGAATCTTAACCCAAATCGTAAGGGCTCATGGGCTGTGGTGATTCATAGCGATGCTCTTTGGCCTCTGAAGCTCCCCCAAGATGCTTAAGCAGAAGGCCCCGGAGTCAAAGCCCCCACCCACTCTCTGGTGTACTTGGATGACCTAATGATAATGGACTGTCTCATGACTCCCCCCCCCCTTTCCCCCATACAAGGTTCACTCCTTCTTATTCCTCATCCTATAAAACAGAGGAGAAGTCTTTATTCTGTCTCTTTGTTCTCTTACCTGTCCTGCAGATGCCTTGCATCTCTCTCTCAGTCTTTCCAGAGATCTCTCTCCTGTGACTCACATGCACCTCTGTAAATAATTTTCCAACCTGTCTTTCGACACTGCCATCAGTAGGAAACACCAAGCTTTACTGCATATTATAAACCCATGCATAGTAGAATAATCAAACTTTATACTTACAAGACCGAGAGGAGTGAAAACTAGAACCAAAACGCTGTGATGAGCAATCCTATGCTGAATATTCAATGATGTAGTGACAAGCACAACGTTTGCTTTTATTCAACAACAACAATAAAGACTTCATATTCAGAAGCTGCTTTATTTTTTGTGCAGAGCTTTCTTTCATAAACACACAATCTTTGCATACTGGCTGTGTAAAGAAAAAAGTATTAGTATGGCACTCAAGCTGCGAAGCAAAAACTGACCCACATAATATTCTAGCTGTCTGATTGGAAGGCATGCATCACAGCTTAATTAAAACTGCAAAGAACAGCAAGAAGTATAAAATTCAGATTAACCTTATGGAGTAATGTCAAATCTATAATTAGCCAATTTTCATATATTTTATAAGATGTGGAGTACAAATTTCTATTAATTAGAATGTGTCACTGCAGAAGTACATAGTAGATTTTAAACTTCCGCAATCTGTAATTATTTATCCCAGAAGGAAGAAAAGAAAAAGGTAATTCTTCTTTTAGGTATGAATTTAAAGCCGTAAAAACGTTTCTAAGTAAATAGAAGATAGTTTAGAGCAATGTAAATTTCACCATGAGCCAGTGCAAAGATGCAACACTTTTTATAGCATCATTAATATATTTCATTAGTGCTTATGTGATTCTGTGTCTCAAGGTTACCATTTATGGCAATTCACCAGTTCTCTAACATCTGTGTGATGACTCTTATTATTTTCAACATTTATTATTACTTTTTGTTTGCCCTTTTACCATGTGAGAAACTACTAAAGAAATACAGTATATGTCTCTTATTAAATACTGTATGTTTTCTACTGCTTTGGAGAAGGTATAAAGTATAATGCCACATCCTTCAATCATGGCTTTAAATTTCCTTTTTCCTTTTCTTTCTAGTGATGACACGTCGGCACAGTGATAGATATTATTACACGTACAGCTGATCATATCAATGTGTCCCGGATTTGAATCCCATTTTTTAAAAGACCATCATCAGATTTGTGCTGCTTATTCCAATAAGTCAGGTAAACTCCAAGTAAAAACATAAACTATGCTATTTAAGATATAAACTTATATAAACTGGAGTTTCAGTAAAAACACTTTGAATAAAAACCTTTACTCACCTCTGAGGAGCTCACTGTGTTGTAAGCCTCTTCGATGTTGGATTTAGGCAGTGGGTTTCCTCATTCCTAAAAACTAAACAACTATCATAAAAGTAAACAGGAAACTACGGAAGAATTTAGTAGTATAGAATTTAGCTTATAAACAAGTAATGTGGAAGAAAAGCCCCAGAATTCACCCCAATCTATTTACGTTCTCTTAGATGTGTTTAGAAAGCATAGAGCTTAGGAATAGTACCCATGCACTATTTGTTTCCAATATTATGGTTTTGTCCCCTTTGAACTAAAAAAAAAGTTGTTGCTGCAAGGAAGTAAAGATTTAATTACACATTGCAAATCCAGGTAATCTGCAAAATCTATGTTTGCTTACTCCCTAGCACAAGGCATATATTTGCCTACAGAGAGATGTTAAAAACCCAGCAAATGGGAAACATTAACATTTTTGGGGATATACAGTAAAGCACGATATATCCAAATTATTCTTTTAAAAAAGAATATTATTTTAAATTGAAGAGTTTTGAAGTGATTCAAAACATTATACTCCGATTAAGAATGTAACAGTGCAATCAGCATTTATATTATTCTGAAATATCTTTATCATCATCATGAGAAGAAAGAATAGAATACCAATGAGAAGAGGTCATTTGCTAGATTTGACCACCCTCGGATCTCATTCAGTCGCTTCTTGAAGGAAGCCAGGGTATTGGTTTCAACAACAAGATAGGAGAGCTTGCTCCCACAACCCACTGGGCAAAGAAGTGCTTCCTGTTCTCAGATTGAAATGCACTTTACATGTAGCTTCTGCTCTTTACCGAGTGAAATCACTGACTAATTTTCACACTGTGACTTGGGTTCTGTACCAGGGAGTATCTGTCAGTCTTTGATTGATGCACTAGGCCAAGGAGAAAGAACCAGTGTTGCAGAGTGAGAGGACCGGGGAGACTCCTGGGAATCTTAGGAGATACGTGTTAAGTACTTTCCAGTGATTTACTATATATCTGGAATCTGAACAGCATGATTCTGTCTTAGAATTTAGTTGTGCATTGAATTTCAAACTTGCAAAAAAAAAAAATACTTCTGCAATTAAGAGCTCAACAAGCCATACTTGTTTGAAACAAAAGATGCAGCATGATCGTATACTGTATGCAAATACTTTGTTTTAGAAAGACATCCTGTTCATCATATTACTACTGAAGACTTCACCATTTCCAAGAATGATATTAGTCAGGGGTATTTGCTTATTGTATCTGTCCATTGTGTATCAGGTCTAATCCTAATCAGTTTATACCTTGTTTGCAAACCAATCTTATTTACTTGAGACTCAAACAAATTTCCCCAAAGGGACATTAAAGCTTGAATTGAAATTGAATTGAACAATGTGAATCCTTTTGGAAATATTGTCTGTGATAAAGGGCACCATAGCCTATCAATAAGCTTTCATTAGAAGTTATTAGAAATTCCTTTGTATGAATTTAATTCATATGAAAATACAAGTCTGTAACTAATGGCCTATGTGCTCATATAAAGAAATATCCAGAAAATATTTTATTCAAAAGGTCATTAAACAGTTACATATTAATATTCTGTAAGATATGCCAGCAAACAAAGCAATCCAATAACATAACACACAAACATACAAAATAGCATAGTAACACATACTGTATGGTGAACAGAGTTTAATATACAGTATAACATATCATGCATATCAGCGTATTTGATCGTAATTAATTACTGGTTGAATGACAGTTATCAACTAATAAAATGACAAGGTTTTATGCTTTGAGTGCTGTGCTGTTAGATTTGTCCTGCATTCTTCTGGACCATACATTCCATGCAAAAGGAATAAATGATCTCACCAGTTGTACAATAGAGTTCAGCAGTTACCATAGATATTGTCACTACCATAGTCTTCAATGCTTGAAGTCTGAAAAACAGGGAAGCCAGAAAAGTTCATTTTAAGAAAAAAAAGTGCAACAATGAAAAATTTTAAAGGTGTATGTACATGCTGAGATGTTTACTTCAAACTCTTAACAAAGTCCTGCTTTGTGCAAACACATTGGTTTGTAAAATGAGCAAGAGCCTGCAAATAGATTTCACACTGCATAATGTTCTGGCAATAAAGAAACTAGTGTCCAAAGTGAAGGTGTATAATAAAGCAATTCAAACATATCATTCAGTAAGTGTAGAATAGCAATGCAAGCCCAGATCTCTGAATCTCTGTATGATTCCTTTATTAATTAAGTTACTTTTGGTTTAAGTCTATTGAAGAATAGCTGATTCCTAAAGATTATTCCAGAAAGCATTCTCTTTAATGCTTTTAGGTATAGTTTATAGTATACTTTCTAAAATACAATACAGTATTAGAAAAATAAAAGGTGTTGGCCTTACAAGACAGTTAAAGACAAAGGTGTCTACCAGTATTACCAGTAATTTTTCTGTGACTTACCTGCCCCCAGTCATTTTTGTAGACAGCTTCTTGCAGATCTTGCCAATCGGTGTTTGCATAAATGTCGTTCCCGTCAGGACAGGTATTTTCTCGTGTGTTCCTGGCTACAGGGATGGATGGAGGCATGGGCTGAGGAGGTGTTTTTCTGGATGAAGACAAAATTGATGCATGTTCACCACGGCACGTAATTGAAACAGCCACCCTAAAGCTGTATAAGAAAATCCACTGGTTCAGAAGCCAATGGCCTAGTTTCGCCATTCCTCTGAAGTCAATCCCATTACAAAATACAATTGATTCAGCTTGGCCATGATAAGGCTGAACGCCGTAGAATAAGCAGGACCCTATGCGGCGTGTGATGGTTTTCTGGAAGACAGACAGATCCGAAAAGTTCAGTGAAATCCAAAGGGCAAAGAACATGGCTGAAAATCAGGAAGAGTTGTTTGGGAGAAATGCGCAGAAGGAGTTTGTCGACAGGCAACGAGCTCACAAGAGAGAGGGGCTCCAATAATGAGTGTGGTAATGTTGGATATGAGGGTTTAAGTAGTGAAGGAGACAGGTGTGATAGGTTAACAAGGTGATGAGGTGCAATAGGTGCACAAAAATAATTTTTGTGAAACTGATTTGAACTTACTGTAAATACAAAGATGAAACAGTATCAAACATAAATCTCACATTCACTTTATTATGCTTACTTGGAATGAGTTTTCCTGTATCTCCGCAGCCCAATAGCAAAAACGAGAAGGACGACTGTCAGTCCTAAAGCTCCTAAGACAATCTTCCATGTTGAGTCACCTGAAACTGAAAAGCCTGGAGAGTTTCATAAAGACAATTAGTTCCCTCTAGTGGAAAGACTGGTAATAGGGGGTTTGAAAACAATTTTAAAGGTTTGACATACTGTACAATCATAAAAACTTTACAGGTATGTGTCAGTTAATCAATATGGCAAAATAATATGTATTTTTGTAATTATAATTATGATTCTGAAACCTAACACCCCCTTTGTTTGTCACATTAGAAATCATGTGCATATTAAGACATTAATCATGTAAGTCATTAATCATTAATCAATTAATCATGTGCATAGCTTACCAAAGCAAATACAGCAGTTTGTTATTTCTTCCTGTAATAAATAAATGTGTTATATTTAGTAGCTAAGTACAGTCTCTTACGATTCAATGGTTGATTATACTGATGACAATCACATTTAATTTTAGATTAATCCTACTGAGCAGTGGGATATTTGACCATTTTTCTCAAGAGTTTTTGCATTTTATTAGTTCTATTATTATTTGTTTGTTTGTTTGAAATATTGGGTGAGTTGTTTCATTTTACTGTTGCAGTGTGATCATTTACAACCTACCAGTCAGTGTCAGCTGGAAAGATTTCTTCCCAAGGATGTTGCTGGGGGAGCAGGTGATATTAACCACAGATTTCAGTTTCCCAGTCAGTACTTCAGTCACCAAATTCCCATTTTCTGTTCTAGATTTGTTAAAGGGGGCAGTATTGGAGGATGTGTTGAAATACCATGTGATAGAAGCTGGAGGGTTAGAGTCCACCAGGCAAACACACCTTAACTTCCCTTCATTAAATAAACAGTGGGATCCAGGAAGGATTTCTGGTGTATCTGCAATTCAGACAGAAGAACCGTAACTGCATTGGGAATACATTTTTGTTTTGCTTTCTGGACTGAATGTTACCTGGTCAAAATAGCTATTCCTGAAGTTACTGCTGTTGATCTTAGTTCAGTGATCAGATACAGTATACTGTTTACTCTGTTGCTCTGTTTGTGAAAAGAATCAAATCAAATCACATATGGCTGTTAAGTGAGCTTCTGGAGACCAGTTTCACTAGTCTGATTTCAAAGGGCTAATGTATTCATGCTGAATTATGAATTATTACAACAAGGCTTGAAACCGGAGTTTCTGCCCCAGAAACTTGCAGAAAACATTTTCTATTAATTTTCAGGACTACATATCTGAGCCTTAATTTAAACAAGGTAATGTTGTGAAGCAAAAAGCTTCATTCTTAAGTGTATACTGTTTCAAAAAACAGCACTTACACTGAACATTCAGAGGGCTGACATTTGAGTTTGTTTCCCCAACTTCATTCTTTGCCTTGCAGTAATATGAGCCTCCTTCTCTGGACACGTTGGTTATTCTCAGTTCGTTGGAATTCCCTTTTAAAAGACTTGCTCTTTGACCATGCTTTCTGTACCAGTAGAAGTTTGAGGCGGGTGGAAATCCCTGACTGTGACAAAACAGAACAACCGCACCTCCCTCTCTCACTGCTTCGGGGATTTGAGTCCACTGTACTTGAGCCGGAGCATCTAGATTGAAAAATAATGTTAAAAACAGCATTACTGGAACTGCACAAAAGAACAAGATAAAGTCAAATTCTAAAAAATGAAAAGGGTAAAATTGAACGTGATCTTGAGATCCAGGAGGTGCTGCTTTCAACATGAATGCATTAAGATGGGAGTTTATATCTTCTGAGCATTCAGACTCTAATTGTTTTGGGAAGGGCATTACACAATGTAGCAACATGCTAGTGCGATCTACAAAGATTTAAATGTTTCGCTAGGGGTTCTTTGTCATTTCCTGGTTGCTCATGTGAAGATCCTGGCATCTAGATCTTATGATCATGACATAAGTCACAAAACTGAGAAGATAACATACTTCTTTACCCAAAGGATTGTGGGATTATGATGGTTTATTAAAGCGAGTACCTTGAATTCCGTAGGAATTGGCTTGATGACATCCTTGGATCAATTAACTTCTAACTACCAAATGAACTAGATGGGCCTCTTGTTTGTAAACTTTCTCATGTTCTCATGTGTTTCCACTAATCTGTATGGTCAAGACCAAAGCATCTGCTCATTACCTAGGACAGGGCAAATTCAGTCCTTGTTTACTTGATAGCCACTTGATTCTAATTACCCCTTTAGCTGTGGTACATAAATTAGATGTTCCCTTATTGCTATTTGTAATTATTTTTGAAGAACATTTTGGACTTGGATCTGTGTACGATTGACAGCACTGCTGCTGTAAAGTCTGGATTGATCAGCCTGGGTCTCTTAGCTATCTGTATTTGGGCAACATGGGCTCCTATGATTTGCTGGGTGTCTGTCAGCTTGCATTGAGCTTGCAAGAGACACAGTGTTCTAGTGTTGACATTACCATAACCAATGGCTCTACAGGTGGACATGATGGAAATGCTTTCCAATGTATCCCATTCTCTCCTGAGGAGGTACTGTATAAGGATTGTTGCCAAGAAGCTGAGTTTTAAAAATTGATTATTTAAAGTGAGTGAATATCTAATAGAAAAGTAATATAGTATCACTGTTGCAAGACAGAAATTGTGCTTCCAGGTTAAGTTCTATTTCTAAGAAACAAAGACATTTTTGGAGCATCTACAATACAGGAAAGGGGTAACAAGTCAAACTTAATTGCAGGTATTTATAACACATTTGATGACACTGGTATCAAAAGCAAGCATTTCACAGTAATTTTAAATGTATTTTCACAAAATGTTCAACAGTGATGATTCTAACACAAAGGACAACCATGTTAAATGTAATGTATGATGTTGTCAAACTACAACTACTGTAAAACATACTGTAAGTACATAGAGTGAAGGCCAAGCTGCACAAAGTGTAAACTCCATATACAGGCTTTTTTCTGCAGAGAACTTTCTTTCTGAAGCCTTCGGACTTCAACTTTCTGGCCCTAACATCTTGTAGATAGACTGTCACTATCGCTAACCCCTCCTCTTAAGGGAGCTCCAGCTCTTCCTTGTTCCCTCCCATTGTTTGCACCTGATCCCTATTCCCGTTCCCCCTTAAAAGCCAGGCGCTGACGCTCATCCGGGCTCTGCATCTGATTTCCATATCGTGCGAGTCCGGGACCTGGAAGCGCCTGGTCCCGTTAAGGTTTTAACCCCTGTTCCTGTTCCTGTTCCTGTTCCTGTTCCTGTTCCTTGTCCCCTGTCCGCCGGTTCCGACCCGGCCTTCGTGGTTTTTAATTCCTTCCTCTGATGGATCTCCTGGTTTTGGACTTACCCTTGCGTTTTGGATTTTCCCTAAGGATTACTCTCGGATTGTTCGCCTCGGCCACACCTCCCCCGTGCACCAGTGCACCTTGGACACGCCCCCTTGTCTTCAGCCCCGTTTTCCTGCATGACGTTTCCCTAGTGTTTCCCCACTCCGTCGGACTGTGTCGTCCGCATAGGGTCCAGAAAGAACTGTTCGTTACATAGACCACTAGAGTAGTCATCAGATGACTGAGATTTGAGATCTCAATAGGTTAATGGAGACAGGTTTGTGGAGCATACTCAAATAAAGCTGATGAATGAAACAGACAACTCTGAAAGATGGGGATGGATTTAAATTATATCTTAATTAATGGACAGATTCTTTAGTGGCACGTTAATCATAGTGATTATCAAATAACTTAAGCTTACAAGGAGAAGTGGCTATTCGGCCTCTCAAGCCTGTTTCTAGTGGCTAACTGATCCAAGGATCTCATTCTACCATTTCTTGAAATATGCCAGAGTAAAATTCTAATTGTAATAAGTTATATAAGCTTGTTAAACATACAGTTTTTCAGTTAAGTATCCCCATCTCTTTCTGCATGCAAGGGATACATAGCAACTTCATTGATTACAGTACATTCTATTTTTATGTTGCATCATGTTCCAGTAATTTATTCTTTCCTTGAGGTGGTGTTGACCTTCAGGAAGGTTCACAGCATTAGGTAAATCAGACAATGTACTGTGTTTGATCTTGTAAAATTAGATATCATTGAAGCAGAAGGATGGAAAGGGAAAACAGGATAGCATGTTAAGAAGATAAAAAACCTTAAACATCCAAAGCAGAAGTAAAGCAGTATTTCCTCTTTCATTTCTTACAGTATGTTCCTAAAAGTATTTTTAAACCTAAAGCTCGATGAATGACCAGAAATGGTAAAAGTCAGTGTAGGAGACCAGTCATAAAAGATTCTACAGTGAGGGGATTTTATATCAGTTTGGGACGATATATGGAACGATTCGTTTTTTTAGAAAAGAAATACAATTTTCCAGCTTTATTACTCACATTCTATGTTCAATGAAAGCTGAATGCTTGCTGATCTGGGCCCAGGGTGTGTGACATTACAGAGGACTTTCTCATCTGTCCTTTTCGCCGTCCATGTCAGGACAGCGGTTGACCTCCACACACCTTCATAAGCAGGGGTGTGGCTGATTTTCACCTGTCCCTCAAGCCCGGTGAAGCTGAAAGACGGCGGAGTGTCGGGACAGCTGTGGTACGTGCTGCAGCGAACACTCATGAGCTCTCCTTCCTTGCTAGGGCCTTCAAGAGTGATTTCCGGCTCTGGGGGATCGTCTTGAAGCACAAGAGTACAAGATGACACAAACACACGATTTAAAGTCAAACAGCTTCTACACCATTTGTTTTCATTTTATGCAAACTGAATGTGTTTTGGGGATTTTATACCTCCATTGTTTTGTATCCCTCATTTGGAATTATGGAAGTATTGGTCAGCATGGCTTACCATTGCAATGCTACCACCACAAAGGTAAGAGGGGCTTGTGAACATGCTATTAAGCCAAGCACACTATTGAGTTAGTTCCCCATTTGGTGCATTATAATCTACAAGCATCATAGAGGCCTTGGGCCTCTGTTACATAGTTAAATGGGGTTATATTGGTTGATGCCTGTAACAATAATTATCCTCTTACAAATAACCACAGGAAAAACCCTAATGTTGTACTCCAATTTTGAACCAGTAATGTTTGGATCTAAAGACCTCTTGACTATATTTTTAGCAACAACAACAACAACAACAACAACAACAACAATAATAATAATAATAATAATAATAATAATACGGTTAATCATTCTGATGGAGAAATGTTTGCAGTGGTGAAAATATTCAAGAACAATCTATAGACCTTAATCTTGTGTGTACATTTTGTTCTTGATTCTGAGACAATTATTTTTTCTTTCATTCCCAGTAGCACTTTGGAAGACTACCTGACAAAGAGAAAAAAAGGATACAAACAATTAATTTCCCTTACTTTGGATTCGAAGCTCAACGTTTGTGTCGTAAAATGCATAAACCCGCCAAGAAATATAATCAGGATCCACCCAGGGATAAATTTTCTCCTTATGGTGACTCATGTTGAGGTCAGTAATTTTCAGGCTGCAGTTCCTAGCGTCCACATTTCCTACCAGCCTTGTTCGCTGCCTGAACTTGTCAATCACATTGTTTGGATTCCTTTCATCAAACACAAGAGGGTAACCATGACCCGCATATTGATACCAGACCACTATAAAGTTTTTAGGAGGATCAGAAGAGTAATCAAAACTACATGGGATGACCATACAGGACCCTCTCAGGCCAGTCATGTGCTTTGGCAATGTCACTGTCCATCCATCACAAAGGTCAGCAAAACCTGAAAGAGTAAAATTGGAACAAATGTCTGTAAGAAAACTAACGTATTAATATGAAAAATATAGCTAGCTGTATCTTGAGAACTCCCATTGAAACAGCTTTGACTATACAGTTGTTAAAGAATTGTATATTTTTCTTTGTAAATATTGTCCTTTAGATTTACGAAGCTCAATGTTCCGTAATACCTACACTCGTGTATATTTTTTATATATTTATCATTTGCCATATTTGTACTTTTTTTTTTCTTTTTGGGTAGTATAAGAAAATAAACATACATTGCTGTAAAAAAAACATTGATTTAAGTAAGTTAACTGTTATCTACAGCCTTTTCAAATGGGGTTTAGCCATAATGAAATCTGGTAATTGTTAGCAAATATGAACAGAATCATTATAAGCATGAGGACCAGTTTTGTGGGATTTAGAGATCAGAGCACTGATGATTCCATTATGAACAATGCAATAAGTCCGCACGTAGCGATATAGGTATTATATAACAATTGTGCTATCGTGTGATCACATAAAGTTCGCAAGAATTACTATCTCGTAATTTTCTCGTAATTACAAGATATCTTTGTCGTAATTATGAGATAAGGACAAGGATTTTTTTTTCCTTGGTGGCAGCAATGCGCTTCCGTACCATTAAGAAATAAAGGAAAAATTAAATTACTTAACAAATACTTGATATTTTTACATTTCAAGTTTATATACAGTAGCTATTACAATTTCTGACCATTTTAAAAATGTTGTTTCCTGAACAGTTACATAAAAATATAGTTACTAGAGGAACAGTTGATTTAGTAAAATTAAGGTAATTTTTCCCTTTATAAATTCCAGAGAAAAGAACATTTGTAATAATTCACACATGCACAAAAATAGTTAATTATTGAGGAATATGTCAAATATTCTTACCTTGCAAGAATAAATAAATAAGGAAAGGACTCATTGAAACCTTCTTGTGGTTAACTTCCAAAATAATATAAAAAATTAGAGATCCCCAATACAAGGCATTCTTTTTAAACACACTGATGTGAAGACAGAGGAGAATGGCAACACTCTTCGTGTACACTCTTTATATTAATTTTTAACTTCAGGTTTAAAAATGGCATTTGTGGTCTGGGTGACATCAGAGGAAATGTCGTGTTTTGTTTCCGGAAATACAGAATACAGATACTGCTTTGGTCTTAACAACAGTTTCCGTGAATATTTATTTTGTAGTTTCTATTTATCTTACTAAGTAAAGCTTTTGTTTCTGTAGTTACATAGATCATTTTACTTCTGCAGTTTGGTGCTTTACAGAAACATTTGAAATTGAAAGTGTTCTGGATTTCATAAGATTGGTTTATTATCATATAATGTGCAGTAAGTGGACAGCTCTCTTTTGTGCCTACAGTATGTTGTGGAGCTCTTTAAGCTTACGCAGATGAGGAAAAGCCTCTAAATAATGTAATGACCACAAATGATGTCAAGACACCTAAAAGTCTTTCTTTTGTAGTTTAGATTTAATGAGGCTATGTTTTATTTTGTGAACAGTATTTCACTTACGATCCTGAAAGGCCTGAAAATAAAATGTGTATAAAGCCTAAACGTCAACATAAAAAAAAAAAGTATTCCTCAGTTTACTTTATTTGGAGTGTTTCAAATGGCCTCCAAGCTTATCAGGAGTCAGAATCTGTTTTTCATTAGCTTAAGTCCTTTTGTTGTTGTAGAGATTAACAGTTTGTTTCTTGGATGCCTTTATTTAAGGGAAAGCACAAAGGGTACAAAAAGAAAACAAAGACAAAGAAAACTTTATACTGATTTATTTTTTAAATACCAACTTGTAAGTATAACAAAAATATAATACAGAAAATATACAGTGAAACTGAACATCAGCAGCAAAGAGCTGCAAAGAGCTTTCACTAACAGGACATTGTTAGTGAAAAAACGTTGTAGGGTTGACAAATCTTGGTGAGTTTTCAGTCCTGGTGTTTAACAGTAGTTAATTCTACTACAGGGAGGAAAGGCAGGAAGGAGAAGAAGGTGGTTTGGCAGATAGGACAGACAGAAAATAGACTCCTAGTCAGCCAGCAAGAGAGCATTGTGCTTCTTCTTTTCTCACCCCAAAACGTTTTTAGACAAAATAAAAGAAAGATTTAATACTGAAAAACAAAGAGAGCCCCCCAGTTTCCATCATATTGCTAAATATCATCTTTTTCCAAGATAATGAAATGGAGCTGGAATGTCTCAAACATTTTCATAGATTTCCATGAACTCCATCTCCACCTCCTATTAAAAAAAGAAATTTGTGTTAATGTCTAGTTATGCTTTGCTGTTGAATTTCTCAGTATAATATAACCATGTTCTTTCATTGATGTTTTATTTGGGTGATAAATCCACAATCCAGTACTTAATTTGGGTTAATTAGGATAAAATTTAATTTGGGTAAAAATCTAATTTTATGTTCAAATTGAAGTTTAACTCAATCTGTTCATTGAGGTCAGATATGGAATTTAAACCCACAGGCACTGCAGCTATCTAGGTCTTGAGCTGTGCACTTGTCTATATTGAGATTGAACTTTTTAAGCATGTGGTCAAGGAGGTTGCTTTGCATGGTAAAAGCATTTGAAACTAAGAGCTGTGGAGAAATTTAGGTTTAAATCTGACATATAATTCATCTTTGTGTGGATAATATTATTGTAGACTCGGTATCCAACACCTTCTCTTATGTTTACATTATGTTGCCTTTTAAGTGTGTTTGGTTACATTACCTCTTTCCTATCAGCCAGCAGAAGATGCCTGGAGTAATGTGATTGCTCCTCTTCTGTGATTGAAAGCCTCCGCAAAAGCCGTGTTTCCTCTTTCAGGTTGTTAGCTTTGCACATCTGGTCTCTCTGAGTCAAAGCTTGACCATACACACAGGTTGAGGGGTTTCTACATATCACAGAAAACCACACCAGTAACACACACATAGGAGATTGCATAGGCTCCAGAATCGTGCTTCTCATACTTATCATCCAGGTGGGGCTGCACATTGGTGGTGGTGGAGGGCAGTCCCCATTACCTGTAAAGCGCTTTGAGTGGAGTGTCCAGAAAAGCGCTATATAAGTGTAAGCAATTATTATTATTATTATCATTATGGACCTTGCAACTTAGAACTGTTGGGTGATCCTACATTTTGGTTCTAATTGCATCCATAATGTGGTATGTTTTTTTTTTGCGGTTTTCTCATAAGTCACCCTGTAATAAGTGATTATGTCCTACTAATTTTGTTCTATTGAAGATCTGTGGAAAGACTTGAAAACTGCTGACCATAAACAATCCCAGACCAAGCTGAGAGAGCTTGAGCAAATTTGCCAAGAAGAATGGGCAAGAATCGCACCAAGCTAGTACGAGCTGTTAGTAGAGAACAACCCACAAACACTTGGGGTTGTAATTACTGCCAAAAGTTCCTCCAGCAAATAGTTCAGAGGTCCGATCACGTTTGCATTCAGTATATTTCTCTAGTTTTGTTGGTGACCTTTACTGTAATTTATCTTACCTGGAGATTTTTGAGCTTTCAGGTTTTGGATAAAATATTAAGCTTAAAACATGTACAGGTATACATAATTTTGTAATTCAACAAAATGGGACACCATCGGAAAGGTTTTAATACTTTTACATTGAATAGGGTTTGAATAATTTTTACATGATAACAAGAGATCTGATTCAGAAAGTCAAAGATTTTAAACCCTTGACACTGACAAAAACATACCATAATGTAACCTAAGGGTGAGGGTATTTTAAAACTGAAAATCAGAGGCACTTTATACAAAGACTTTGGAGTGCCTCAGTCAAGTTGATGAAGCAAATAACTTCCCTTTTTAAAGAATGGATTAATTAGGTCTTCTATTTAATTAACTATTAAAAAACAAGTAATAAAAATGAACCTTCTTCTATTCTGATGTTCAAGGACAATATTGTATAATTTAGGCAGGAGCGCAAATGAACCAGTTGCAATAAAATGGGAAGTGAAACAGTTTTGAGGTTTTCCCCAATCATTATTTCTGTTTTTGAGAAAAGAAACTGTTTTATTTCTTTAACAGGTGCCACCACCACCACATTGTAGAACTAGTATCTATCGATTCTTACTTTCTAAAAGCGTTGCTGGACATTTGATTCAAACATTGTTCAGGGCCAGCATGCTTACAAATGTCATGACATGTCATATTATACATATGTAGTTCAGGTGGGTAGCTGTGTCAGCATGCGTAGGTTGCAAAGGAACAAGTAATAGGTTTATTCCATGCTGAAAAGAGAAGAAAGAAAACACAACGTTTTGGCCGTGGAGCCTTCCTCACACCTATTATACATATGGTACCCACCCAGCAGAAGTGATTCTCTCCATGTCCTTGCCTCTTAAAGACTGGTTTTTCTGTCTGCACAAAAGAAAATATTAGTTAAGTATTTATAAAGAAGGGTAACACAGTGGCATAGTGGTAAGTATTGCCGTCTCCCAGTGATGGAGAACCGGTTGAAATTCTGGACCAGGGGTGCTATCTGCATGGAGTATATATGTTCTCCCCATGTTCGTGTGGGATATCCTAAGGTGATTCCTGGGGGAATTTCATACACTGTCCAAACAGTCCACAGCCCACAGTCCAAACATACACTGTTGGGATAATAAACTTTTTTGAAACCTGGCCCTGTGTGTGTGTTTGTGTTTCTGCTCTGTGATGGACTGGTGTCCCAACCAGGGTGTTTCCCTTGCGTTTTTCAATGATGCTTGCCAGGATACTTGAACTTGAACTTGAACTTTATTGCCATATGTAACCGGTACTAGTACAATGGAATTCTTACTTACAGAAAGTTTCTCGATTGTAAAACAAGTGTAAAAAACAAGACAAAGTGCAAACAGTGCATCAACAGTGCATCAAGACAATGTACAAACAAACAATAGACAATGTGCAAGTAAACATGTAGACAGTTTGAATGTAAACAATACAGACGTGTAAACAATGACTGGAGATGTGCGATAGATAAGAAATCATAAAGAGCTAGATGGTGACGGTGTAGGTGTGGTCCGAGGGGGATGGCTAAATGTGTTCGCCAGTCTCACTGCTTGTGGATAGAAGCTATTGAAGAATCTAGTGGTAAGTGTCCGTATGCTCTTATATCTCTTGCCTGAGGGCAGTGGGGTGAAGAGCTCATGCCCGGGGTGATGACTGTCCTCTGTGATGGATAGACTCTGGCTCCCCTGTGACCCTAAACTGGTTGAAGAGATTATAAACTGGATGGGTGCTTATGCTTATCTGAGACCTGAAGTCTCCCTGGGATTTGAATCCACAATTGAGTTGTTAGTGTGCACAAGCATGTGCATGTTATGGAGCACTAGAAAAAGTGGTAAAGGGTCAGGAGCACCTATGGTTCAAGTGTTGATGTACGTGTCTAACCATGTGGCTTCTGCTGGCCTGTGATCTTCTACAGGAGTAATCAAGAGTAAATGCCTGTAATATTCTATCATTCATATACTGTAGATATTGGCAATGCCATTGTTTAAAAAAATGCTGTAGAAACATAAAACATTGTGTGTTTTAAGGAACATGTTTTATTTGTGTAGAAATATGCCATGAACTGAATTTTTTATGTCACACTGTAAAAAGAGATACAGTTTTTGAAGTAAGCTATAAGAAACACATGTTTCGGCACATGTAATTTACTGATGCCTTATTAAAAATATTAAAAACAGTTCCTTCTCATTTTCATTGGAAGAGAAACTTACCTTAGTGGGGGTGTTGGGGGCTTTTCATCTGCATCATTGGTAAACTGCCTTTGAAGCAAAGAACAAAATATAATATCTGATGAAACACTTCAGAAGTTCTTAATGAACTTATGTCTACCCCACTGGCAAACGATTTCTCTGTTTTTCTTTCTTTTCAAATCAAGTTATTTGATGACTTTCCTGTGTTATTTTTTGTGTATAAAGTCTGTATTAAACCAAGAATTGGACAGAAAATATTAATATATGGCTGAGCCTCAGGGAGGAGGGAGGAGACAAAGCTTTGAGCACCTCTTCTGCTTTAAATGTTGTTGATGTTTTCCATATTGTGTAGCATTCATTTTCCTATAGTCTGCAGTCATTAAAATAATTAAATAAAATACCACTTTACTAAATCTGATTGAGGTCTCTGCCTTCTCTTTCAAATCTTGACAAGAGACTTTTATCTAAAAAAAGGTGAATTATCCTTGAGGACCAAGTATAATAAATTAAAGTATACTAGATACTATACTGTATATACAACGTTTCCCATACCTGTGATGGACAGGGGTCCCACTCAGGGTGTGTTGTGCCTCATGCACGTTGCTTGCTGGGATAGGCACTGGCTCCCCACTGACCCTTTATTGGATAAACCAGTTAAAGCATAAAGCACTTTGGAAAATATATCCATGATATATCCAGGAATACATGCATGAACGTTTCTTGTATATCACTGAAGCATATAAGAGAGACTAAATGGAGTTTTTTGTTAATTCTTTGTAACAATATTCATACAACAGATGTTTTGTAGAATGAAAGACTGAGTCAGTTTTAGTAATTGGGACCAAGTGGGAGTAAAATCAGAAGGCACAGGGGACCTCCAGAGTTGGGAGGCACTTTGTGGAGATGCAGAAATATGGACTTCATATAATCTGATTCTAACAGATGAGAGAAATCTTATAAAAACAACTGTGCAGATACTTTATAATGAGTCAAATGACTATTAAGGCATCATTGGAGGTAATAAATATGGCAAATGTGTGTTATGTGGTATTGAATACATCAGGATAGGGAAAACAAATGGTCTGAGTGACTTTGACATACAGTAGTATTCTTTTCTGACTAATTGGGGAATCGAGTACATGGATATTTCAGGAAAGAGAACAGCACTGTCTGTCAAAATGTATATGGCAAGGGTTTGAAACAGAACACATCTGTCAGTAGGGTAGTGCATTGTTGGAAGGGACTATTAAAAATTAATTTCAGACCTTCCTGTGCTAACGAACAGGCAAACCCCAGTGCAATAAGTGCATAGCTTTAATGATGATCCTAATCGATGCATGTCAACACACACCATCAAAACGTTAGGAGAAGATTCCTGATACTCTAGTCGATGCATCCAGTATGATTTAATTTTAGAAACAAAAATGTAGATGTAGTGTTAATAGCTAAACATCTAGTAGGAGAAGTTATTAGAGATTTTTATTTCATGGAATGCAGACAATTACTTCAAACGAAGTTCAAAATTAAACAGAAAATGCATTGGAGGTCATTTTCAAACTTGGACCTACTTTCTGTAGTACTTCTTCCATCCAATTACTGCAGATATCGCGATGAGAACAGTGACACAGGTTACAGCAATCGGCAATCCCTTATCCTCATTCCAGGATTCACTGGGTACTATTAGGAAAAAGACAGGGAAGTTAAGGACTTCATAAGTAATCAAGACATCAACCTGGGTTTTAAAAATGTGGAGCTGAAAATGATGTACATAGAAGAGTTATAACAGTGTCTGACCTTACATTGCTAGTTTTCAATGACAAAATGTAACACATGACCTTTATTTAGTTGTGATCGGGAAGTTACAAATGAAATGTGTACAATGTCTTTGTATGCACGAGTTTTTTTTAACACTCTCATTATGAAGGTTATTAGTTTTCCAAAAATACAAGCTAGTGCAAATCCAAAATTCATTCAAGAAAAGAAAGTAGTGTAAGGCTATCTTAAAAAAAAAGACGTCATCATATGTCAGTCTACTCTGTATAGCTTATTTCAATAATTGCTGCTGCTATCTGGGAAGCAGATAGACTTGTCTTTCATGTCAAAATTTTTGCAAAAGGAGTGTGGTTCCGTGCCAAGCACTGGACTTTGAAAACAATTTTTACAGCAAATAATTTCCCACAAAACTGGCATCAGGAATATGGTTGAAAACCACTTCTCTTTGAAGTGCTAACCTATATTATTCAAGCCAATTTGAAAAATGTATTGCTCTATGATTTAAACATTGAATTTCTAGCTTCACTATGCAATGCATATTTTAAGTACCTTCCATGGATAACTTTAAGCTAACTGAAATACATACAATACAGCCAGAATTAAAAGGTGATTAAAGTCTGGCTTTTGAATAATATATTAAATATATTTTAAAATATATTATTGGGGTGTCACAGCACATATGGAAACATTTGTGACTAAGCTGACAGGGATTTACAATATTCATGCTTGCCTTGAGTAACTGGGAGCCTATATATCGTTGTTCCATGTTCATTGGTGGCAGAGCACAAAATGATGACTTGGGCCTCCACTCTCCCCATCAGAATTCCAGATACTGTGTTGTCTCTCACTTCTAAAGAAGTGTTGAAAGCTTTCATGTCTGAACTGCCATTGACATTCCAGCTGATAGAAGCTGGAGGCTTGGAGTCTGACTGGCAAAGGCAGCTGACAGCTCCCTCAATGAGCTCACAGTCAGAGTCAGGAAGAATGTAAGGTTGATCTGCAACAGAACAACATGCCTATTAGACACGATGACATTCTTGATTTGTCATTCCAGCACTCAACCAAAGAACATCTTAGTAGAACACTCAACACAACTTCGACTCTGGGCTGTACTGAATTATGATGCAGATTTTAATTGCCTCATGAAATGTATTGATAATAATTTAAATAATGAATAAGTTACAAAGTTAAAGTGAACTAAAACATACTTACATTCAACATCAATGAAGTGCTGTTTGGACTGTGCTACTCCAATCTGGTTTTGTACAGTGCAGTAATACAGGCTTGAATTTCTTTTGATGTTCAATATGCTTATGTGTTTTTCTGTGTGCTTTAAACTGATTGTCTTTGCATCTCGGATTTCGAACCACTGGTAACTGATTGGTTTGGGGTTGCTGTCGCTGTTACATGTCAAGGAAATGTTATTGCCCTCAATCACGTTCATTTTGTCCATGCTAATTTTCACATTTCGTGGAACATCTAAACAGAACACAGAAGAAATTATGTTAAAAAAATGGAAATGAAGGTGAAGAGGTTTCCTGGAAGTGTAGATATAATATTAGAAAGAAGCAGGCAGGTTGAATACATTAAAGTCCAGCAATTTTATAAGCACGTTCTAATAGGTACCACAGTTCATAATGTCCAGGGGAGAGTTGCAAACATCCCTACAATGAGTATTCTTTGTTTTTTAAGACATCCAGCTGCTTGCATTACTTATTTCTGAATGTCAAGGGTTCTGAACTTCCCCTATTAAATCTCTACACAGATTTGGACTTAATTACAAACCCAATCAAACTGCTTTCAAAACTTTTATATTGCTTAAGACCTTAACGATACAAACCAAAGGCGGTTTTTAACAGACTCATCATCCTGTTGAAAAGTTAATGCGCATGTTCAATTTTTCTTTTTAAACTAGTTCACTTCCATTCTGCTGGGAAAGCAATGTTTTCTTGGTACCCATCAGGAAGAGGGAGCTAAGTCAGCAAACAGGGTAGGAAGTTATGAAATGGCTGGCTTTGTGATTAGAAACTTGATTTTTGTGACCTCTTTTGTCTCCATCTATGGTGAGCAGACAGAAAACAAAATGTCTCAAACCTAGGTCGTTCAATTCACCTTTCAAGGAGGGGCACCTAATGACTCTGTAGATGGGTATTATTATGGATCATTAAGTTTTTACTCTTCGGTTTTGAGTCTGAAGGAATTAACCTGGCTTCACATGCACGTGCTTCACGTGTGAGATGCAGTCATTGAGCAGAAGATTCACCTAACAGTAGCATCATGAGAAAAATTAAACCAAACACAAGCAACTTACATAAAACATTAAGTGTGATCGCTTTGCTTGCCCTCTTTCCCCCATTGTGCTGAACAATGCAGACTAATTCTTTGCCATTGTATGTGCTGGATGCTTTCATTTTCAGAATTGCTGTTGATTTTAAAACTCCCTTAGACTCCTCTGTCTGAGTCACAGTGACTGAAGAGGGAATCATATTCCAGCTGAATGATGGTGGAGAGACAGCACATGTGTGGAGGGTACTGCAGTTTGCAGAGAAGCTGAATCCATTTACAATTAGATGTTGGACCCACAACTGAGGCTTATCTTCTTGTTCTGAAAGAAATAATTTAGGATGCAAGTCAAGTCACATGAGACTTTTGGTATTTCTACATTCTCTGGTATATACAGTATAAACTTATACAGTAAATATTTTTCACCACTGTCAGCACTAATGACACAAGGAAAAAAGCTTAAAATTCTTGCTCTCCAAGCCTGTCCCACATCACATTTACTTGTTTCATCTGTTTCCAACAGAGGTGAGTTTTAGGGAACCTAATAATTTGGCCAGGGCACATAATATGTTATTGGCAAATTGTGAAGTCAGCCTTAAAATTTTCAGCATTTTTTTTCAAAATTACAGACTATTTTGTCTCTAAATCCTAAAACATTTTCAGCAGTGTTTAAGCCACATGTTAAACTATGAATGAGAAATATTTTTCAAACAGATGATTCTGAGTGTCTGGAACAAACTATGCAGCTATTGATGATGCCTTCTAACAAGAAACTGCAGGATGAGACCCTCCGATCAATTTTGCAACATAATGTCAAATAGGCTGGATAGCCTATTTTTATTTGTAATTTTGTACTCTCTTAAGAACATATGCAAGTTTGTAAATGAGAGAAGACCAATCATTTAAATCATTTAAGTACAATACATAATTGATCCCAGTATGCCATTCCTTAAAAGAAGTGATAGTATCAGCTTCATATTTGTACACATTTATACAACGTTTTAGTGAAGAAAATGCTTCATGTTCTCAGTTGTTCATTCCTTTAGGTTCCATTGAATGAAGAGTAGTGGTCCTATTGCAGATCCATGTGGAACTCATATGAAGAAAGAGTAAGCATTGACAAATTGGTACATATGGGATGTAATAGTCGAATAAGGATGAATTTTATTCACTTTGATCATGTAGGTAGTAACATACTGTAATAAAAATCTTTGTCTTTTCAGCATCTTTCACATTTCAGGGGAAAAATGTTGTTCTTTTCTGTAAAAGGCTGACAAACACTGTTTCATTGTTTCCAAAATAAAAACGTTTGTATCTTCTCTGCGGTCTCATGGGTCCAGTTGCACCTGGTGCAATTTCAGACCTTTGTAACAGAATCGCTGCAAGACTACACAGAGGCCAAAACCTACACATAGGCACTGGCAAGGCTGACCATTGTCAAATTTGTGTACACTTGATTTCAGCAGTGGCTGTGGAGTAATGGCATTATTTCTTACTTATAACGGTGATTCGCACAGTCCGGTCGTAAAACCTCTGGTTGTACGTCTCATCCGGGTTAATCCAAACATAAAGCTGCATCTGGTTCTCTGATGGCTTAATGTTACTGATTTTCAAGGAGCAGTTGCCTTGTTGTGTATCCCCAATCAGAGATGTCCGGCCTCTGAATTGATCAATTACGCCTCCCACATCACTCTGGTCATAGACCTTAGGATACCCAATTTTTTTGTATAAGTACCACACCGCTTTTCGATAGGGTGAGGTGTGGCATGGAATGACCACACAGGAACCTTCCATTGCAATGACTTCCTGAGGGATGGTTAATTGCCACGCTTTACTAACTGGGATGAGAACAAATCCTGCAATAAAACAGATATAATGAAAATATAATGATGGTACAGATAACATCTTCTTGCATCATACCATACCTCCAGGAAAGCAAAGTAAAACAATTTTCTTTGTGAAAAGAAGATAAGATTTATTGTCCCCTGAGGGAATTTAGTTGTGGACCCACAGCACTTCTGTACATTTAAATATAATGCACACACCCCAGAACTAAAAAACATTGCACATCACTCTATTGCACATGTATGACACATACAGGTACAACAAAATAATTTCTAGATCCACCCCATACATTTCTCTGAAACTGATTTTTTTTTTTCTGGCCAACACGTTTATCCGAGGAATCTTGCATTGGTTATGATGACCTATTTAGTGTACACTAAGCAGTGGTGACAAACCTTTAGAGACGTTAACAAAACATCTTCAAATTGACAGAAATTCATAGAAGCTTGTCATAGAAGCTACTGTATGGGTTGAAAAGACAAGCAATAAAAAATAACAAAACTGAAAGGGTGTCTTCACAGCTTACAGCTACAGCATGAGCCAGTAATACCTACTACTGAAATAATTTGTGATGTATACGTTTGCTGTTTGTGGTTAAACCCCAAACTGCCTGTAGCTGATGTGCATTAGGCTTTATTTAACATTTTACCACTAACAGTGAACTACAGGAGTTGCTACACTTACACCTACTTAGTTTACTGTTATTTATCTGTATTGTTACAAATAAAACCTCAAAAATAAAACAATAATGATCATATCTACTATGATCATTGTCTCTGTCTTAAATTGAACAAAGTTTTGCCCCCCCGAAAAACAGCTAGCCTTTGAAATAAGATTAAAAATCAAAATTGACTGTCAAAAGTATGAAAAGAATACAGCTTACAGTAATTTCTTTCAAACCTGTAGGCACAAATGAAGATGCACTAGATACCTTGAATTGTTTTGGAAATGGAGCAGGAATATGAAAAGGATGGCCAATATAAAATGTGCTGCCAATATTAAATATATGTTTCAGTGTATCTGAATATTCTACTAAGCATAAAAATCTTAAAATCTATAATTAAGATCAATAATCCTTTAATATGAAAATATTATCAAATAGTTTCATAAGAAGTATTAAAACAGAAAAAGCAGTACCTGTCAGAGTACAGAAAATTAGTAACAGTCTTCTTGTTGGATTCATGACCTGAGAAAAAGCGTGAAGACAAATGACAAGAGAGATATGAATGAGCATCAATTCCAAAAGTTGTTTTGCTTGATAAAAGGAGCATGACAAAAAGTGTAACAAAAGGATATTAAAATTATTTCAAATGTGCAACATTTTGCAAAGGCTTACAGTTTAAGAGATAAACAAACTCCCATGCAACAGAGTTCAATCGTAAAGATTATACAGTAGATGACAACAACAGCAGAGGAATGGTAATTAAGCGTATGTTGAAAAGACCAGAGTTGTCACTCTGTTTTATTTAGGCTTATGTATGTATGTTATGTAGTCACAGGGAAAAAAGTACTTGTTGACCCTCTATTGTGAGAATTGTCACATTAAAAAAAAAATGTGCAAAACAAAATTCAATGAAAAATTTAACAAAAAATTTGACTATTGTTTTAACCAATATGAAATAACTAAACATTCAGTGAACTATAGTCTAATTACCATTACTGTTTATACAGTATATGCATTACTGTTTATTTTATGCATCATTGAGGTACACTCTGAATTCTAGATAACAAATTTTTACCCCAAAATACCTGGTAAATAAAATTGATCGACAGCAGAATTTAGGTATTATTTTTAGTTTCTCCCACTGTAGTTTCACAAATTCCATTTTTTTTCTACCACATCATTTAATTTGTGTGTATTCACGTGAATTATAAAATTGCAAGAGTTTTAATAGACTTTCTGATTTGCTGACATATAATAATATCAATATTTAAAAATAATAATACCTATTTTATTATGAAAAGCATATCAAATTAGAGTTTGATTAAAGACCTAGATGAGCAGATGCAGAGATCGGGTAGACAGTGTCATTTCAGGTTTTAAGGATTTTGAGCAAAGAGATAAAGTGATTAGTTTATCCCCCTGTTTATAACTGCTAGTACACTCTGATGTAGTGAGTTTTTTAACTCCATCAATGTTAATGACAATCATGATGAGGGGAAAAAATGAAGTTCAAAATCTGAGATACATGATCACAATTTATATGACATTAGAATATGCAAAGATTAATTTCTAGGTCATGTTTTCTGTTATATTTTCAAGCTGGAGTTGATTGTTACTGTATGTTTAGTTAAAATGTTAAAATACACTGCCTTGGCTTGTGCAGTCTACAAAGGAACAAGTAAAGGTTAATTCTATGATGAGAATTAGCAAGAAGAAAGAATGTTTGGCTGTTCAGGTGACATCTGAACCAACCAAACAAAAATAACCTCACATAAATAGCCCATAGTAAATAGTCCTTCCTGATTTATCCTATTTTCAGAATGGAGAAGTTTTTTTAGAAAATGCAATTGTATAACAAAATTGCAATTTAATAAATTGCAAAGGTTAATTGCACACACACAATTAACTAAATTGCAAAATTTAATAACGATGTCTCCGTACTGAGCAATTCTATCCGAACTCTACCGAAATTCCACCCAGCTGAGATTAGAGATCATATTGTGCATCAGTAAGGATTTAAAAAATGTTTTTATACATTTTTAATATAATCAGGATGACATACTGTATACAAATGAAATGACAAGACACACTAGGTATGGCTCCAATTTTAAAATTAAAACCAGGGAAATAAAAGCAAAGGAGCTATCCAGAATTATTTAGATTGGACAGAGCTCTATGACAATCTTTAATATATGATAAAGCATATAAAAAATAATCATTTCAAGAGTATTCATTGTGCTTTATAGATATTCTAAAAATGATTCTTTGACGTGTTCTAAGTGAAGTAAGAATTTAAGAAAGTAGACTACCAAAGAACGTTTTCAGAGTAAGAACATGTAAAACACGTTGTTGTAGTAAAATTGTTGTGCATTTGGTGCTGTTAAATGTGTAATAACATAACGTTATTTATGTTATGTTATTACACGTTACTGTTATTGCTATTGTGTTACTGTCCATTGTCTTATCTTCTGTCCTTTTTATATACTGCACCTGAGTGACTAATGAGAAACACTTTTCACTATACTATACATCTGTGTAAGTATAATGACAATAAAGTTGAATTGAATTAAAATGTGAGTAATGTCTTACCTTTAGGTTCTGCTCGGAAAAAAGCTATCTGTTTTTCTGCGTCTCATGAGATGTAGCTAATTCAGAGATGTGCGCTATTTTATGGTCTGAACAGGAAATACTTGACACAATACACAAGATTGAAACATCGTATTTTAGGACAGAGTTTTAACTCACAAAGGAAGAGCTGCTGCAGTCGTGAAACTGATTGTGAACTCTAAGTGTTTCTTTTCTTTAAGTACACAATCACAAATGCACTGGATTTCCAAATTATTTGCTAAACGTTAGGAATATACTGTAAGATCTTAGTGAACCAAGACGGGAAGTTTTGTTACACTTATACATACTGTATAAGGATAAACTGCTAGGATTAGTTTGTGAATTTACATTATAGAGGTAATATGGTATTTTGGTCACTAGAATAATGTTACTTGCATGTTAAACAGATTTTCAGAATGTCAAATTCTAATCTTATACTCTTATAATTTTATATTCTCCTACGTACTGTGTTAAATAAATATTGGTGGTTGCCTGTGCACATATCTTCTCAAATCTCTCCATCAACACAAAGCATACCCTTGTAGCTGCCTCCCTGGTTTATTCCTCATAAGTAAAGGGGTTTGTGACAGTGGATTTAAGACTCTCAGTCTCTTAAGAATCACCATTTTTTATTAATTCATCTGCATATAAATATTATGTATATTTATATTTACATACAATATTGATAATACAATGAATAAAGTGAAAGAAACAAGTACAAGAAATACATTTGATTCAATAATTGAAAGAAATGTTATTTTCATTAGTCTTACTGTACTGTATATTCAGAAAAAAATAAATACATTTTAAGTAAAATTTGCTTTATGTTGCATATTATTGTAAGTCATTTCTATGTTATTCTGCATATATAATAACATACTCTATATAGTATATAATTCTGCATGTTTAATTACATTCACTCAACTTTTTTGTGTTGCTTTCCCACTGTTTTTTTAATTAGCAATATACAGTATGATGTTTGTAATGAGCTAACAAAACCCCCCATCTTTCACAGCTGTCCCATTGTGACAATTTAATACTGTTGAATATTAAGTGTAATTAAAAGAACCTGGTAGTAAGGACACAGCATTGAATTGACTTCGGTGAAACATATTTTAACTTGAATTCAAGCCCTGAACCAGGCTTGTACTGTCTATACTTTCCAAGATAATACCAGATGTTTAAAGTCACGTCCCTTCCAGGCGAAAATGGACAGTGAAAAGGCTGGTGGTTTATAAAGTTTTAAAGTACCATACTTAAAATATGCATCTATACTTTGTTTTTCATGAAGCTATGGAGAAAGTGGATTCTAAAGCAAAAACAAAAAAGCTTCTAAATTCATCCTGTCAGCTTTTCACCATATTTTAGATTCATTGCACTTTAGGCATGTTCAATATATATGCTGTTCTTCTCCTGTTCATTGTGTATGCATTTTATAATGCGTATTTTCATTAAATAATAATCTGTGTGAATCTTCTATATAAGAATGATTACAATTGTTAGAGGGGCAGTGTGTGGTTCCTAATGTAGTTCCTAACTTTATATACATTTCCAGGAATGTGAGACCTTAGGGCCTGAGTTGCCCTGCAGACAAATTGGGAAAATGTTGTGCATCCAATTTTTTTTTAAGGCGGAAAGTTTCCCAAAAGTTTGACCACAGGGAGATATTTCATTTCCGGATTTCAGTCCCTTCTAAAGCACATGTCATTGGCATAAACAGACCCAGTGTCATCTCGGCAGCAGTCGGGTTCAAGGTAGACAGACTCCTCCTCCTGCTCGTCCTTGTTGTTCTCAATCTTCCAGTCAGAACCCTTCATCACTTCATCCTCTGGGTTTTTCTCCTTGAGTCTGCGGTTCAATCCTGTAGAGTCGACATATTCAGATCCCCCCTCCCTCTGTGTTCCGTCTTGTCGCATCTCTGAGAGGCTGAGCGTTTTGTTTTTCTGGCCATTTTCTTTCTTCCTAAATACACAGCACAACAATAAATTAGGATGAGGCGCTAAAGGGTGGCAGGGTGATACAGCGGTTTTCATTGCTGCCTCTCAGCGATAGGGCCCTGGATTCAATTTTGACGCTGGGGTGCCATCACCCTGGAGTTTGGACATTCTTTGTGTGGGTTTTTCTCCAGGTGTTTCCTTCCACAGTCGTAATTGTGAAACTGGTAGATTCATTGGCTTCTGGGAAAATTGACCCTGGTATGAGTACAGTATGTGTTTCTGTATGCCCTGCGATAGCCTGGTGTCCCACCCAGGGTGTGTCCCACCTTGCACCTATTGTTTGATGGCTCCCCCTGTGACCTATTGATGGCTCCCTCTGTGACCCTGTGCTGGATAAAACGGTTAGAAAATGGACGTTACAGATGACGTCTAAAATAATAGTGCTGCTGCTGACAGCTCTTGAGTTTGGCTCCAGACAGGGGTGATTAGTGTGTAGAGTCCCCGTGTTTGTGTAGGTGTTCACCAGGTGCTCTGGTTTCCTCTCACCTTCCAAAGACACATTAAACAATATAACAATATGAATATTATCTCATATTATGTCCAGTGACATTTTCTGTCAATGGGCAAAAACATCAGACAGTTCCTTTCAGATTGATACAGAGTTGAGCCCAGAAAGATTCTCAGCAACACATGTGTGTACAGTTTGTTTTCCACTGATGGAATCTGCTAGCTCTTTCCTTTGTGTTAAGAAATATGCTATACTTACATATTTTGGATTTTCTTGAAAACAGTTAGTCCCAAACCAATGATTATCATGGCAGCAAAAGCCGCCATGCCCCCAAAAACGATGTTCATCTTTGTCTCTATGCTTCCTGTAACTAATATAAAAGCAATGTTAATTGGAAATATATGAAGATTTTTACAACACATTTATTGTTCAAAACCATCTTTACAACTGTAGTAAAACACATTTTTAGATAGGAATCCACAGACTCACTTTGTTATAATAATAATAATAATAATAATAATAATAATAATAATAATAATAGCTTATACTTATATAGCGCTTTTTCTGGACACTCCACTCAAAGCGCTTTACAGGTAATGGGGACTCCCCTCCACCACCAGTGTGCAGCATCCACCTGGATGATGCGACGGCAGCCATAGTGCGCCAGAACACTCCCCACACACCAGCTATCAGTGGGGAGGAGAGCAGAGTAATGAAGCCAATTCATAGAGGGGGCTTGTTAGGAGGCCATGATTGATAAAGGCCAATGGGAAGTTTGGCCAGGACGCCGGGGTTACACCCCTACTCTTTTCGAGAAATGCCCTGGGATTTTTAATGACCGCAGAGAGTCAGGACCTCGGTTTTACGTCTCATCCGAAGGACGGCGCCTGTTTACAGTAGAGTGTCCCCGTCACTACACTGGGGCATTAGGACCCACATGAGTCGCAGGGTGAGCGCCCCCTGCTGGCCCCACTAACACCTCTTCCAGCAGCAACCTTAGTTTTTCCCAGGAGGTCTCCCATCCAGGTACTGACCAGGCTCACACCTGCTGAGCTTCAGTGGGTTGCCAGTTGTGAGATGCAGGGTGATATGGCTGCTGGCTATGTAATTAATGCAGGTTTTGTCTTTTTTGTCTCAATTTAGATGGTGGGCAAAACGACAGTTTTACACTTCATTTGATCTGGACAGATTAGTATTAAGGATGGATTGGTAGAGGGCCAAGGTGCTGCAGTGGCCAGCGTTGCTGCCTTGCCTTGGGCTATTTAAAGGCCCTTGCCTGTAAATGGTAGCTGACGAGATATTCTTCCATGTGCGTTGAAGGCAATGCAGAAAATGTTGTCCTGTGTCATCATGCCTCCGGTCAGTTTCCCTGACACTATGTTGTCTTGCTCTGTTTGGGAGATGTTGAAACCTTCAGTGTTCGATTTTCTACTGATGTTCCAGATGATGTCACTTGAAGGATTAGCATCAACGACACAAAGACACGTGACCATTCCTCCACTGAGGGTGCAGTAGGACTCAGGCAGTATGTCTGGGGCATCTACAGTAGAGACGGGAGAGTGTGGTGGCTTAAAAGTGAGATACAATATAGGAAAAAATTGCAATGATACAGTCCAAAATATTTCTGTATATTTCCGAAAATTGCTCCCAAAAATTTCAGGTACTCGGAGGTAGCACTGGACAGGTCAATTCCTTGTCTTTCCTTGACTTGTGCAGATGCTAATAGAAAAAAATCTATGTATGAGCTTCATATCAGGCTGCACAAATAAAACTTTCAGATAGACATTGTTGTTACTCCTCATACACAAAAAGCTATGTAAATCTCAGATTGTACTAAAATTAGAACATTTTTCTGGAAAGCTGAGAATCAAAGACACAGTAATGTGGAGAGACCATAACTTGTATTTTTTAAGAGAGCAAAAATGCTGCAGTACTACTTAACAGGCTGAAACAGTTATTTTGACCTTTTGGGTCAAATCATGCCAATAACATGACTCAAAACTTTCATTTATAACTATGAGACATCCTCTCCTTACATTAGTCAATGCATTATTTTTACTTGAACTAGAGAAAAAAGAGCAAATTATTTGGAAGTGAATTTAGAGGTGAAAATAAAAAGCACTGTTTTGCAACAAAAATACATTATTACAGTAGGTGGGAGTTTGGATCAAGTTATTCCAGCCATGGTGTTGAATATAGCAAATTGACTTCATTCACTTCATAACTGGATTAGATCCTCTGAACAACTATCTGCAAGCGACCAAATGATCTAGATACTAGGCAGTCCAAACAGTCCAAATCTGTGATATTATAGTGACTGCTTGAGGGACAGAGTGGATCAGAACCAGTCTTAGATGTCTTTGTGACGGCAAAAGTGTTGAGAAATTGAATCCTTTACCAGTGTTGCTCCTCTTTGGAGTGTGACACAAATGTGAGCCTGCAAACATTTCGGATTTTCAATTCCAGTTTCTCTACTTGCTGTAAAACAACCTTCATTTTCTTTTTCTCTACTCAGTAGGAGAACCGGAAATAGAAATGTTTTTTTCAGAGAGTGGTGGTGGGTGGTTTTACTTACATTCAATGGGAATGGGAAGAGCCTTAGATGTTGCATTCCCCAGGCTGTTTTGCGCTGTGCAGGTATAGATGTCAGTTCTGCTTAGGTTTAACTCTATATACTGACCGTGATGGTTTAAGTCATATATCTGGTTGCCATTAACCCGGTACCACTGAAATATGTGTGGTGCTGGGTTTCCATCGCTTACACAACTCAGCTTTGTTCTGTCTCCCTCTTTTGCACGTCCGCCTGAAAAGGAGACATTGACATCCCTGGGTCCATCTGTAAAACAAGTATTTACATATTAATATACAACTCAGAGTCTATCTAAGAAGCACAGGGCACAAAGCAGAACTGCACTCTGGTCAGGATGCCATTCTGAAACAGGGTACACACATCCCCTGGACAATTTGACACCAGTTAACCCTTCCAGTTAACCACAATGCCATGGTGTCAACCTATATTATTTCACTCTGAAATTAATCTGGAAATATGTCATTTTAAATGAACACTAATATTATATTATTAAATAATTAAATTAAATTCATTATTACTTAAGTAATTAAATACTAATTATTAAATCCTTGGCAGCATGTTCATAGTCAAGTCTGATTAATTATATTCTGTATAATTATATACAATAAAAATTATGTCCTCCCAGTAAAACAATATCATATTACTCTTAAATGTTTTGCTATGTTTTCATTTGCATTGTGTTTATTGTTTTCTCACATTGCATTCTGTATCATGTTATTTCCTGCACTGCAGAATAGAAAGTGTCACAGTTTATTACATTTTCTTTGTGTAATGCATTGTGAATTTTGACAATTATAGCACTTTCAATGTTACTTTGAACCCGTCATTGAAGCCATCATCATTGAAGACGATAAGGACTGAGCCCCAGATCGTGATGCTGTCAAAAAGCAACATTCAACTAAGAAGAAGGGTTGTACAGTTAATACACTGCAAATGATAGCACCATTTTGCACATAGCACATCACTATTTTGAATAAAATTAATAAATAGTCAATAAAATCCTATTAATGCCGCATTATTATCAATGAAGTACATAAATGTGTATGTTTTGAATAACATTGTGCACAGTGAATTGTATAAGATAGTGTTCTGTGTCATAAGGGTGCATTACAAAAAATGGCTTACATTGAACATTTAATTTTATAGTTTCTTTTACTTTCTTGACCTCTGAATATGTAGCTTCACAGGTGATATCAGCACCATTGTCAGAGTAAGTACTTGTCAGGTGAAGGACTGAAGCAGATCTCCATTTGCCTTCTTCCACTTCCACTTGTGTGGGAGGCTCTGGTATCAGACGTAGACCCTTGCTGTGATTCCATTTGAACATTGGAGGGACAGACGGACAGGTGTGATTCACTTCACACTTTAGACTGATGTTGCCTTCAGTCAATGGACCACTTTGATCTATCCTTGGGATATTTGGGATGCCTAAAACCCAATTCAAAGAGACAAAGAGTCAATATCATTATAGTTGCGTCACAATCGTCATTCCTCCTCTAGAGGGCAGTCCGACCCTTTTTGTGTTTTGGTTTCAATATCACTCACACCTGTCCCTGATTTCTCCGTATATTATTTAAACCTCGTGCCTCTGAAGCTTTGGGGCTCTGCACTGGAAGACGGATGGCTGGAGGCCTGCATAGCATCAAGTCACCCTACTGTACATCCGCCGCTTGAGGGCATAGGCTTCCAATCGGCGTCCTGACCAATGCTGAGTCCGGGGCTCGGAGCGCCTGGCCTCGTCATTCTGTTTTTAATTTCCTAGTTCCATGTCCCTGTTCCTGTTTCTAATCATCTTGTCCTGGATGGATCGCCTGGTTTTGGATTTTGGACTGCGCCCCGGACTTCCTACTTGGACTGTTTTGGACATGTTTGCCTGTGCTCCCCAAAGCACCCTGATCACTGTCGGCACTGCCCCCCTGTTCGCCATCCCTTCCATTCCTCACCGCGTTTTCACTGTAGCCCTTATCCAGTCTCTTCCGGATTATACCATCTGCACAGGGTCCTAAACTACGCACTTCACGGGAGTCAGGACCGGCTCCCGTTACAGGTTGCATATAATCATTTGCATAGAACATACCTCTGTCTTCCACTACTGGGGCCATTGGTTCATGGCTATTCTTCTTATTCAGAAAACTAAGGTTATTGGTTTCTTGAAAAAAACAGTAACATTGGTCAAAACAAATGGGATAGCACCCATGCCTAAATCACCTGACTATCTGCCTTCTGACATTGCAGTTTAAGATGCTTACACATCACACAGCAAAGCACTCAAATTCTGAATTGTTGGCAGCAACACTAAACACTGTACCTTCAAGCTGTTCATTCAAGACGTATTAAGAACAATCAATAAAGACAATCTTGTATAGTAATGTTAATCTTAAGTGAAATGTTGTGTTGAATCTCTTACCTGTAACACTAAGCTGTACAGTTGTGTGATAGAACTTTACATCGTGATCTTTATCTGGGTAGATCCACACATAAAGACATAATGAATTATCTGACTGTTTTATATTACTGATCCTCAGAGAGCAGTCGCCAGTAGTTTTGTTCCCCACTAATGATGTGCGACTTTTGAACTGATCGATAACTCCTCCCGGATCATTCTTGTCATATACCTTAAGATACTTTATGCTGTCATACTGATACCAGTAAGCAGAATCATAAGGAATGGCCCGGCAAGGAATGACTACACAGGAACTTTCTAGTGCATGAACCCTCTGTGGAAGTCTGACTTTCCACGCATTGCACATTGCTGCCAGCAGAATACCTGGGGAAAAAAAATCATAATACATTGGAATAATGAAGATAAGCATTGTTATCAGCATGACTGAAAGCCACCTGTTTGTGAGAATTTGTGCTCTGCTTCAACAATCAGTTGAAGCAAAATACAAGAAATTGTGTCTGTGGCAGCTACACTGTTCTCTTTGAATCACAGAACGTTTGAGGTGGCAGAGTAAGTGAGGGAGTGTATAATTTACCAAAGACTGCCATTTTGTGCACGACAAACCCGAACTAACGTTGAGAAATCAGCGGTGATCAGACACAGCAGCAACCCTACATGGTCTATCCAGTCACTTTCAAATCTGCCAAGTCTTGGATCAGTGCAGCCAATGATTCCTTTTGACGATGCATCTCAATTAATCCTGAGAAACTGAAGCTGGTGTGCTAGCTAAACAAATCTAAAAAAATTGCACTGGTTTGGTGTGAAAGTTAGAGCTGATTTTCATTTTCTCCTGCTCAAATAGAAGTCACCGAATTGTTTTGTTTATTTAAAACAACCTTTAAGAAACTGTCAGTGTTTCTAAAGGATTGAGAAATGCATTCCACAGTCCTGATGGTGGTCAAGAGTAAGCTCTATCACCAAGACTACAAAGGCCTGAATAGTCATATATCATGTTATGAGCTGGATTAACTTTATGCAATAAACCCTTGAAGATTTAGGAAAAATGTGTATGATAACCATTTCTAAAACTGGGCTGATATATAGTAAAACTGTTTAGTGTAAATCAGCATCTGATGTTTTATCTTTGACATTTTTCTTCCATCATGTTTGTTTCTCTCTCTTTTGGAGCTTCTAATTTAAATTAGATTAAAAAAAATACTAATTTATTTCATTTGACCGGGATGTATCTCTAAAAGAGCTTGACAGAATTAAATGAGAATCAACCAATCTCATGCAGGGAAAATGAATAATTACCTTGCAAAATGCTGACACGGACAAGAGGACTCATTAGTAGACTCATTGTCTTTACTGAAAAAAAAATTAAAGCATATCAATTGGGTCACAGACTAAGAAATTAGAAAATGTAGAAAAGGATACATAGTGTACATATTGAAACTGTTTATGGATTTAATGCATTGAAATAAATAATAAGTAAAAATAATATGTATAAAAGTACACGTACAGTATGAGAAAAAAATCACCAGTTAAGTTTAAATTGGAACTGAAATAATGTGACTTTTCCTCTGTCTATGCTCCCTGGTTAGTTGATTTTCCATGTAGCATTCTTATGTTTCTGGACACAAACATACTGTATGGTGGCTACATAGCCTTCAATTGCCTATTACCTAAGCAGGGCAGTTCCTACTGTACAATAACATAAATTGTTATTTTAACACAAAGTTTGTTCATTTTCAAAAAGGATTTTCTGTTTTTTTGTTTAGTGTCAAATAACAATTGATCACAATTTGATCTTCAAGAAGACTTTCATTATTACAGTTTTCTAGAAGAAATTAAAAAGTAAATTGACAGAAAAAAAACAAATAAAACATTTCACATTTGAGTAGTTGGGAATACACCAGAGAACAAGGAAATAGCAGAAATTGGCTGTACTTGGTTTTAAAGAAATGCAACTGTTTTACAATTGTTTAATGCTCAGAGCATGGAAGTGGTTTCAGATAGTGAACAACATCAAATGTCAGGCAAAGTTGACATACAGAATTTGTATATTTCCCCTTTTGCATGTTGGTGGGAGTTGAGTAATTTCAACTTTAAGACAACTTACACAGGGTTCCTTTTTTTGAGAAATTAATATAAATTATAAATGCTAAAGGAATTACAACGACTGATGACTAATAAAGAAGAAATAGAAACATCTTTCTTTAGTTTAACAGTTAATACAAACAAAGCTAAATTGTACAAACCCCCACATAATTCTTATTGCTTTGAATTGGCAAAATATGTTGTACTTTGGTAAAACAGCCTCAATTCCAAATTATGACACAATTGGAAAACAAAACAAAAAAAAACAATAAAAAAAACACATATGAACTAACAGAAATGCTATTTGCAAAAACATTAGTTCTTTTGGTTTTTATTAATTATGTAACTTCTTAGTTGTTTATTAAATTTATTACAGAATTTTAGTGTACCTTAATAACAGTTCTGAGTTTGATAAATTTACACAAATGACATACTGTAACTTAGGTTTTCTCTTTTTTTCTTTAAACTTAAATAGATATTTAATCACATTGTTGAAATTAGATGTTAAACTGTTGAATCCCATCATACAGTATATGTTACAAAATAAATCCATATAAAGTTATTTTATGCTAACTTCATTTCCTTATTCATAATTACCAAGCATTTTTTTTTTCAAAAGTCACAAGTGGGTTTTCACGTGTGGTACTTCTATTAAGTAGATGGTTTCAAAGATTGTCCATTGTGTGTTAATGAGTCAAATTTGTAAACTGATTTGTACTGTAGATATGTTCACTGTTTTGCTGTTGGTTTTGATAATTTTTGTAAAAGGAGAATTTACCTTAGCAATTAGTGGAAAAGCTAAATAAAAGCAATGCCTAACCCTGGATGAGATCACCTTCACACAAATAGAGACTTATTTTCTTGGAAGCACAATCATCAAGATATGATGCATGAACCGATAATCCACAATAATTAAAGTATTATTACATTTGCATTCTTTAAATCATTCAGTAACAAAATGAAAGAAATCACCTTTACACATGACTTGATTCTAGATTAGGTACTCATACAGTATATATTCTGCTCTTTCTAATGGTTATCCATTCAACAATATTTGAAGCTTAGGACCACTAATTAATTGCTCACAAGGCTAGCATATACAGTAAATATTGTACATCATAAAAGTTGCAAAAGACAAACAAATTTGAAGTTTTAATTTTCCATCTTATGAGAAGAATTAAAGCAATAGCACAGCTAAGAGGTTTTTTACTTACCTTATGTTTACAATAATTCTTTAAATACACCGAACTTTAAAGTTTAGTTTGCAAAATGTACCATTTGTACTTTTGACGTTATGACACATCATAAAAATGTAAATCATATATACATTATAGAGGGCAATAGAGATTTGTATAAGCAGAAACATTTGTACTTACAGTACATCTTTTGTTTAATTATTTCCTACGTGCCTGTGTAAGGTTTCTTCTCACAGTCAAGAGAACGTAGATATCTGCTGCTGAGGCGCTGAACAGTTTTCTTATTTTTGTTCCACATGGGTGACAGCAGGAAGTACTGAAAGGCAGTATATTACTTGCAGTAGCTCAGGGCTTCTGGACCTTCCAATTTGTTTTCACTTTTAACTTCTTCAGTGGTCTAAAGCCACAACAACCCACCAATACGTTTGAAAAATATGCAGTATCTAGCAATTCTTCAAATAGCAAATAAAAAAAAAGAAAAGCTGCTTACTCAGTTGAGGCCTTCAGAACATTTTGACCATCAGCCATCTAAGTCGAAGACATTTGTATTTTCTTGTGCAATGTTTTGTTGTGAGAGAATGTAATAGGCCTAATTCTGATTATTTTTATTTAATATCTTATTTGACAGCAAAGCTAACTTTATTATTGCTAGTGCCAAAATGATTGCTAGATATACAATAGTTCCTCTTCGACTACTTCTACATGACTCTTGAGATAAAATGGAAAGCTAGTATACAGTAAAAAGAAGGCGCTTATCAAGAACCAGGTGGAAAGTTTTTTTCAGTATTAGTACTACAACCTATGACACATACTACTACAATAAGTGCTCTTACTATAATTACTATGACTACTACTGACTACTGCTACTGTCATGGAGAATAATAAGAACTTAACAGAACTTCATCTGTCAGGATGAATGAGAAGTCAAACATGCTGTGCTCAAGGCCACAACCTCTTGTGGAGTCGTGGATCAGGACAGTTTCAATATATCTTCTGGTGCTTATAATTTATAATTAGATATTGACAACCAAATGATCTAGATAGGCCAAATCACCCCCTCTGTTCTGTAACTGTTAATGTACTGAACACCAGATGCTCTATAAGTTATACATAACTACCATTTATCCCCACCATAAGATGTGTGTAATTTTTTGTTGTTTTTTTACAAACTTATTGTTCACTTCTGCTTTCAAGATGATACTTACACAAGTGACCTATTGTCTTGTTTTTAGCATGCCCTAATGAAGCTCCTTTCAGAGGCATGTTTAAAAAAACATATGCAGTACATAGCGCATGTGCATTTTATTTGTTTTTTTGAAAACCAGCACATTGTGAACTGCTAACACAACATTATCTGTTCTGAGCAAGTTGGAGTCAACAGAACTAGCCACAGATGGGTTGTGAATGGTAACAGTTTGTCTCAGTTTGAAGAGAAACTGTGTTACTTTTCAAATCATGTTTTTATAGTTGTCACATAGTTGTCGCAGCCCAGCAAGACTTTGGATCTAGGGTAAGTGAAGACGTCCTCAGCTGTTCAGGATGGGAGTAGTGCCTTTCTGCAGAAGTAAAAGACACTATCACCAGTGGAAGGATTTAGCATTATCACTTATTTTTTCCTCTCTCCCAGGAGAGTCAATATTGTGCATACTGCCCTTATGCTGTTCTTGGAGATAGTCTTTGTCAATGTGACCTGTTATCGTTGCACATTACTCTTACTTCTCTGATTAACATCAGTGTCTAGAGAAAGGGAAGCACACCTAGAACTGATATCTCCATTTTTGGTAAATTCGTTTCCAGCTGTTCACCAAACTGACAAAGTAAAAGTTTGGAACAAGTAGGAGGTCGTCCATATGTTTTAACAAACCCTTTCAATCGAGATGTTTGTGATTTAACAGTTCACAGTGTTCCATTTGCAGTGATAGCAAAAAAAAAAATGCAATCTCTACAACTTTAAATACCAGTACATTGTTCCCCAGGCGAAATTTTCCAAGAAGTACAGGAAAAAAACTGTCACTCCAGCATAAACATCTTTGCAGTAATTAAAAAACAGAATGTTCTTAGAACATAAATCTTCCAAAAACCAACAACCCAAAGCTCAATAGCACTACTGTCCTGCTACATTAGAAACATTACATTATATATTTCAATCTTGCAGCTTCAACGACTGCAGGCATTTCCCAACCAAACTGAACTGACTCCCCAACTATAGCTGCTATCTGTTCAAATATTTCCATGTTGATCATTTCAATTAATCAAAATAATTGATTCAAGATTCTGTGGATGAGTTCATCCTTTGATTCATTAAGCCATTCAATTTAGTGAGAGGAAAAGCCAAGTTATTCAGCAGAGAGAATTGATTCAGTTCTGATCTCAGAGATCACGGCATGAAAGGAAAAACTTGAAAATGTGAGTACGGTAAACATTAAGCAATATTACTGTACATTATGTCAATAACATAAAGGGGTAGTTTGTGAAGAATGTAATATACGTGTATGTTGCTGGTTATTATAGAAGGATGTATTAATACAGCTTTCCAAAGCTTACCAAATTACATACTGCAGTATTAGTAATTCTTAACACTGTACTTGTTAGGAAACCTTCTAATTTCAAAATACCTCTATTAGCAACCAAAGGAGGAAGAAAGGCGAACAGGCCTCCAGCCATTTATATTCTCCTGTTTTGATTGATTCAAATGCCTAATGAAATTTGTATTTCTATCAATTATAGAAATAATTTTGTCTGAGCATTCCACTACATATTGTGACATGTTATGAAAACAACAAATGAACTTTTTGTAAAGTAGCACCAGATTGATTTCAACCACACATTATTTACATGTTTTCTGAAACAAATTACCCAAACCATTGTATGAGCTTCCAAGACTTCTGTACTCTTACAAAATATGTTCATGCTCATCACTCACTTGTTCTATACACCCCTTTCTTTCCATAATGGACCTGTCAGCTTGTATGCCTTAAAACATCACTTCCTTGTCTGTCCAACAGATCTTAAGAAAACAATACAAGTCTAACTTATTGTTTTCGTAGTTCATATTTTTTTCACTGGAATTTTTTGAGCATTCAGAAGTTCTTGGATTTTCTGCTTCAGTTCCTTGGCCTTCTCCATGTTTTCGGCTTTCCCCTGTGCAGGAAGGCTCAGACCCCGTAGGACTGACTGCAGCGCGTCGACATTTTTCACAGAGTCCATCTGGTCACGATCCACCTTTAGTTCTTCAACCCAGCCAAGGTAGGCATCGAGCAGCCCCATATCATCCACAAAGTTCCCGATGATTTTTAGACTGGAGCGCCGTTTGCTTAGATCCCTCATCCTCTGCTTTCCTTGCTCTCCGATGTCATTTCCTACAATGCTATAAGAAAAACAAACTGCACTGAAAGGATATATATAATTAAAGATATTTAAACCTATGCAAATTCTCCAAATCTACACACATTCATCATTTTGTGAATCATCAACCTACTTACAGTACATCTTGTTCTTCCAAATAAGTTGCTTACCTAACTGTATTGTTGGCTTTTGTCTTTTTTTTGTATCGTTGAAACCCCTCCTAAAGATCGTATGGTGATTGTAATTGCTTTTGAGTTGTCTGAATATATGCTACTTGCAGGATTTACATGTGCTTCAGATCCGTGTTTGGGCTTAAGGAGGAAGCCACACACAATTGTTGTTATGCGAGTGTGTTTAGTAATGAAATAAGGCTAACCTTATTTAACCAAAAGGTTATGGGCATCTGTAAAACAAAATGTGCACTCATGGTCCTAAAGCTGGGTAACGTATTAAAAAACAGAAGATATTCTTGGATTGAAGCAAACTACAGTATCAGCCAAATGAGGAAGATTGAATTACATCATCTGATTTTAATATTTGTTTTAATTAAACAACAAGTTATGACTTCTATGCTTGCCTGTGATTAAATACACAGTATACACAGAAACAAAGAACTATTATCTTAGTATTATGCACATATTTTGATCACAAATTCTAAATTTTTTTTACATCCTGCAAGTCTGCATAAACTATAGCTCTTCATAATGTCTTTGCCATAAGGCAACTTGCTTTTCAAATGTTACACTTTCTATACCATTATACAGTTTTATTCTTTGCCGACACAACAAGAGCACAAATAGCACGAACTAATAACAAATCTACACGAGAACTGTTTCAGTGTTATAAAATCAAGATAAATTAATACCAACAGAAATGGGATTATATCCTAACAAACATTTCAAGCCTCCAGATCTTAAATCGGATATAATTTGTGTATTCAAGATTTTGGTAATATGTTAAAAGATAACAAATAATGTTAAATGTCACTTATCATATCTAATACTGCCTGCTTATGTAATTTCTTACCACTAGGTGACAGTGTGGTATACCTCTCTTTCCTCTCATTATTTTATTATTATTATTTATTATTATTGACATTTGCCTGAATCATCACACATTTGGTTAGATCAAATGTTATTGTGTAAAGGTTTCTGAAGTAGTTCTTTTGCAGTCAAATACTGCCGTGTTGTACTGAGCTTGCCTGAAGACGAGGAGGACAGAGGAGGTGTATCTTACGTCAGTGTCTTCAGTGTCCTGTTCTGGCTCAGGCAGCTGACGATGTTCTCTGTGCCTGTCTCTGTGAAGCCTGTGATATCCAGGTAGAGTTCCTCCACTGTGTTGTTTTTTTCCAGAGCTGTCCACAGCTCCAGGACACCTTCTGAGCCAATGTTATTTCCACACATGCTGTGAAACAGAAGATGTTACATCCATCCATCTACCCTCTCCCGGCAAGCATCAGAAGAGCTTACTTTGATGTTTTATTTTTGGGGACTGCGAATGGTGGTTTATAAACGAAACAAAGTTATTCATAGTAAAGAATGTATACATAAGTCAGTTTTATATGAGATAATCTGACTTTTGTGGTGGATTTATATTTATAAAATGGAATTTCCAGGCCCTAAACCTAACTGTTACCATGTGCTCTACAAAAGGTACACCATTTCTTTTTAAAATACATTAGTTTTAGGTTAGAGCAGCTGTATTTGTCCATTGTATCTTTCTTTCTAACTTGTTTCTTATTACGGTTTCTTCCATAATCTTCCATACTTACATAGTACTTTATAATATTATTTATTATTATTTTAGAAAGTTATTATATTACTTATGGTTTCTTGTTAAATGGACACAACTACATACAGTAGATAGCAGACGTCCCCTCTGAAATGGAACAAGTAAAGGAAAAGAAACACGTTTCGGCTGTGGAACCTTCTTCGGGTCTGACACAGTTTCTTTTCTTCTCTTTTCAGCATGGAATAAACCTTTACTTCTTCCTTTGCAGCCTACGCATGCTGACGCAGCCACCTACTTGCACTACTATCCCCACCAAAATGACTTGCTGTGACTCTCTAAAATCCTCAAGAACAACTTGAACTGCGTAATTCACAAAGTTTTGAAGTATGTACAGCTCAATCACATTTTATTATTCTAGAAGGGCTGCCTTCATTTCAGATTTGGAAGGAGGGAAATGGTGTGTGGAATTAAGATGAATATTCCTCTGAAGGTATCATTAGGATTGAAATCTAATGCATGTTCTGATCCGGAAACTGATGCTCTTCAAGGGAGCTACAAATTGCCTGCCACTGGAAGAGCCTATTAATTTTTTACTTGATTTTCCTTATGCTCTGGGAATTGATTGTATTTTGAGTTACTAGTTTCATAAGCAATGCTTTCACAGGTTAACTTACAACAGCTTCTTCACACAACAATCTGGGGATCTCAAAATACTGGATTCCAAGATGGCTGCTTCCTTGTCAAGGCAGTTGTAGCGCAAACTGTGCAAATAAGAAACAGAAAACAATACTCGATGAAGCTATCACAATACAATTACTGTAAATCCCACACTTACGTTATTCATACAGGAGCTTTTGTCAAAAGCGCAACAGAAATGGCACCATTCTTCAACCCATTTTTATCATATACTGATGTATGTTTTTGATGAGTAATCAGTATTCTTCACATGTGACAGCTGAAAATCTTTATAAAATCAACTTGTTTTTTTTTTAATTAAGGCTGATATTGTTGTTTAATTGCCAAGGATGTACAATATGTGCTCAGTGTAGCTGACAACACAATGTAATATTCAAACAGTAAACAAAGCTATAAAGATGTCATGCATATAAAACTATATATATTGTAACGCCTACGGCCGACAGGTACTGTGTAAGAGCCAGCTTACCAGAGCAGTGACATCACAGCCCTTCCCTGTGATAGCAGGACTACAGCTACTGGGCTGTAGAGAGATCTCTCTTTAGCTCACCGGGCTGGGTCCCTGTTGAGTGACGCGGGAGTCCCGGGTTCGAGCCGCCGACCTAATGCGGCAAGGGCGCCCGCCTGAACCCCCGTTGCGTTACAATATAATAAAACTTATATATATATACAGTATATACAAAGCTGCTCTAGAAACAAAGCCAGCTGCTCTCTCCACATCTCCATATCTAGTGTGGCCATTTCCATTGGGCTCTGAGACTGCTAACTGCCATTTAGCCCTGCCACTTCATTGCACTCAACTATTTTAACTCTCTGGATCAGCTCCACAGTTCCCTAACGATCCTTCAGCATTCCTTCGTTTTTATCCATTTGTAGTGCTCATTTTCCTGACATCTTGTGTGAATCTACCATGCTAGTACAATAACCAAACTATAAACAATACTATAATCAGAAGTAAAAGCCTTCTGAAAGCCTTCAAAAAGTTACATAATTGCTAACAAAGTTGCCAGTAATTCCAGTAAGTGACAAGCACAGATTTTAAAAAACTGCAACCACTTATCTGATTGCAATTATTTAAAGCCAGTATTTCAACCTAAGATCTAATTAAAGGTAATGTAGAAAACACCGAAAGTGTGGTCTAATTTCAATATGTTTGCTAAGAAAAATCAACAAAGTGCTGCCACACTGAAGAAAATTAGGAAATAATACTGCATGGTTGACCATAATTACACATGAGTCATTACAATGCTTTAGAAAAAAACTAGCATAAAACAATAAAATAAAACAAGAGTAGATATAACAAGAGCCTTAAAGGTTCACTAAATCATACTTACAAGAGACTTTCACATTTGTGTAGGATGGGCCCCAGCCTTCTCAGACCTTGGTACCCTATGTTGGCATAGCCCAGGTTAAGCTCTTCTAGTTTGTTGGGTGAATACTGGAGAATGTAATACAGAGCTGCACAGTCAACAATGTTGAGTGTCATTTTGAACAGGTTTAGTCTTTTAATTTCTGGAGACACTTCTTTTGCCACACTGTCTTGTTGGAGCTCCATTAGACAGTGAAGAAGGTTCAGAGTTTTAGGGTTGGGCACTTCCTTAGAAAACTGACACTTGAACCATTGGCTGAGTGAGTTTAGAAAAGTGTTGCTCAAGATCTCCGTCAAACCAGTTAAATTTCCCTCCAGTCTGGCTTTAACTAACCCCATTAAGAACCGAGTAAACATTTGAAGGTTTTCCAGTTTGTCCCTGTCTAAAAGTCGAGTGGAGTCACAGAGGATTTCTTTGGTGGTGTTATTGGGAGAAGTACCAAAGAACCAGAGATCCAAGCCTTCTAGAATGTCTTCCTCCCCCAGATTTACCACACAATAAAGAGCTGCAAGATGCTCTTGGATTGTCATGTGGAAAAAGGAAAACATTTCCACTTGTTCCTCTTTCACCCTTGTAAGTATCTGAGTCAAGAAAGTACTGTGCAGGTTCTTGGGCTTAATACCAAAGGTTTCTAAGTCTTTCTTGTCAAAGAGGATTTTACTACTCAAGAGGTTGTGATAGGCAAGTTTTCCCAGATTCATGAGCTCCATTTTGACCACTGAGAAGATATGTTTTTTAGAGGCATCTTTCTTCTCATCCTTAAGAGCATGGTGCCTGATCACGGTGTATAGATAGCAATAATAGACCTCACTTACAGTCTTCGGTGGATTAAGCTCGAAGGGTTTTTTAGGGTTGTTAGGGCTATTGAATATATTACTAAGTGCCATACAGATGATGTAGCAGTACAGCGGAATAAATGATAAACCGAAGAGGTTGTCATTTTCAATAATGTAATTACATACTCTTTGAGCCACTTGGCTGTCTTTGTAGAATTTAGAGCAGTATTCTTCAACTTGTTTCTTCTCAAAACCAAGGATAATGGCACTTTTCTGAAAAAACTTCTTTGGGATATCGGTAGATGGACGTGTGGTGATAATGATGGATGCTTCTGGCAACAGGCTTGCCTTGATAAGAGAAACCACCAGCTCCTGCACAGGCACCTTTGTGTCGACGTTGATGAGCTTCTCCTGATCTTCAAAGTTAAGTCTGTACTTGAATTCGTCAAGGCCATCCAGCAGAAAAAGAACAGACTTTGGTGCTTTCAGCAGGTCAGGTAGGATACCCTTGAGGTGATCAAACCTGCTGCTCAAGAGGTCCAGGAGACTTACTTTGCCGGTGATCAGATTGAGCTCTCGAAAAGTGAAATCAACGACACAAGTAAAGTTCCTCATAGATATCCCCAGTGCCCACTCGTGGATCACTCTCTGCATGGCAATGCTTTTCCCAATTCCTGCAATGCCCTTAACCTTCACCCTCTTGGGGATTTTGCGTGTGAGTGGATCAGCAGAGAGGAGCTCTTGGGGTTGGATGCGCTGGAACTTTTGGTGGTTGTAGATACGTGCTCGTCTGTTGGCCAGAGAGAAGTATTCATGCTGGCTGACTTCAGTCTTGTCATCTTCTTCGGTCACAAAGAGGTCTGTGTAGCGGATCTCAATGTGGGTCCGGGATTGCTCATCATCCACATGGTCTACAATCTTTTCTGTTCTTTTCAGTATGTTTTTCTTGTGTGTGATTAGTGGTACTGTAATACGATGAAGAAAAAAATCAAATGTAACATTATTCCAGGAATCCTTCCCCCCTATAAAATGTTGCTAAGTAATTCTAACATTTTCTAAGTGTGGCTATAATCTTGTTTAATGATTTAGTGTTGGTTGAAAATAATAAATAAATAAATATAAGTATAGGTAGGCCCTATTTTATTTAATGTTTAATTTCTTAATATTAAAATAACAAGAATTGTAATGCTAATTTACATTGTTGGTTATTATTCAGTTTAGTTTCTATGTGCTTCATTCCACACTTAAGGGCCACTTTTATAGTGGACTACTGTACCTGAAACAAATAAAATAAATGAATTAATGGGGATATAACTGGAGAATAACCTGTGAGTATGGAAAACCCTATTTGTATGCAAGAAAATATATGCATGTTCAATAATATGCTTTATCCAAATTACTACTTGAATCAAAGTAAAATGAAGTTCCAACTCAATCAAGTAATCAGTATTTTGCATGATTCCTCTGAGTTTTCATCATCTTACCTTTAAACCGAGCTTGTCTGAGGGTTCCTGCTACTTTTGAATCTTCATCTAAAAGAGCACAGGTAATGAAAATCAAATTTCTTGTGTAAGGAATGTACAGTATACTTAAAAATCAGCCATTCAACATTTTCTATTGTTGTTGTCAAGATCATTACAAAATGTTATCCATATTGCACTATACTAATATTACAGCATATGTTTGATTAGTTACACAGTGTTTATATACGTCTACTGTATGACAAAATAATTATGAATTAACAAATCTTAACCTCTTCTAAACGTAATTACAATACCTACAGATTACAAACATTTCATAATACATACACATGCACATGTTTTCTAAAATATATTTTGCATAGATCTGATTTTTCCATTCAATATCACACTCAGAACTTTATCAAAAGCTATCAAATATCATGTCAGATTTTATTCTCTGTTTGAATCCATTACTACTGTTTAAACAATTAGTACTGTTGTTTAACTCTATCATGTTGGTTAAGCAAGTTAATTTTCCAAATTCAAGTTAATTTTCCTCTAGAAGTATATTTATCCCCTGGTTCAGTTTTATTTATTATTTCTTTGATCTCACATGTAATAGAATTGATGTACATTAGTCTATAATTACTTGATTTGGTTTGGTTATAATTTCTATGGAGAGAAGCTGCGATTTTCCAGTTGTTAGGCACTGGCTCCATCTTGAGCGACTGGGAAGGGTTTAGTTAACAACCAATGAATAATACAGGTGGGTAGCTATGTCAGCATGCGTAGTCTGCAAAGGAACAATAGGTTCATTCCATGCTGGAAAGAGAAGAGAGAAAACACAATGTTTCAGCTGTGAAGCCTTTTTCAGATGTGGGCTCTCTCTTCTCTTTTTAGCATCCCATAAACCTATTACTTGTTCCAATTAATAATATTGCTTGTTTTCTTAACTATAACTGGTAGTATTACATCAGGCCCTGAAACTATGTTTATCTTAACTTCTCCTAGCACCTGTTTCCTTAGCTAATATTTAATTTAGAACTTGTTTTTTCTCAGACTCAAGAATGTTGTCTCTTTTTTCCTTGGTGTACACTTAAGTTAAATACTCATTTAAGACAGTACTTTTGACATTTTTCCAGTTTCTAATGTATCAAAGGAATATTTGATCTCTGTGACTCTTTAGCCTGTTCTCTTGCAGTTTAAACCATAGAATGTACAGTACTAATATAGTTTGGTCTTTTAAAATAAAAAATAATACAATTTGCCTCTCTGGAATCATCCAAATAAATGAATTAAGAAAATTGATTGTATTCTAAATTGTCCAGAATTGTTAAAAAGCTCAAGACAATGCAGTAACTAAAAGTACATGCTGTAATTAATCATTTGATTAATCTAAAATAAATCTAAGGTATGTACTGTTTCAGCATTGTTTTGTTTCTACAATGATTTAATGCTACTCAAAAAACTAAATTAGTTCTATGCAACAAAAAAAAATTAAATAACAAAAGACCAACATAATTTTATATTTAAGCATGTCAAGTGCTTAAAATGATACAAAGAAAAAGTCCCCAGTGTCATCAGACATACATAAATCCAACATAGCCCTGTTTTAAGAGGAAAAATTGACTTATTTCCATGACTTCTAGATTGAGCCAAAAGCTGTCATACCTTTAGATGCCTGTGGAAGGTTGTACTTCTTGACCTTGGGTTTTAAGATACTGAGCAATGAACATTTCGGTTTCTTCTCTTCTGAAAAGAAGAAGGAAGACGAGGAAAGAAACCATCTTTTACAGTTTGGGTTGCTTATGCCCTGACCCGTCTGTGCTACACTGTGTAGTGTCTGTTACCAACAGTAAGAGTCAAAAATCATGTTAGGAAGTTCCCTTCAGTTTCTAGGTTCCCTCCATTAAATCGTTTTCCTACTATCTTGTCTTGAATCATTTCCAGGGGATCCCCTATTCGAAATAATTTTCCAATTCAAGGTCCCTGCCCATGCAATAAAGCATTTTCCTAGATAGGACCATATTTCCTACCACCAATATCCCATTTTGCAACTACAAAATTGCTTTGAGGGTATTATTAATCACAACATTTTTCATTCTGCATAATTGACTAATCATCAATTAATTGAGGAAACTAAATTCATTATAGGTCAAGCTGATCCACATTTTTCAAGGCACTAATAGCTGGCTTCATGGATCATAAGTTACATGAATGCTGAGTTATAGAACTGACTGAATGACTGTAAACCACCTTTAAAATGGAGCTTTGAATGTCTTACCATTTGGCTTGGCAGGAGCTGGTTTCACTGGGTCTCTGTAATGCTCATTAAGCCAGGCCTCTAGCTCAGGTGGATAATAATCCTGCACTTCTCTCAGTACCTTCATGAATTTCCTACAACCACTGTCATCCTTCCAGATCATTTCCAGCATCCCAATGATGCGGTTGCTCTGTGTTTTCTCTAGTAAGCCATGGTAAGCAGTCTCCGAGAGGACATTTTCATCAAACAGCCAGCGCAGCAAAGGAGCTGGGTTCTCTTTGGTCCATTCCAGCAATGATTCTTTGTGCTTCACCACCAGGTCCTTGTAGTCCATTTCCCCTCACCTAGAGAGAGCAGCAAGAAGAACTGTACATGAATATTTTAAATTCATGACCCGAGCGACCTCAGACGAAAGGACGAAGGAAAACGAGCTCCTATTGTTAAAATGCCATTCAACAAAGACCCGAGTTCGATCACAATCTCAGCTCACGTGTCGAACACAGATGTCAAACACAGTCGATTATGAAGAGCAGAATCTTTGAACCGCCATGACACAATACTCCCAGAGTATGTGAAGTTTAAACAGAGCTGTGAAGTTTTAACTAATTGCTTGAGAGAAAGATCTTTAGTCTGCTGCTGCAAATAAACTATAATTCACAAGCAATTTAGCATTTTCACAGCACTACTCCTGTTTCATAAAGCAAGGTTTTATAGATTGTAAGCTTACACTAAATGAACAAGAAGAAGAATAAGCAAAAGAAAAATAAAAGGCTGAAAGATGAAAAAATATATAATAAACCTTAGCAGGTGCACGTCCCCACTCAAGATGCAACATTTATTTAAAAATCGTTTCTTGCCTGGTTTTCCCACAAAATTGCATGTCTATGCCATGATAGAAACTCACATTCATAACTGCCAGAGAATAGGTTTCTGTTTCAGGGGTAATGGCCTCAAAACATCCAGTGGCACAATAAACTAATACGGTATGTTGCATACTTTACATTTCTCTACAAATAATGTAAAGTAGAATATACAGTGCATTGCAGTAGTATGTACTGTAGTAACATAAAGTATGCAATAAGACCTCCCACAAGATCTTTTTTTCTGTCTATACTCTCAGGCCGTCTTCTCTTTAGTGTGGGGTACAACCATATCAGGTCAAACACTTAGCCCATGTGAAGACCTATCTTGCACCACTGTGATCGTATGTAGATATGATGAACATAGCAGACAGGCTCACACACAGTCCTGAAACACCATTATAAGCAACCCTGCCAGCATAATCTTTCTTCTATGTGTTTTTCAAGCTCAGTGGAGACCTGCAAAGGGAGTAACTACTCTGCTATTCAACTTATCTCACTAAAGCATTAACAAAAGGGAGAAGGAACTGGTCAAATTACAACTGTTTCCAGATTTTCAAAAATAATAATCTTAAAAAGCAAATAATAAAAACAGATAATATCTGAAAACAGGTGAGGATATTTATATTTAAATCACCCTTTGATCTAGATTCATTTCAGTGCTACTAATGCAGACTGAAGTCTGCACCCTACATTTGAAACAAGGTTATGCACTAATTTATCAAAAACAATAAATGTTAATTACTAGATTGTACCTTTCTGTGAATAATGTATCCTATATGTTTGTTAAAAAAGTTTAAATCTGAAGTTCTTTGAACTAATACATCCGATACCGTCAGCATTCAGGTCAGGCAAATGTAAGTTTAGCAATATGTACTGTAAGTATAAAATTAACTTCTGATATCTACAGCATAAGATATAGTCCTGTATGATCTAAAGTGCCAGTGCAAAGGCAGAAAACATTTAAAGAGAAAATCAAACTTTCATGCACATTTAAAAGCATATTTCATGTTTAACAATGAATAGTGTGATTTTAGATTATTGATTAATATCGCACATAGATAAATACAGTAAAATAAAGGTAATGTGAAGATCATGTCCAGATCCTTAGTGCTTACCCATGGAGATTCTGAGGTACACAGCCAGAAATTCTGCAGGTTTTGATAGAAAATATCCACTGATGGTACTGTAAGAATTAAGGAATTCTCGTAGTTCTTTATTAAATGTAGCAACCGACACTGGGACTACTAAATTATAAAATTCGTTACATTTTTGCTTGTCTTAGTTTGTAGCAGGCACAGTCCGATACAGAAGAGAGGTGTGGTTAGGCAGTGAGATAGTCGAAGTAAATAATGGAAAGTCTATAGTCCAGATTCAAAGTTAACTTTGATCGTAAATAAACCCATAAAATGTTATTGATATATACCATAAGGGTATATAATAAAACTTTCCACCATTTTTTGACACATACAACAACACTGACATTTTTTGTCAGGAATTTTTAATTACAGATCTTTTTCACTTATAAAAAAGGGTATCCAGAGGCAAAACCCAGATCCCAGCAATCGCCTGCAACAGTTTGTAAAGAAAGATATCTGAGCTTCCGAGACAGAGAATACCTAGAATCAACTTAAAGCACCATCTTTCGGATGAGACGTTAAACCTAGGTCTTGACTCTCAGTGGTCATTAAAGATCCCCGGGCATGTTCTTGATAAGAGTAGGGAGTTATCCCGGTGTCCGCATCAAATTTCACCCCCGGCCTTTACCATGGCCTCCAAATTGTCCCCATGTATGACTGGCTTGCGCTTGCCCTGCGATGGACTGGCGTCCTGTCCAGGGTGTACCCTGCCTTGCGCTCGATGCTTGCTGGGTAGGGTCCGGCATCTTGTGACACTGTATGATATAAAGCGGTTTGGTAAATGACCTGACATGACAATTTAAAGCAGGCTAGACCTGATGAACAGCCACTTCTTTTGCAAAACAATTATAAAATGTACGCTAATTGTAGGTAAAGTGCTGATCATATCTGATTCTTGATTAATTAAATGGAAATAAGCTGTTAAATAAAGACTCTGTGGACAGTCTTCTGTCCAAGAAGCAGGCATCACGCCTGTTTCCTGTGTTTCTTGAGTTCTGCCTTGTGGTTTTTGAGATTCTGTGATTAAGATGAGAAAGCCTACGAAGAGAATTTCAGGAAACAGTCTAACGTGAATGTGACTCACCCACCACTGGTCTTACGGGTGGTTACAAAATTGAGAATGAGCAGGAAATTGACAGCTATGGAAATCAATAAGTAAAATAAGTAAACAGAACCCCCGACTTGTAAAGATTTCTGCCAAGAATATACCTGAGCAGTAAGCATGGTTAGAGGTGCTTGAGTTCTTTATTCTCTGGCACATCTTTGGTGAAAAGAGGATTAATTCAGGCACAGTAGGTTGAACATTTATTAACAGTGATAATGCACACACTATACCACACGCAACATAAACATACCACATACTGTACAAGTTACCCTACGTACAGGTTTACAGACAAGTTCCAGAGGCCCACTGTCCTAACCACCCAGAAAAACCCCAAGGTTTCCCAGTATTCAAACTCATTACTCCTATGAAAAACAAATAACAAAAAGCTGCCTTCTAAACTAAATAGTATATAATTCTGACAAACTAACACACTCAGGTGTTACAGATGTTTTATTTTGGCATTGAAACATTTGATATGCCCAGTATGTTTCAGGATGATAATATTATTTATATACTGTGTATTGTGTTGAAAAGAATGTAACAACTGTGTTTATGTTTGAAATATAGCTTGCGTTGAGAAATAATCTGAACTCAGATAAGGAAATGACTTGTGTTGGAAAATGTGAAGTCAATCTCTGGTTACCTAATATAGTCTGAAAAAAACAAGCAGGGACAGACTGAAGTTGGTGTTGGGTGTGTATTTGAAGGATGCACATGAATTTTATCAACACATTTTGAAAAAAACTATCTTGGCAAACTTTGTTGTTTTATTTTTATTGGAGTGCATAATCCTATTCAGTTTAAGGGGAATAGATCAGACAGTAGCAGACCTGACTCTTCTTAGTTTGCTGTGCTATGGAATGCAGTGGTGATGTAAGTGACTTCACAAATGGCATGCTTGTTGATAAAGAAAATAAATAAGAAACAAGAAACTGATGAACCAAAGGAACAAATAACAGATTTTGTATTTTTGGTGGAGACCTCTGACTCATCCCCTATGTCTGTGGACATAATATTGTAATTGCACCTGTAATCACAGATAGACCTGGATCCATTTTGTATTTATTTTGTTATAGGATATAAGGAGAATGAATTATTCTTTGTGTGTCCTATGTTATACAGTATGTCACAGGTTGAAAAATTTCATTTCTGAACAATTGCTTTGCTTGATTCAATGTTCATTTAGGATTCAAAGATTCATTTTAACATTGCCTTTGTGGTTTGACATATGACTGATGCTTTTAAAATATAGTCCACAACGTTCCTATACTGTGATGGACAGGCATCATGCTTAAAGTGCATCCTGCGTTGCGCCTGTTGTTTCAGGCTCTGGGTCCCCTGTGATCCTGAATTGGGTGAAACAGTGGAAGGATGGATTATTTCTATATGCAAGCCCTAGAGGCTCATCAGGCCACAGGCTCCATTATAGTGTAACAGCTGTACATATATTTCTATATATTATAGTGTTAACTTACAACAGAAATCTTCAGAGCACCCATAACCCTGGGTGCACTGGTGATACAGGGTACAGAAAGTTATATAAATGGAACAAAAGCAACTAGTTTTATGTGTCACCTGAAGACACCTGAAAAAAAGCTTCACAGCTGAAATGTGTCTCTTTTCTTTGCCTTTCAGCATGGAATAATCCTTGCCCAGTTCCTGTCGCAGCCTACAGTACCTGCTGAAACTAGTTTCATGAAATTAATACATATGGCACTGTCATGTACAACACTAATTGCAAGGAGTTTTTCCAGCAATTTTTGCTCAGGGCAATATTGTTCGTTAAATACACTGAATACATAATGGAATGTTTTTTAGTAAAAAGGGACTTTTGGAATAACGCTGTTCTTCCCTGTTTTATGGTCTTTTAAGCAGTGGGAAGAAGAGCTTAATTAAGAAATGAGGAAGACTTTGTGGTGCAGTGATGAAATGACTTAACAGCACTTTGAGTCATCAGGACTGCTGTTGCTTCTGGGTGACAGGCAATGATAGCTGTAAGCTTCCTAAAAACTCCCCTCAAGCACTCTGGCGAATGTCTGGCTTGGGGATCTGTTTGCTGTAATGGGATTCAGCCATATGCTCTTCAGTTTCTGGGCTCTTATACAAGGTGAGTCTTTCTTATCTTTATATTTTCATAGTAGTGTGTTTCTGTGCTAAATTTAAGTTTGGGGAGGTAATCGGGAACAGCTCAGACATACAAAACTAAGGTGAACCTGCACATGAACTTACTGTATACTTGTGGTTATGAAGGAGCGTATTTTGTTCATTTGCTTATGTATGCCATTAAATGTGATATGGGATAACAATTGTACATTACCTAATATTCTGTAAAAACGTGGAGAAGCACATGAAAGCTAATTAGGAATATTAGACCTTTATATGCAAAGGTTTCATATAAACGCTTTAGATTAGGAGTTGTAAATATCATTTAATAATTTATTATACATTGAATTAATTTAGTAATTCTGGACATAATAACCCTAACAGTAGCTTATTACTTCTATAATAAGAAAAAAAATATAAAAACATTTCATACATCACATGGTAATACAGACCACAACATATATCATAATGTTTTTCTTCTTCTGAAGAACTGAATGTAGGGTAAAGCAAACACTAACCTGCTATAATTACACAATCATCATTTTTGCATAACTTTTCAGGATATCTGATTGCACTTGCACTTGTCATAAATCAAAGTTTTAGCCTTCAGAGTTATTTACTGTATTAGAGGGAGAATCTGTGCTGATGTTTCAAAATAATCAGCCCAGAGAAAATCAAGACATAATGACAAGAATGAGATCCTTCGATCAATTAGTTAAAAAAAACAAAACAAAACAAATGAGCCATATGGGCTAAACTGACTATTGTATTACTTTTTTCTTGTATATGAAATAGCCAAATTTCACACTGCCTGCACTACAATGATATAGACCAATAGCTGACATCACCATCTTATGGCAACATAGGAAAACCACATTGTGGAACAGCACAGCTAATACCTCCTTTCAAACTCCTTTATGAGGAACTAAAACAGGCACAATACAGTAAAATACACAATTTTCCTACATATGAAATATGATGTACAGTATTTTCTGCATTTACAGAAGTTATCCATTACAATTCTGAACATGGCCAGAACTTCTGATCAAAGCCATTTGGGATAGTTTGATCATTACAATTCAGTAGTTCGGATAATCAAAATAAAAGATCATTTTGATCATATTAATGAGTGAAATGTATTCAGTTGCAATGTAAGGAGACAGGTAATTACTAGGTTTACCACATCTATAGATAAACCAGTATTTCAGTGGTTCTCAATTCTGGTCCTAGAGTACACCTGGGTTTTCAATACTTCATTTGCCAAGTTGAATGTGTGTCATCATCAGTGAAAGATACACCACTGCTGCAGTCTGTACCTTCCTTCCGTAAGGTGGTGTGGAACTTGGGGCCTGTCTGTACATGACCTGGTAAAGGTTAATTCCATGCTGAAAGGTAAAGAAACCAACACAATGTTTCAGCTTAGGGTGTGAGGGAGAGGGGGTAAGTTTCTAGGGGCAGAAAGAGAACAAAGGACAGGGTAGGTGAGAAGGGGTGGGGAGCAGTGGGAAATGGGCATAGAGCAGGCAAGAGTGAGTGACCAAACTCTGGAGGACGAGTGGTGTATAAAGCCAAACTCTGCCAATGAACGGAAGGGATTTAGAAGGAGACGAGACTGCTGTTGAAAGAATGGGAACCCAGTTTAAGGGTTATTTACTTTAATAGAGGGAAAATCTATTTAAGTTTAAGTTATCTACTTAATCTATTAAGTTTAAGAATATCTTTGGTTTTTGATGTCTTTCTGCAATAGGCGTCCTGAAACTCCCGTGAAAGGATGACAGATGGAGACATCAGGGCCATTCTTGCTGAAATGGGGATATCAATAAACGGGCTTTTGCCTTTGGTATTAAAGTGTATTCTTAGTTAATAAGAATTAACTATTCCCTGCACAGCTACATATCCAAGCGATATAGGAAAGACCCATGTGCACATGGTTCTTCATCTGATGGACTATTTTGTACAGTACGTCAGCATCTCTTGCACTTCCCCAATATAGGACTGTATATGCATGGCCATCACAACACTAATTGCAAATGTTAACAGTGACATTAAGGGCAAAAACAAATGGGCAAGAGCAGTTCCATTTCTTCCTTTTTTCTTAATTTAGAAATCTTGTGAAATATTCTCCATTGTCACATTACCTTAGACAGAGCAGTAGCCAGTGAAGAAAAAAAGGCAATCCATGTAGAGCAGTGGTGTAAAATCTGTTCGACTTCTGTTTTTGTGACTTCCTTGACTCCCTGTTGCAAAAATCCATAACAGCAATGGCATGTTTTCTTGCATTCAAACCAGTTAGACAACTGGGTCCCAGTGGTATGATATCAGATTGGGTTAATATCACTAAAAAGGACATAAGTAAAAGTAAACAGAGAAACAATTGTGATGTAACTTTATCCTTTTACACACTAAGTAGCTCTTTCTTTGTCTTTCTTTGAAAAGCAAGAAATTGTTTTCATCTTCACATTCATGCATTACTAATTTAATATTCTGCTTATGTTCTTATCTCAGGAATATCCAGTGAAGGAAACCACACAACATGGTCACTCTGGGTTCCAGGGAACATATCTGCAGTGGAAGGCTCTTGTGTAATTATTCCCTGCACAGCTACATATCCAAGCGATATAGGAAAGACCCATGTAACTGTCCAGTACAAGAACCATAAGTTTTTGTTTTCAACCTGGAAAGTTTTATTTGATAGTGAAGAGCCAGAGAAGAATCAAAGGCATTTCCAGGGACGGACATCCCTAGTGGGGGACATGAGTCAGGGGAACTGCTCCCTGAAGATAGATCATGTTAAAACAGAAGACACAAAAGTTTACTATGTCTCCCTAAAGGTAAATGGACAGAAGAATTGGAACAACTTGCAGAAGGAGGTCAGCCTTAATATTTTAGGTGAGAAATTGTAACTTAAATGCTGGATGAAAATCCCAGTAAGATATCCATTCAATAGAACAGAAAACAGTTTAAGTAACATCATTGTCAAATGTAAAATAAGTACATATACAGTACATATATACAGATCACTACCCCATCTAAGATTTTTAATTCGTTAAAGATTTTTTATAAAAAAAAGATATTGATAAACAGGTTTCAGTGTGGAGAAGAGAAACCAGATACATTCCAAGACTTAAGGAAATTGTCTAAGGTGATGGGATAAATGTCCTCCACAGTTTTGTTTCAAATACAGAACATTACGAGGGGACCTGGCCCAAGTATTGAAATTCCTTCAGAGCTCTGACCAAGAAAACAGTACACTTTATCAATAACAATCAACAGAGATGTCACAAGTGGAAATGTTGTGGACGTGCTTTCATATCGGGGAACAGGAGGTGCTAAGGCTTGTAGGAGAGTGAAACCAACCCAGTCATGTTCTTGACACAATTGCTTCTTTCAAGAAATAGCTGGATGAGTTGCAAAGATCAATAAGCTACTAACAACCAAAGGGTTAGATGGGACAAATTTTGTAACCATATGGGTTAATGTTCTTAATATGTTGCCAATGCAATACGGAACACAAATTGGTCTTGAAAAACAGGCATGCAGTATGATATGGTATGATATTTCATAATATACTGTAGGCCTTGACTGAAAATGGATTTGTCATCTTCCTGAAGTTCAGTTTGTTGATGTATGTAGATGGAATTTCATTTAATGTCTCTTCCTTCCCTATCTTGCTATGCCCAGTCTCTGGTGATCTTCAGAGATTGATCACCAAGATCATATTTAAAGAAATTATACACAACAAGAATGTGATTTGGTGGTGGTGGGGTATACCAGAAACTATAATGGTACTGTTCAAGAGGGAAAATTAATGGTGTTGAATCTAGAGTAGGTTTTTTGGTGGGATATGAAGATATGTGGGCTATCTGTATATATCCCTACACTCCTTGCCTTGAGAATGTATCAGTTTCACTATCTGCCTATAAGATGTGGAAGACTAGAGTCGGAGACAAATCATCTTAATTTAAAATTTTTCTACCACACAATTCAAGAATTTATTAAATGTTTCCAATGCATGACAAACCTATTCATTTACCATCTTTCTTGGCCTTTAAGAAAATGCAGAAAGGCCTGTGATCAGTGACCCTGGCAACCTAAGAGAAGCATTGCCTGTTACCATGAACTGCACTGTCAAACACAGCTGCCCTATTCAACCTCCTGTCCTGGAATGGAGTGGAGTCAATGGCACCATCAGTGATTTCCACACCCTTGGACACCAGGGGGTTTGGACCTACAGTTCCTCCATTACTTTCACACCTTCCTATCTAGACTGCAGGATCAGCTGTAAAGTAAAACATGTGGGAGGGAAGAGTGCTACAAGAGAAAGACTTCTGTATGTGAAGTGTAAGTGCTGGTTTATATAGTATGGTTTATATTGAGAGCAAATACAGAAATTGAGAAAAAAAATCTAATATTTGAGACAGTTATTATTGGTAAAACGTCAGCTCTAAACTTAAGACGGTAGATGTTGAACTTTAGAAAGGTACCTGTGAAAAAGGTTTAGGTTTATGCTGACACATCATTTTACTCCACTAGATAATGGGGTGAAGGCACTTTTTACTGAAAAATATGCATTGGAGAGCCACTTTGCCTGTGACCAGAGGGTTCGGTCGATCAAAGTACACAGCAGCAGAGTAAGATAAGGATACGACATTCAACCATTCAAGCGTCTTTTCTCATTTTTTGCAGTTGCTCCACGAGATGTACATATTGAGGTCCTTACAGTGAGTATAATAGAAGGATCTCCAGTCCTCCTGTCTTGTAACTGCAAGGCTGATCCCCCAGTTTCAAGGTATGAGTGGTTCTATCTGAAGGGAGGAAAAACCACCAACCTGAAACGATACACAGAGAGCACCAAGGTCTACAATGTGACACGAGACATGCAATTCTATTGTATAGCAGAAAACCAGCTGGGAAGAAACCAGTCTATTCCAATGTATCTCAGTGTAGAATGTAAGTTTCCTAAAACCATTTATCCACATAATCCCCCACTCATACATTTTATTTAGTGCTTTCCTTGCAAATGTCTCAAGGCTGTGTAAAAAAATTTAATTCTCTGCAAAATAATTTCAGAATAAGTGAAATAATAACTTTACAAAAAGAAGTAAATAAATTGACATATAGATTTATTACAGAAAATCCATCCTGGGTACAAGTAGATTAAGACAATCACTGAGGAGTGCTTGACCAGCCTTAGAAAATGCACAATGAAGTCAAGAACATGAACATGTTCAGTTTTTTTTTATCTATCCAATTTAATGTTTTGGCTGTTGAGTATGATTTTTTCAGAATGTTTCCAATAGAAGTGTCAGTCATGGTTTAGTGTAATAAAGCATAGGGAAGGTAACTTACCACTATAGAAAAACCACAGCAACTATTGTGTGATAATACAATTTTTGTGTTTTTTTTAAGTGGTAAATTTTCATAAGGAAGTGCTGAAAAATGGGCCAGTGATTACGACTCTCAATTTATTTCAGTAAAACTCTGATCACACTGTACACCTACAATTCTGCATTGCAGACAAACCCCACGTCACTGCCGAGTCAGAGTGCATCCTCAGTGGAGCTTTGGTGCAGTGTCACTGTGTGGTGGACTCCAACCCCGCAGCCAAGATCACCTGGAGTGTAAATGGAAGCACCCCCGATGACACCTTTAATTTCACGTTCTCCAGCCATTCTCACAAGGCCACTGCAACACTAACTGGGCCATTGCAGGCCAAGGTCAGCATCGCCTGCACAGCGTGGAACAAGCATGGCGATGACTCATATGTCCTGCCATATCAGACAAATGGTGAGATCATCAGGAACAATCCAGTGTGAAGATTTTCTTCTGTAGGATCCAAGTCCTTCCTATTTATCATCAACTGTGCATCTCGTGTTGGAATGGCTGTTATTCCAGAGAGTCTGAAAATCTTTATAAATCTCTTTGGCATTGTGCTTGGAAGCACTGTCCTTATGACATAATCATCTATGGAACAGAGCAATAGTTTCTTCTGAATTGCATTCCAACCTTGTTGTCAACCCCTATTGCAGCAGAACTGGCTTCACTCCTTCTGATGATCGTAATATTAGCCATGGGTTGAAGGTCCGTGAAAATCACGGACCAGGGTGAGCTAGTAGATCTTTAGGTATAAAACTAAGTATAAACATGTTTCTATACAAACATGTTTCTATCTCTATCTTTCATCTGTGTTGTTGTTTTGGCAGCTGGTCTCCTTTGGAAGATTCTCCCAGCTGTTGTTGTCTTGATATGCTTATCCGCTCTCTCCATCCTTATTGTGACGTGGCGCTGCAAGAAAAGAAGGAGGAGGTAAGGAACACAACATGTTGCTCTGGATGTGTGAGGTGAAACTGAAACTATCAGGTTATTTGTATGTTAGAGAAGCACTAGTGCAGTCCCCAAGCCAGTATAGACCACTGAGAAGCAAGTTCTCAATGTTCCCATGTTCTCAATGGGAAATAATGATCCAGGCAGCCTTGTCGTCTTCTTCAATTGTTCCATACACAGTTGAACCCCAGACTCTGGGAAAACTGGCCCTGGTGTGAGTGTGTGCGTGTCTGTTTCCATATATTCTTGTCACGCCCTCTACACCTAGAGGGTGCTGCTCTTCTGTCCTGTTCCTAGTTCCCTGTGATTATTCATGTCTTTCTGGTGTGTATTGTTGTGTTGCCTATTTACTTCCTGTGTCTGCTCTGCTCCTGGCTCAGCATTGAGGGTACGGATGTCGTGAGACCCGCCTAGTACCAGGTCACGTCACGTCCACGGCCTGAGGGCACAGGTTTCTCCCCCGACATCGTCTGACCCCCTGAGCCCGGGCTAACCTCCATGTTACCCCTTTTGCTGCTTCGCATAGGGTCTCTACTGCTCTCCTTGTCATTCCATGGCATGCCCTTTTGACATCCTTGAAACTTCTGTCTTTTAACTGTGTCTGCCCTGCAATGGACTGCTGTCCTGACCAGGGTTTACCGCTATATATCCCCACTGCTTGCCAAGAGGTAGGAATTGGCTCCCCTTGCGAACCTGAATTGAATAAAGTTGTTAAGAAAATACATGGTGATAATGACCCCTTGATGTATTGAACAGTAAAGTCTTTTTTGTAGGTCTCAAATGGAAATGTACTTTTGTTAGATAGGGTACCATATTTGAATATTGCTTACATGAGTGTTTTCTGCTGTAGGATATGACATTTGAAAACTGAGTTTTTTAGCATATTTGAATTTTTTTTAAGTCTTACTTAGAGAAAACTGTTGTCTGTTTATTCCAGGCATGTACTCAACTATCACAGACCTTACATTCCAAGAAACCTAGATATTTACCAGGAAAGCACTCCTCTCTACATGAACTACAACCTGGCAGATAACATCTATACCAATGGAAGCTACCAGATGCTCTATGAAAACTGCACTCCCTGCTTTGTACGCACCAAGCAGGTACATTCACGATTAGATCACATAACACATAATTCATTTTTCACCAAAACCTGAACATTCACAAGCATTTTAACTAAAGAGTAAAGCCCATAAATGAGTCCAGAGGCTCAACAGGCCAGTGATTGTATTTGCTTCCAAAGAATTAAGAGGACTAAAAGAACACAGCACCCCCTGTGGAAGGGAGGTCTAGTCTATAGCAGTGTTTTGGGGACTTGTTTATTCCTCTCATTTTATTTAGTTCACCTTGGGAAACAGCACACTATAATCAAAAAACTTGAGACAGGAAATATTTGAATTCAGATTGTCCGGAGCTGGTAATAATCTATTAGAAAAATACAAATAACTTTCAGGATGCAAATAAAATTTGCCACAGATATAACTATTTCAGGTTTTCATGGAGGAATTTGAACTTTTAAAAAACATGTAAAGGTTTATTCCATGCTGAAAAGAGAGGAAAAGAAAACACAATGTTATGGCTGCGGTGCCTTCTTCGCTTTTTAAAAACATCGCTGCCTACTGGCTGGTACAATTGTGCAATCAAGGCTTTCTTTTCAGGAAGTGGACATTCTTTAACTCATTTAGATTCAGCAGTTAAAATCTCATATTAAAAAAAACTATACATTTATTACTAAAAATACTAAGAATCTATTTTGATTCAATTTGGAATTCACAAAGGCATGTACTCAATATAGTGTTCCCTACAGATCCAGACCTCAATGGTACTTGAAACCACTAACCAGGGCCAGAGCAGGGCTGCACCCATTTCATGGGAGGCCATGACTCAGAGCTTACTCATGCATGTCTATCAGTCCCAAAACGTGCCAAGCAGAAGGAGTTTAGAGAGAGAGAAAGGGCAAGGACTCAATGGCATGGGGCCTGAATGAGAAGGTGACACTTGACACCCAGACAATATATAATTCTCCAGTAGCAGAACACCTGACCTTTAAACACAGAAGAGTTTGTCCATGGGTGGCTCTGTCTATGCTCTGAACCCACGATTAAATGATCAAATCTGAGTAGAGGCAGAGTAGAGCTACAGTACATCTGCCATGCATTCAAAGAGAGTGTTGCATCCTTTTATGGATGGGAATCCAGCAACCACATATGAAACTTATTATGCTTTGATCCACCAACCACTAATAATTAAGTTGTGTGACATGTTTGTCCAAGACCTGTTCTGATTGGAGTGCTTTCATTATTCTTGCTGTTGGTTTTTCAGCAGCAGAGGAGAGCTGTCTGGGCTTTCAGAGAAGTGAGGGAAGACCAGCACACAACCAGCGAAATTCCCGTGTACCTGGAAGTCATCTGAGGGAAACAACAACCAGTCCAAATAACCTGCCTGCAATGTAACACAACCAAAGAATTTTCCTGCCAATATCACAAATTCACTCGTGCAATTCTGGTGTGTTACAGATGCAGAACTCTCATCTGTGAAGCAACATGGGCCTCATTATGGTTAAATGACAAAATTAGCTAATCGTCCCGATGTTGACCCTTATCTGGGATTCAGAAAACCTTTAAGAATTTTGTATTTTAACTTTTTTAATCTTCTTTTTACTGTATACTAATGAAACATTGATCTCACACCTTTTTCATTAAACCTTGTGAATAGTTACTTTAGTAACCGGCAGGCCGGTTCAGACAAACAATGACAACATAATGTGTAAATAATAAACTGCAACACGCTTTTACTTTTACTCACTTGTAAATATCATTTCAGGTCTTGGTTTCAATAAAAAGTGCATTTTTGTAATGGTGAGATCTTAGTATTTTAACTATGGAATAGAGATGATATGTACAGTATATTGGTCTGTAATAATTCTGAAACTGAAAATCAGACACAACACACTTTTATCTAGTGAATTTCAAACAACTTAGCTATCTTTTGTTTATAGATTGATTATTTATTTGATTTTTTGATCAATCAAGGATAATACAATTACTAAATTTCTCATGAACCTAAGAGGTCCTAACATTTACAGTACAAACGTCTGTAAAACAGTATACATTTGCAAAACTACAACCTAAATGTTGGTTTCAGTGTGATAAGTATACATACTGTAGGTTTTATTTGTTTCTGAAGAAACAAAATATTGAAATACAGTATATAACTTTCAGGTGTTTTGGTAGGAGGGACTTCTTACAGAAATTAATGTCATGGAAGTGGTCATCTTATAGAAAGAATAATAGACTTTATTTACAAATAGCACATGATGCATCATCTTGTGACACTTTACAAACAAAACAAACACATACAAAGAAACAGCAAAGGCAGTAAATTAAACAGAAGTAAAAATGGTATTTTAAGACAGGATTTGAAAGTGACTGACTTGCAAGACCTGCTATAGTCTCTGAGAGCAGCATCTCCCATGTTTGAAACCTTATATTAGGAACTAAAAAAAGATCAGAGTGCAAACAAAGTTTTCTGTTAAGTATTGGCTTGTTGATTAAGTCAGTTGCCCTTGAAGGTGAGCAAGCAGTATTTTTCATTTTACTTAGAAATCAACAAGGAGCAAGTACAAAGGTATTAACATATACTGTAAGCTCAAAAAAGGTTGGGAGAAAACTGGAGAACTCAAAAGATAAACAATAACATGTGAACACAGGGAGCACATGACTATTGCACACTGATATATTTTAAGAGCCAGGAATAAAACAACTGTAAAAGCCTACAGTAGCTGTATGTGGGCAAGCTTTGAGTGAATTAAGCTTCTTTATTATCTTTTGACTTTTCCCTTTTCCCTCCTAGAATATCTGCCTCACGTAAAAAGAAAAAGCTAATCTAAAAAAAAAAACTCTACATACTACAGCCTAACTGTAGTACCTGTTGTAATATCCACAATGCACTTGATTTTATGCTGCAACTTATTGGGAATTTTGTTTTTGAGCCTTCTGGGCTATAAATGTTTGTAATCTCTGACACAGGCAATGCTATCTGAGATAGAAAGGTCTTGCTGTTGTTCTTTTCATAACACAATATGAACAAAATGCTAAAGTAGCTCTTGTTGAGCAAAGAAAGGTTGCACAGAGAACTCTTGTTAAAAATAATGACCTGCACCCCCTGATCTGTTTAATTAGATTGTGGGATTAAATGTGGTTCCCTTCCTCCGAGACACACAGTCTCTGCTGACTTCAAATGCGAGAGATGAGACAACTAATTGCACTACATAAACCTTGGGTTTCATTTCACATTCGCTTCTTTTTATATCTTCAACCGTATCAGTGACACCAGAGATCACACACAAAAGAAGACCTGCAGAAAAGTTGTTGAAGCAGAGATTAACTACAGTACTTCCCCTTTCTTGCTGTGCAGAATGGTATCCATGTACAGTACTCTTCAGTATCTGCAGACACTACGTTTGTACAGTACATATGTTGAACTGGATCCCTCGCTTTATTTATTTATCATCTCTGTGACAGTTCAGCAGATCTGTGCCATATTCAGCATCACACAAAAGGACCACCAATACAGATCATGAGAACAGTTACAAAGAAGCGGTGGTCATGGTCATTTGGCTCATCTAAGACCATTTGGTAAAAGATAACCCAGCTTTAGTACATATAAATATTTGTGTGATTCATTCTAGTTGTTAATGCTAAAGGAAGTGGTGTGAAGAGATGAGCAAGCTTGGTATGTACTGTATATCATCACTGTAAACATCAATAGGAAAGAATAAGAGTTTTATCTTTCCTTTTGAAAGTTTTGCTTTTACAAGAAGCCTTATAATAGCTGCGACACCTTCCTGGCAGCAGGTATTTATTACTTAATAAACTGTAACCACTGGCCCTGAAAGTGGAACGAATCAGTTGGCATCAACAGTCCCTCTTCTCCTTTACTTCAGAAGGAGGAAACACTGCCCACGTATCATACATATACAGTTCTCAGATTCTCACACTTACATATCCTGAATGTCAACTGTACTACAGTTTTAATAAATGAAAAAAAAAATCTGCCATACATGCTGTTTCCAGACAGAAGTTCTTCAGGTTCTAATGTCTTCTGGATGAGTGGCATCAGAAAATTCTTCAATGGAAATATGGTTTCCTTAACTTATTGCAGAGGAAAATTTAGTTTTATTTTAATGAAGATGTATAAAATCAAGTCTGCATCTAGGTTATCATTTGTGTCGTTTGTTATATTCCTTTATGTTGACACTTCTTATTTCAAAGCCTTTTATTGTCTTTGTAACTGAAACAGGCACCATTTCACAATTTGGCTATTTCAAAATAAATTGGTCTCCATTGAGAACGTGGACATCACTAGGATTGTACCAAGAAGAAAACAGTTACTACATGAAAACCATGTGAGTATAACATCCTAAGAGTGATAAACACCAGAGTGAGTGGTGTAGGGATGATGGTTCAAGAGACCAGTCAGAAATGCTTGGTGTTTCACAAGTCGTTTCTGCTACAGAAATGAGGTTCCTCTTCATACAGTATCTCAGCTCTTGTGAATCAGCTATGGGACAAGCCACAAGGATTTCAGCAGTATCTTTTCTTCTAACAGGTAATTTTTCTAAAAAACCTAAAACATTACATATGTTCTACTGTAACTCGAACATTTAACAACTTTGCTTTTGAGTATATATAAAAAAGTAATAATTTGCTCTAAATAGCATAATTATCTAGTACTTACAGTAAATGTTTAACAGATGAGAAACATACAACATCATCCATATGTAATAAAAGAGCTCTTTTTTGTAAATAAATACTGTACATATTACATTGTTAAAACCTGATGTGAAATCTTTACACTGGAACTAGAAAAAATTGGGTGTCTGAGGTTAAACTGAATGCCAATGAGCACTGCTGCTTTACAACGCTTGGGTCCTACAGTATGATTAATTTCATATTGAGGTGCTGTGTGTAGAGTTTGCATCTTTTCCTTGTACTCCAGATTCCCTCTGCCTTCTAAAGCCATACTGGCTAAACTAAATGATGTTCCTATATTGTTCCTTGTGCTCTTGCTCCTGTCTGTAATTAGCAATGAGTTAGTACTCAATCTGAATAAGCAAGTCTAAGCAACTTAATGTTGTGCTGGTCTTTTGTTTTGATATGCAGTTAAATATACTCTTTTCATCTTCAACGGATGCAATTGTTAGTGGCTTTGGATAAAAGCATCTGCAAAATGAATAAATGTAAGTTATGTAAATGTATGTTATCCATGTTTTATTCATATGGTAAGGTCCCACTTGTAATTCCTAAGCAGGGTAAACAAGACCATTGACCACTTCCCTGTCAGTGGGATTTCAGCAGTAGTTTAAAACAAGCGAGTCACACCACTATTTGAACAGGTTGATAACTTCAGAGTTCTCACTCTGGGTCAATACAATGTAGCTTTGCTAAAATGTAGGATATTACATATTACATAGAAATATTCAATTGAATGGGACTGCTTTTTGATCCCCTGCTTTTCATTCCACTTGTGATCTAAATGGACTCTCCATTTAATGCTTTAAAATCCTAAATTGAATTATAATCCTAATTTGAAAGTCCCAAAAAGCCTGCAGGACTCTTAGGGACTGAAGGTACCTATTCCTGGAATAAAATGTTATACTTTGACTTGGACGTCTCCAACCCAGTTCCTGGAAAGCTTAATTAAATTCAGTGAGTTTTATATTTCAGCCCCAAATCACCTGTGTCTGAACACTGGGAACATTTGAAAAATAAATAGTCAATTAAGCATATGATTTAATTAAAGGAGATCTGTTCATGGAAGATTCAAATTTATAATACAAAAACTATCCCAATAGAATTCTATTAAAATGAAATAATTAATAAAGAATGTTTTCCATATAAAAGCTTACTCGGGTATGCCATGGTAAAACATGGTATATAGCCATAATGCACTGTACAGGGATTGTAAAAGCAAGTCAAATTACAGTAGCATTACAATCATGCATGATTGTTAAGTGTTGATACAGGGGTAGCAAGCTGTATTCAATACTGCACAAAGAAATTAAGGGATGTAAATACTGCCTCCCTCCACAGAGGGCTGCCAGGAACTGTAAATACAGTAGATTCACAACTTACAGTACGTGTTCTCAATTTATGATGAGCACAAATGTCAAGCACACCTACGGGAGCTAGTTAATGAGCCTATACACTCATCTTATTTACTATTTCTATACTTATATATAACATATTGTGTTACTGTAGGAGTTTGTATAAGGGATATAGGGTAAAAATTAAGGATACGCAATTTGGCTTTACTTGATACTCAAAATCCCTAACCTCCACATTAATTTCCTTTTCAACTGTTCCTAAAACTGAGTTTTGAGCACACACAAAGGCAGAAGTGGTTTGCAAACCAATGGTTTCCATTTCTGTCTTTGCTCACAAATTTGGATATTGAACCAGGAACCCTGTACAGTAGTTGCCATTCTTATAGTTTACCCACTTGAAATCTTCAGGGTACTTTTCAGTGTTTTCCTGTTTGGTAGAGTATGTGTATTTGTTTTCTCTTGTCATTTGTTTTAGGCTTGTCACTATGTGCCTTTTGTCAAATATGGCACATCAGTATGCCAGAGAAAGTCTTTGCTGTGGAAGGCTCCTGTGTTGTCATCCCCTGTCAATTTTACTACTCTGGTCCCAGAAGAACAATTACCAGTGTGGTGTGGTACACAGCACAGCAGGAGAAGGTGTATGACAGCAGGAACACAGAAGCAGTGAGCTCCAATTTCAAAGGCCGAACCCATTTCCTTGGGAACTTGACCCAAAATAACTGCACTTTGAGAATTGATAAAACGACACCCTCGGATCATCTAAAAAGGTTTTCCATTTTGATATGCTTAGATGACATACAAAACATTACCGTGAAGAGCTCAACACTAAATGTTTCAGGTAATCACAAATGTGGGGTCTAAATGTTGGGGATTTGTTATGTTATGGCAATGTTATCTCTTTCCTAATGGTAATAAATATAAAATATATTTGGTTGTTATTCAGAAATCAAAGACAGCTCCATTTAAGAATGAAGAAAAAGAATACATTTTTTTATGTTCATGGATACTTCTGTGTGTCACTGCATAAAAGGAAAAACTGCAATCTACAATAATTTTATGCTAGTATAACATCACTTCGAAGACGAATTTCTTTGTGTTCCCAACCCAGGCGTACTGTCATGTTAACCCAGTGAAACTTACACTCCCTCCCTAATCCTAACTGTTACTCTTGGCAATAGAGAGATAAAGCCACTATAATGGTTTTATGTGTTCATTTCTAAAGATGGAATAGGTGTACCCAGGATATCTACAACAACAGGTTTAAGGGAAGGTGTCCCCAGTACTATCACCTGCAGTGTGGTTCATGGTTGTCCTACCTCTCCACCTTCCCTGCAATGGATCTCTCACAGTATGGTCAGTGTCCACCACAAGGAATTATCTTCAGGCATTTGGGAGACGACGGCAACCCTAACCTTCATCCCATCCTTCAGTGACCACAGAAAAAAACTGCAATGTGTCGCTACTCTTTATGCAGGAAAGAATGCATCAGCAGCCATTGACTTGACTGTTGAATGTGAGTATGATATAAATGGAGGTATACAGGCAGACTGGGGCTGATATTTTATCTTGAGTAATGTGACAGATGAAAAATGATTATAGGAAGTGCAAAATTTTAGAATATTATCCCTACAAATACAACAGGGAGTCACCACATTTAATACAAGTGTATGACGGACGTATATCTGGTTTGTTTTCCAAAACTCTTGTTTTTCACGGTTAGTTCTCAATTGTCTTCAAGTTGATAATGTCTCTGGTGGCTTCTACAGGACAGAGGATTAAATAGCACTAAATCTATCCAATTTGCAGATGTAAACGTAAGATTATGTCAGGATCAAAAACTTAAAACTGAGACTTAATGTCAAAAAGCCTGGTTTATTTTTGTTTTAAACAGTCTGGAATTGGCATTTATGTTTCATACACACCAAATTCACAATGGCCAGTTCATTGTCATGTCATTTTGTGGTTGTCAGACAGTTGAAAGATTTTAAGTCTGTATCTTGCTCATAGTGATTTTTACTTCTCTGATAGACTGCAAAACAAAAATACTGATTCCATGGGACAGAAGTGGTAGTACAGTATAGTGTTTTAATTATTTGTACTCCTGCTGCTCAAGTTAAGCATTCATGCACAGTAGAATACGTTTACTTGTTTTGTAATTATTGTATGATGCTATGTGGGAAAACAATATGTCACCTAATCACAAATAGACAATGTTACATTCTCAATGAAGATAATCGGATAATAACTGTGTTTTAAAATAAAGTTAAACAAATTTTGGATAATTCTTATGTCTTTCTTCTGTTTTAGATAAGCCCCGTATATTTCCTAACTCTAGTTGCACTGTGTATGGGGACATGGTGAGATGTGAGTGTTGGGGGGTTTCAAGCTCTCCAGTGGATTTTGAGTGGGATGTAGGAGCAAACCGTAGTTTGGCAGAGTTCAACCACAGCAGTGCAATTCATGATCATCAAATTAGAGGATTCCTCATAGGGAGAACAGGAATTGAGGATAATATCTCCTGCTCCTCTGCGAACCAGTTTGGAAATGTTTCTTACTTCCTCACTGTATTTAAAGGTAAAGTGTTTCTCTACTATGTGTCCTATGTTCATATATAATGTACTGTATGTCAATGGTTCACCATTGCATATCACTGTACAGTAAATTATATGAACTGGATATACAATCAAATGCTGGTAAATAATACCAGCAAGTTGGAAACGGGACAGATTTTTTTTTTATTTCCCAGGTTAAAGAAAGAACTTTGATTTTGAAAAGCATTGTTGTAAATAATAATGACACTGTGACGCCATTTGAGTTTAAGTCAACGGCATAGTTATACCGCATGCTAATAAAAACATAAGGTTTTGCCTTTGAATGTCAATTTCTAATTCTACTACTTTCAAATAAGTTTTTTGCACTTGTTTTCATATTATTTTTAAGGTCGGAGTAGAGATGAGCAGTCAGTGCAATGGTGGATAGCTGCACTGGTAACACTTGTTATTGTGCTTGTTTTGACTGCTATCCTAGCATTCACATGGAGAAGAATTCACACCTGGTAAGATTAAGACGCAACTGGCAGCGTTTCATTTTTGGTTTCAATTTGACTTCTGAACATGATATGCTACCCTCATGTGGTTGAAGCCGATACTTCAGCTTCCTTTAAGAAACGGCTGGATGGAGATCCTTGAATCAATAAACTCTTTGTTAATGACGCGGCGAGATGGAAGAACAGTCTGACTGAGAGCTCACACGGAGGTAGAGGCAAAGACGTGGGAAAAAAATAAAAATAAAACCACGCAAAATGAACCCAATACTCAGGGCGGCTGAAAAGCGGTAGCGGCTAGGAACAGGGGAAGTGCGGAAACAACACAGCAACCGGAAAAAAAAAAAAAAACAGGGAGAAAGACAACTGGTGGAAAACCTACTAATGACAGAGCCTTGAGTGAAGGTCGAGGGAAATATTTAAAGGAACTGGAACTGCTAATGAAATAATTAGTGAAACAATAAACTAATTAGAAGACCGCTGTGAAAATACAGTATGCGGAATCGCTCAACGGCAGCAGTTCGAGCAAAATAGTACCAGATTGGCTAAATAGCCAGCTTTTGTTTGTCATCTTTTTTTGTTCTTATGCTCAAATATGGCAGAGTAGTCAGAGGCCCACTAATGGGTAACTGTAGGGGGCTGCTGGAAAGCGTGAGTAAAAGATCAGAATGTAATTTAAGCACTACCTTATAAACTATCCAAAGTTCTGTTTCACGGTTTTTAAACCTACATTCCTGAGTAACTGATTTTCTGTGATATGGAAAAAAAGTGTGTTGAAATTAGGCAGAAATCCAATGCCTCTAAGGTACAGTAACTGTTTGAAAATGTTAATAGCATTCAACGTTTCTATGCTGTCACTTAATTCAGGGAGGTGAGAGATCTAGTGTCTGAGCAAGATGAAATAAGTCATCCTCCAATCATGAGGCCTGTAATGACAAGAGTGTCACCACCCCCAACATGCATCAGTGTTTCTGCCAGGGAGACCTTCCACAGCAACTCAGCTGGAGAGAAGTTATTTCAAAGTCGACCCACAACTATCGGCATTGTTTGGCAAAAGGTATGGCAATCAATCTTGCTTAGGCAACATAAACTAACAGGAATACATTTGTGTTTAGGTTGCATTACCTTGGTTGCCCAGGATTGGATGATAGTGAGTTTTATCTTTTTAAATAAGGTTTGTTCTTACTTCTTAGTCTCTGATTTCATTTCATTTAAAGGAGGACGATGAAGAACAAGAAAAAAGGACATCTAAATGTGAAAGGAGGATGACTCACAACACACAGAGTCAGTCCAGTGAGGAGGTGGGAAAATTTATACAGTATATTGTATATATAACAATTATAAATGTGTACCCTGACCTTGAATACTTCTTTTTAATGTCCTCTTTTATTTTATTTCCACTTCTAGCTTATAATTGTTTTCAAGAAAGTGTTTTTGTTTTCCTCATAATCCTCAAGATTTTCAAATGATTACAGTACCTTTTTAAATGTCTGGTGGTGTGGCAAAACTTGACAGCACTAGTGTTATGTTGAGTCTTGATTCCAAGCTGCTTTGTCCTCTGTGTGCAATTTGCAGGGATTCATATTATTAATATGATTTTTTTTCCCCAAGTGCTACTGTTTTCTTCACCCGGCAAAGGTCTAATGGACAAGTTTGATTATCTTTTCTAAAGTGCCCATTTCACTCTGTTCGCCTGAATTTCCATCTAGGGAAAATGTACAAGATCACAATCCTTTTGTAACCTTTTTATAGCACATGACTGTCAGATAATGACTGTATTGATTGTTGTTGTGATGATATCTGCATCACATTGTTAAGGAGATAATATATAAGTTAATTGAGGTATTGTTAGCTGTGTTGGATTTTTATGTTCCCTACTCTAGTAATCTGTTTCTAATTCTAGCATATACAATATGCAAAATATATATATTTTTTTTATTGTGCCATCCTCTAGGTGGATGCCGATAATATATATATGGAAATGCATGGACAGCTAAATGAGCAACGTTGCAAAGAGGATGACGATGATGTTTATGAAGAATTCCATGTCACTAAGGACTGTAAAGACACTGACTCTCAAGGAAAGAGGCTCTCAAATCTTTCAATAGTGGGAACTCCATAGCAGCTGTTTTCTCATAATGTCATAATGTTAACCTACTCAAACTCTAGGTAGTTAATAACAGCTAATAACAGTTAATAACATAAGGATGCTGAACACGGATATTTGTTGCTGGATGTTTGAAGTTTCTAAGAAATTAAGGCAGACAGTAAAGACCACCACTCAAATTCTGCAATAAAACAGATAGAACAAGAACAAGAAACGATAACGTTTTTGGTCACATGTTTAATTAAAATGGTTTTTCAAACATTTCAGGTTCTGAACCGACAGTTACATTAAAAAGAATTAAAAACCTTCAAGAATAAAACTAGATTATATTATTATATTATATTTTAAACCAAATACACATTGCTGTCATTTTTATTACAGTACGTATTATGAGAGTATTAGACTTTTCTTCCAATGCTTCAATGAACTGAATATCTCTCTATAAAATATTTTCTCTGCTCAGTAAAACTTGATAGAGAAAGTATGTCTGTATGTTAGCCCATTATCTCAGAGTGCCTGGTTGACTTATTCATATTTTATCCTATCACCTTATACATGAAAAGGCATTCCTTTGCATCTTGCATTATTAGAGCTTAATATGTGTAAGATGTGTTTACAGTATGTCCTTCTGAATATTATATTTGTACCAGCATTATCTAATTTTAAATACAATAAAATACAAATGATTTCAAATTGAAATTGATTGCTACTCATAAAGCACACCTGTCCTGCTAAGAAAAGTCTTTTTCATTGTCATTGTTCAGGTTTGTATGGTACAGTAGTATTTTCTGTGCTAAATGGACTGTGAAAGGAATTGGAAAAAAAGCACACAGGGGATCATGTGTGGTTATACCCTGTTATTTTGACTACCCAACAAATGGCAAAAATGACGTGAAGTGACCATTATATGGTGAAACATCTAACATGAAGCCATTTACCACTCTCGTGGATTAAATGTACTGTCAAGATTTGTAGGAAGAACAAGCTTATTTGGAGATGATACCAAGAGAAATTGCACTATGCAGATTTCAAACTTCAGCATGAGGACCAAAATGCATAGTATCTCAGACTTGAGGCAAAAGACATGAAAAACAGCTATATCGAAAACAAGGTTGCACTTCTTGTTTTAGGTAAATGTAGTAAAATTACCAGAACCTTTCTTGTATTAGCAATGTGATAGAATACGCCAAACGTATTATTGTTCTGAATTAAGTACTTCCTTAATCAGGGAGCAGAAGCTTAGGGGACAAAGTACTAATTTTACTGCAGAAAACCTCCATGCCTGTTGGCCAATGCATAGGAATTTATCATGTGGTATTGCCCTCTAGTGGAAAAAGAAGAAATGAACATTAAAAAGTCTTGAATTAAAGTAAAACTAAAGAGGAACTTCCAGGTTGCTAGCTTGGATGATGGTGATAATAACACTTTATTCTGTCGTATATACTGTACATGCACAGGTACATAATCTATCTAAGATATTTAACACTTTCAGGAATACTGTAAAGGTTTTCACGGTGAATACAGTTTGAATGCTGAAGAGAGAAGAAAAGAAACATGATGTTTTGGCTGTGGAGCCTTCTTCGAGTGTGAAACAGCTCCACAGCCGAAACATTGTGTTTCTTTTCTTCTCTCTTCAATATGGAATAAATCTTTACTCCTTCCTTTCTAGCCTATGCATGCTGACCAGGCTACCTACTTGAGCAGTTTAAATGGGCTGTTTTTAATCTTGATAAATTACATTACAAGTTTAGAATACTTCATCATGAAGTATTTTTTAGGCACACCAGAAAAACCTAATTTGTCCATCCCTACTAAATCAATGGCTGGAGTTGAGATTACTGCAGTTTGCTCAATTCCATTCACATGTCCAGAACACCCTCCAGATATCACCTGGAGTCTCTCAAATGCTACATCATTTCAACACATAAATGAGTCAAGAGCTATATGGGCTACGGCTTCAGTCCTTCGTTTCATACCAACAGCTCCTGAGCACAAAATGCTTCTTTCATGCACAACTTAGTACCATTGAGGGAGTCGATCAGAGAGCTCTGTGACTTTAAAAGTGGAATGTAAGTACTGGCACCTTCCAGTTACACACAATTTTCACATAAGACTTTTAATTACATAAAATGTTTTTTTTCTTCTTTCAAGACAAGGCACCTTCCGCATCACAATCAACCTATTTTGAGGTCATAATCCCATTCTTCCTCTCTCGGCTGTGACTACTGTATGCCCACAGTTGGAGCCCTGATACTTTCAGATGGTATTTTAAATTGAGATCCTGGTGACACTAAGTACATTGAAGGTTTCATGGTACATGTCATGTCAAAATTCCATTCCAATCTGGTTTATAATTGTTAGGACATGGGGGGTTTCTCAATGTACTTGGTCTTTGGAACCAATGTAATTGGTCTTTGGAACTGAATTGTATGGTAGTGTAACAGGGATTATCAAAGTTTCTGTTTTGAGTGGATCAAAATCACATTTTTTTTCTGAGCATCTTTATTCTGTGTTTCTATATTGTACCCATTGTTCTGAAGATGTATGTCTTCACAGGCATCTTCTTGAATTATCATTGTCTCTTTATGTCTGCAGTTTGTGTCTTGTTTGTCATGATTGTAGTCTCTGGAGCTTTGAAACTGCGATGAACCAATGGGTATGCTATTATACTGCTGTCATTTTGCAATAGAACAAATCTATATCATTAAATGGAAGATAGTATTAACTCAGTATATAACCTCACAGCATATGTGGGTGGAAGTTTGCATCATTCCTCACTGACTGCAGTAAACAATCCTAAATATACAGTACGTTATAGCGAGTTTACATTAACACACTAATTTAAACATTATTTTAGAGGGCATATACTGTATGCACTGTGTCATTATAAACTTAGGGTCATAAGTTACATCCAAATTCCGTATAGTTTCCATTTAACAAAAAGCATATATTCTTTTTTATTTTATTATTGTCATTGTAATGATGTTATAGAAAGTTCCCTACTAATGTAGTATTTGCAAACTTGTGCATCCTGTTGTGAAAGGCTTGTTCCTGTTGCAAAACATGTACAATATTGTCATATTTTATGCAGTATACAGTATATGCGATCAAATCTGTTTTATTTTGATATTTTCTGCAACATTTGTGAATTCTATCAAGACTATAATGTGGTATCTTGCAGCATTTAATGTGCAAGTTGACAGTTCTGACACAAGCTGAGTGTCAGGTTTATGGTTCCCATTTTCCACACCTAAATGGATAAAAAATAGTTAAAAAATTAAGTTCAAATCAATGGTTCAGTAGAAAACCAAGCCTTTACATTATTATTTTGAAGAATACAAGAATTTCAGACACACTGAACTTGGATTAGAGATATCTTTATGAAAGATGAAAATAATATTTGTGCACGTGTTTAGGTTTGCTGTGGTTACCTATGATTTTAGGAAACCTTCACTGTATATTTCTACAGTTTCTAGTCTGTTCTGTGATATGTACAATAAAGTGTTTTCATTCCTATATACAGTTTTTTGCATTTTTGCTTTTATATTGAAAATGTTTCTACTATAAACATTGTAAGATATGTATGCTAACGTAAGACTACTATTATCTTATGTTTTGTTAATATGACTCTGTTATAGTAATTAAGCATATTTGTATTTCACCTTAAACCACATGCGAATTCATGCTGAAGTGTGAACTAAACAGCTGCCTTAAATTTGCTCTTGGGTGGAGGCCTGCAAAGATAAAGAACCCCTAGGTGAAAGTGAAAGCCCTTGTGAGGTCAGACCCTTTGGTATTATTGTGTAGCTTGTTGTAAATTGTTTTTTAATGGTTGTTTTTTGGGTTACATCTGCCCTGTAGAGCACCAACAACAATCCAGGAGAACCAATGAACAACACAGAAAAGGAGGTCGGGAGAACTCTAAACTGGGCCTCAAATATCATCAGAAGCTGAGCTGGTATGGAAATAAACCCCCCTGTTACTTTTTGATCTTGGCCTTGGCACCTACTAACTACTGAATGGACTAGATGGGCTTCCTTGGGGTTGTAATCTTTCTTATATTAACAAACCTTGAAGAAAACCAGGCATGGACTGTATGAGTAGAATATATCCATTCATATTGATTACAAATAGTGATTGGCAAAACAAAGTAATTTGTGCAGACAAGCATGACTTATAAGCAATGACGTGATAGCTACTAAAAAACCTACACAGCTCTGGCACTGTGTAACATGCAAAAATAAAAATAACATGCTAAAAGTTTTTTTTTAAATGTGTTTTACCATTTTACTGTATATCACCAAATCTTTCATTTTTATGTTACATCAGTGTGTGAGCTTTTTTGTGACCTTATTTTGCAACAGTAAACATGAAAAAATGGTATATGTTGCAACGGTTAAAAAAGGTTGACTTGGAGATTCGGCTTATACAGTATGTGTCACATGCTGAGTGACTGTCCATCCGGTGTGCCTGCAATTTCATTCTGGCAAGTTTAGTTTGTTTAGGGAGGGACGTCAGGTTTCAATGCAATTAGTTCAGATAAATAGATTTGCTTTTGACTGATGTTTGTTTTTGTGAAGTTAGATATTTTATCTATTTAAATAATGAATTCTAAGTGTAATCGTTCTGCATTTTTTTTAAATCCACGTTGTACTTTGTTCTGTGAAAACTTGTGCTGATTAGTTTAGTTTATATCGTTATATTTCAATGAGGTGGACGTGTGGAATAATCATCCGAGGCAGTCTATCGAGTAGTGAAGATGGTCTTCAGGCTTCAGCACAGTTTGGGTTAACCTTGCTAAAGACAAGTATCAATTTCGTGTTTGCAGATTTATGTTCCATTTGAGCATTCATATTTGCCAGTGGTGCAGTGGTAAGCCGGAGTCCTGGATTCAATGACAGATCTGGGGTACTCCTGTAGCTGCATAAATTCTGTATTTTCCCCCTATGTTTGCATGGGTTTCCTCCCACAGTCCAAAAACATACTGTTAGCAGCTTCAACATTGTGACTAAGCAGCACAGTCATGAAGCTGGCTATTCAATTAACTTTTTCATTAATTTATGAAAATTAAGCCCCCCCCAAGACCCTGTATTAGATAATGCAGTTTGAAAATTGATAGATTGATGAATTTCAGGATTTCAAATGCTTCTGTCAAGTTCTTTTTTGGTTAAAAAGTGAAGAGATTCATTTGTTTTAACCTGTAAGAGTATGGCACGCTGACGTTTTTCTAATTTTTCCGTCACTGACGTGTTCCCTTTAGCAATGTGGTAACTGGAATTCCTCAACATAATTTAGACAAGATCTAACAGTGGTATTGTCTGTTCTTAATGATATCAAAAGCAGTTTTTCAACACGCTTGGCACAAACATGAATGGAATTTATTAAATAGCAACACTGTTGTGCATTTATGTCTGTGAATTTATTCACAGGGGGAGTTCTGAATATCCAGTATGCCAAGTAATAATAATTGCTTACACTTATATAGCCCTTTTCTGGACACTCCACTCAAAGCACTTTACAGGTAATGGGGACTCCCCTCCACCACACCAAGTAGACTGTCCAAGTATGAAGACCCTCAATGCAAATTTTCTAACTTCAAATTCGCCTCAGTTATGATTCTAAATAAAATATGTAAAAATGTTATTGTTTTGTGAAAAATGTTGCTGCTGTCAAGGAAATAAAACAAAAAAAATATTGTGATGAAATAAAAAACTGAGCTGTGAAAAAAAACAAGCTGACCTGTTAAAATGATTTGCTGATAAAATAATGACAAAAATCTTTTACATGGATCAGAACAGGAAACTGGTGTGACAAGCCATTTCTGAACTATGAGAACTTCCCTAAAGTTACCTCTCTGCATTTCTTGAATTTTGAATACCGGGCTTTTAAATTGTATGGAATTGTAAGTATACTTTATTATTGTACTTGCAACTTTGTTCATTAAAATAATTTTTGACTGAACAAATTCTACAATCATCAGCAATTGGTGTAATGTAAGTATTACTCGCATATTATACCTTTTTATATTCATCTACAGCCAGGTATTACAGTGAGGTATTGCTTCTGATGAGCCACTAGTTTTTATTTCAGTCCAGCTCTCCACTGTTTAAGTAGTAGTGGCATTTAGTAGTGATTTTTGTGATCCTTATTCAGCAACAGAGAACATTTTCAAAACAAGGAACTCATTCTGGTCTGGTGTTTGAAACCAGTGTATTAGGAAAAAAAACTACAGCAATTTGTATCTCCACAAATTGTTTCAAAATACAAAAGTTTTCAATATAAAGTCCGCTGTATATGTCAGATGTGGATAAATTATGTTTCCTATAGAGTTGATATTTTTTAAGGATCAACAATTTTGATGTCTTGTTGTTACTTAACTGTTTAAAACAATTTACTGATTATTAGTAAATGAATTTAAAATCATTGTGCATCCTGGCTGCTGCCTGCCCTAGCTGTATTGTAAAGACTATTTTAACAATTTTATTGGCATATTCTGTGTACTGTACACAATGGATGTACTGGATATGAAAATGTGTTCCATATTGCAAATGAGGTTTAGTGCCAGATTCAGCTATGTGAAACAACATGCCTGGTGTCGGATGCAAAACACCTGCAAAATATTTATTAGAGTACTTGTTAATAAGGATAAAAGTCTCATATTGTCATTACAGTTACAAAATTGGGAAATAAACATTTTTGGTTGTCTAAAAGTTACAATCAGGTGTGTAGCATGATCTAGACAATTGTTTCAGTCAAACTACCTGCAGTAGCCTCATCTACACTATTATTAACCATATCTTAGGAGCATACTGTACTATGTCCTCAAGCATGTTTCTCCACATTTATGAGGAATTGCTTAAGAATGCAGCACTGGAATGTAAAATTCATCCCATATCCAACCCATTAAATTCCTGACAATTTGTATTCAAAAACCTTAAACAGGTTTGTTATATCCCATCACTATTTCCAATGTTCATTTTACTCTTTCTTTTACTTTTGAGGCAGAGAAGGTCACGCGACATTTCACTGATGCTTTATCCAGCTTCATGCCTGACATACTGTACAACAGAAAGAGAAAGACAGAATGCACATGGAAAACATTTATTCAAAAATGTTTTACAAAGCTTATCGCCTGTGATTGCTACTTATCTTTCTCTTGAGCTTACTCAGAGCTTTTTAGTAAACCATTAGGGAACTGCTTTTTTAGGTATATTCTAACTAATCAAACTGTTAGCCGGGCTTCTTAAGCATTGTATGTTGTCCTGGATAAATGTGAAATTAAGCCATCATTATCATTCTTGGTCTAAATGGAATATGCTACTCAGTCAGGAGACTCGAACGAAGTCTTATCAGCCTGGAGCAGAGAAGATTATGGAAGTCCTTGATCCAAGTATTAAACTGAACCCTGAACGTTATCAAAGAAGTAAGGATGATTTCTTAAAAACCAGCAGTATGAGGACTGAGGGCATCAGCAGATCATTCAGAATAGAAACAACACATGGCCTGTCAATACAAAATCATTGTCTGGAACAAATGTCTCAGTCATATTGCAGATTCTGACTCTGAAGGATCTTTGAAGGAATATGTTGATGTGATTCTTATATATTTTTGCAGATATGAAATGACCAAAGCAGTAAGCTAAGATTTTTCCTACCATTCAGAAGTCTGGCTTACACATTACGCGTCTGTCCATGACTGCTTGTTCTGCTGTACGACTTGTCTTTTTTCTTTGCACAGTCCCATTGAGTTTCCTTTGATGCAGAAGATGAGGATGTTACTGTGGAGTCACAGGCAGCTGATTCTCTATTTCTGTCTGCAAGGTAGAGGCCAGTTTTCCTACTCACCACTTTTGTATGCATTTCTGTTACATATACGTACATGTACACAGCTCACAAGTAAATGAAGATAAGGAAATATTATATTTACAGTATATACTGTAGTTCAAAGATGGTAGCCTTGAGTTTTAGAAACATTTAGATTGGTGGATGATTTGGAATAGTGGACGTTTTCTTTGTGACTATGACCCAAGTAACAGTGGTAGTTTATTTAATACTGAGATACAGTAAGCCGTGTCCTTTACATTGACAAACAGGAAAAAGACTGGTTAAACATTTAGAGAAGTAATGATCAAGATCACATTCTTTTTACTTTTGAATGTGGAATGAACCATTTCTTGTTCTTCTTGCCCTAACCAGATTTTTCCGAACAATGCTATTGGCACCTTGAGAGAAATGTTCTAACAGAAAACTTGTTTTGCATCCAGTGTATTCCAGCATCCTCTGTGAAGACTGGAGTATCGATGTTCCCGAAAAGATACCTGCTTTCGAAGGCTCGTGTGTTGTCATACCATGTACATTCAAGTACCCAGAAACACTCAAAAATAAAAAAATTATAAGTATATGGAAAGATAATGAAAATGCAGTGATTTTCCACTCTGACAGTAAGAGTTTGATTGTTAGTGAATTTCAAAATAGAACAGAACTGGTTGGTGAGATTAAGCAGAACAACTGTTCCCTAATGATTGACAGGCTTAAGGAAAGTGACCATGGTCCATTTTACTTCAGAATTGAAATTGAACATCCCAACGACTATAGCTTTATTAAAAACAAAGTCTCAATAGAGATATCAGGTAAGATCGATTTTTTTGTTACGTAATTATATTCTTAGCCGATTGTTTTTTTTTAAATTATGGAACAAAAAAGTGGGTTAGTAAGAGCTGTGTTTTAAAAGCGGCAAATATGATGTATTCAAATTCCTTGAATTTAGATTTGAATACCACGACCGCGTTAGACGTAATGTGAGACAGTTTGCAATGATAAAAAGGAGTTCTTCCTGGAACTTCCTTTTGCTTGACCTCTGATTAGCCTTTTTTGCTGCACACGTTTGCAAACAAATATGAACTTCCACTGTGAGTCATCTGCTGAACTTTCACTCAACTTTCAACCGCTTCATGGAATTTAAACATTCAGCCCCTGTTATGAGGTTGAAAATTGTTTGGCTCTTGACATTACTTGGTGAGATTTATTTTTCTCCTCTCCAAACAACAGTAGAGTAGAAAATTGAAAGCCTGTACTGATCTAATGCCTTTAACATGTCATGTTATCTTTCAGCTTCCCCAAGTCCATCAGTAAATGTATTTGATGATCAGGCCACATGTTCTGCTACCAGCTTTTGTCCAAAATATCCACCCAGTATCACATGGAATAACAAAGGAAACACAGTTGATATTAAAAGGAATGTGAAGAATGTGACAAATGGCCAGTGGGAGTGGAGCTCATCCATTACCCTGAAAAATATCCAGGAGACTGCAAATTGCACAGTTAACTTTAGTGGAAAGTATTTGCATCTGTATTTCAATCCAAGCGACGTGTGTAAGTTAAAATTTCCATTTACTTTAAAGTTGTTTGCCCTTTTTTTGGTGTTTTTTTTTACTAAGGAGCCCATTTCAACTCACAATTTAGTATTTAAATATAGTGAGGGTAAGAATTGTAAAGAATAATTTAATGATTATTAGTGACCCGGCCTGTTCCAGAACTAATTTGATTGTCCTGGAAAATATATTTGGATATTTAAAATTGATGGGGCACTACAGCGAATGACATCTCCCTTGTTTCTGTATGTTTCTGTATCCTGTGTGTTTTACAGCTATTATTTTAGTAACTGTTTGACACCCAAAAAAGATGGTTTGATTTTATCTCCAAACTTATAGTTCAATTAAATAATTAAGAAGGTAAGGGAAAAGATGATGTCCTGCTTTGCGGCCCTTGAGGATTGATGTCTCCCATGTCCAATTACAGTATTTATGTGCTTTACCTTTCATTATACATTTCTACATATCTCAGTGTGTTATGATCAATCCTGGGTGGCACTGTTATGCAGTTGTTAGCATTGCTGCCTTACAGCCCTTAGGCCCTGGGTCAATTTCCTTAGGATGCTATCAGCATGGAGTATGTATGTTAGACTAACAGGCTGATCTGAATCCTTAACAGTATGGTTGGGCAGTTCAAACATTTGTATTAACAATGGCACCTGTTTTGAGTTTTTACTCTCCTGTAATATCTGTTTGTGTCCTCCACTTCATGTTTCAATGTTAATTTGATTCTGACACCCTTGTTTGGTAGCTGCTACTAAAGAGCAATGGTAATAGTTATGAAACTCATGCTAGATGACATTGCTCTTTTTATGCCATTGATAAGTTGCAAAGAATGTTCGGCCTTTCTGTGTTTATTTTTAAAATGCGACATCCCTTACTTCCACTGCCAATTTAGTTTCCCAGTTAAAATCTCTAAAACTCTGCTAATAACGAAACAAGGTGAGCAACTTCTGAGTTCTCATACAAGCGCTGTGTAAGCCTTATCAACACCTCAAAATCACAGTTTTCAGGGCCAGTATGGCCCACATTTCTGACATGCAGCTTGTAAACTGACATACTACGAATACACAGTATATACAGTAGTCATTTCCACTTATTCTTATTTAGATCCCAATTTCTTATTATTTAAGTCCCAACACTATTCTTTCCTACAAAACAATTACATTGTAAACCATAACCACTACTAGGATGTTTTTAAACACTTATGGTTAATTGTGCTAAAAAACATATCCCATACTCAGAAGGTAATGAGTTAGTTGTACTAAACTGGCATTTAATTTAGACACCAAGACTGTTAATACTAACTGCATTTAAAGGGAGGTATTTTAATTTAAAGTAAAACAACGACATGCATGACAATATTTTGATTGATGGTGTGCATGGAGTACATTTACAGTTAGTCAGATCTGTTCCCTCCACCATAGCAAATCAGTTTGACACCCCTGTTTTAGAATTTTATTGATAAATAGAAAGTCTCCTAATTCACCTCTAATTATTTTTTCCATAACTTTGCGCGTAATAGCAAGAAGACCCATTGATCTATACAGCAAAAACATGTTTCAGTTTTGCCAGTCTTTATTTGCATTACATTAACAATTTTAGATAATTTATAATGACAGTTCAGTAGGGATAACAACAGCCAAGGTCAATCAGACTCAGCTGCCATTAATTCCTAATCACTGCTGATGTCATTTCTTCTCCTAAAAGGATAAATACTGTACATTAGCCCCTTCTCTCCCTCACACGCATCTTTTTGCATCCCACCTCCACCTCGGCAGCTATCGCTTGGTCACTCCTCTCTCTGCAGGTGGGTCCCAGCTTCGTTGTCCTGTGGCCAGGAGGTTAGCCCTTAGCCAAGCTGACTTAAACACTCCATAATCCTTTCAGTATGCTTAATCCTTGATCCTAGTGAACCAGTACATACTGTAGGTTCTGACAGACCGCTGGAGCAGTTTTGTTCACCCTTTACCTTCTCTGAATTTGTGATTTAGAAAGTTTCCAGGTTGACTATTCTTTACTTTTCCTTTAACATGGAGCCATTCTGTCTATTTCAGTGAAGCCAGAGATTCTGGAGAAATCAGAGTGTGAAGTCAATGGAACAGGAGTATCTTGCCATTGCATTGTGAAATCCGAACGTGATGTTAACATCATTTGGTACCTTATTAACGAAACCCGGGCCAGTGACAGCTCTGAGGTCCAGAACTCAGTGACTACAGCCACCCTACACTTAGACAGCATCCCAAAGAAGGTGTCCTGTGTTGCTAACAACACATATGGCAAAGTAATCAAAGACCTTTTGCTGTCCAATAAAGGTTAGTACTACTAAAATCGGATCATAAGGTTACATCTATGAGTTCTGATACAACATTTCTAATGTTTTAATGTTGAAGAAAAATGTATATTTACAGGAACAAATTTGAAATTGTAATCCAAAATATGATTTATAATCTTATTCAATGCTTGCAGACTACACCATGGATGGTGTAGAGGTGAAAAACACTTGCCTTAAGCGCAGATTGAGACAAATTTTAATTCACAGATGACTAGTGTGAATACAGAACTGGTCTTCATAATACAACTTATAACATGATCAATTTATGTACACAACACTGTAAACCAGAGAAAAAATCATGTTTAACTTTAAGCTGAATAGATGTCAGCAGTTCTTGTCAAATTGTGTGCAGACACTGACAGGCTTCAGGTTCATAACGTCTAAATTACAGAATAAAGACAGTAATGTTTGAGCCAAATGCTCCTAGAGATGAATATAGAAAAGTATTTGTTTTCTTTGACAATCAGGAGTCCCCCAGTCCCAATCTTTCACACTGCCACACTGCTTTAGCAGGGCTCACCTTCCATTCTCCACAGTCAGACCAATGTATATCAGGTGTAGGTGCAACTAAAAGACATTGTGTCCTGATCCACTTAAATGGCCTACTTGATTTTTCAATACAGATTTCCTTCTTTACATCTACATTGCTGTCCCCATTGCTGTACTTCTCCTAATCCTTCTGATTGTCGGAGCACTGAAGCTAACACACAGGAGAAAGAGGTAAGTCAAACAGGATCAAGTTATGAAGTCTTGAGATCATAAGCAGGCTTTTTATACTCAAAAAATAATTATTTGGTTGCAGGCGGTAGGCTTTCAAGGCAAGTGCTTAGATTACTGAATAAACAAAAGAGTACAGATAAGGGGCGATTGTTCCAACTGGGGTAATATACTTAATGAAGTAGCACTAGTATCTATAGGTGCTAGTACTGTTGTATACCAGTAAAGTTGGCAGGTTATAGGTTATAGGTGCGAGTAAGATGGCATTCATGTATTCAAAGATGGCAATACTGTTGGATTCAAATTGGTTGCAAAGATTTCAGGACCTTGAGGAATAGGGTGCATGCCACCAGCTCCTCAAGCTCCTTTTGGGCATGCTAAAGGCCCGATGTTATACAATAGTTGATTCTAATATTTTGCAAAGTGGGTGCATTTGAATGGTCGGAGATATGAATAGCTCTCAAGAATGGCTGCTTTTTCATGCTTTTCATCAGTCAAATGCGCAGTGGATTATTATCCCATGTCTTTGTTTGCAGTGCAATGATTGGTGAAGCAGTTAATGGTTGTAACATATCCAAAAATCAGCCTTCTTCATCAGACTACTCTTCGGCCAAGAAGTAAGAGCCACCCTTCTGTGTAATGTGAACTGTGCGATGTGATCACTTTCTAAACAAAATGTGACAGTTTACCACAACATTAGCTTGATTATTTTACAGTCTTTCTAACACTTTAGAATCAGAACCCCAGTTAAAATGATTTGTTTGTCTATTAAGGACAGGTATTTCCTAGCATACTTAGCAAAAGTTGTGTTTAGAAATCTCAGCAGTAATTCCATACATGCCATTCAGATATCTCCTTTTCTAAAAATATCTTCTTATTAGGCTTAAATTATATACTGTATACCTTGAGATTGCCTCACATACTTTCTAACACGTACTCATAATGCAGTGTTGCACTCTATGCTTCACACATCATTTTCAATGTTTCCTAAGTCTGTTCTCCACATTCTCAACCACGATGATGTTTTATCATATATATTGTATATTTTATACAACTTCAATCTAGAATCCTTGTCAGATAGAAACATTTCTTGGAATTTTCGAAGGACTCGTTAAATAATTTTCCTGCAGGAGTTATGGCAATTATTATTACTACTTTTCTTTCTGATCATCAGAGTTAAGAATTTTGCTTTTTTAACAGATTCGTTTGGAATATGAATATTTAAATGAAAAAGCAATGTACATTTTTTCCTCTTGTATGACTCACTTTAACATCCCTCCCAACCTCAATCTACTTGTTTTTTCTAATGAAGTAGACAGAAAATGGACCTTCATAAGAATGAGGAACCCACATACATAAACATTCAGGTATGTACAAACTTTTACACAATTTAATAATCTCTTTAATAATAGTGTTGTGGCAATTGTCATTGATGGTTACTGTACATTGTTGTGTGCGGTTCAAATAACATTTAGCATAAGGTTTTAATCTGCTGGCATTTAGTTTTTAATTTGCACCTCACAAATGTATATAGATTAAGAATGTAATAATGTAATAAGGAACAGAACTGTGTTTTGGTGAGACATCATATCCTTTCCTTCAGTTTATATCATCCTCATTCCTCAACGCACTACTACAATGGCTTTGCATACAGTACTTAGTTCCTCAATCAAAAATCTATATAATACACATCAAATGGATTATATACTGTAGGTACTGTAACTTCAAGATTTTTAACATGAGCAGAGAAGGGTAAATGTCTCTAGCTTGAAGGAAAGGCTACCTGCATAGTAACTGGAGCTAATTACCAGAAATAGACCATTTCAGACTAATTTGAAAGAAATTCCCCTTGCTACCTTGTTTTCTTAAAGTTACGGCCCACTAAGCACATCTCGTGGTCAACCAGTAGTGATACTGCTGCCAAAGACTTCAACTAGAGCTTAGATCTGCTCTTACTAATCTAATATTAGCGAAGGCTCTTCCTAGAATCTTCCAAGAATTGCTGGTTTTGGCTGTCCTCATTCACCTACTGTATCTAGCTTGCTCCAGCAAACTTATTCCATCATGCAATTTCTGAATACTTTAGATATTCTTTTCCTAATTTGTATTACAGGCTAGACCAGAGGTAACCAAATGTGAAGGCCCTGAAACAGATGATGTTTATGAAAACGTGGAGGTTATTCTGAGTCACTCTGGTTGTGAACTAAAACGCAGCTCCAAGCTTTGAATCCCCTGTGTCCGTCTGCAGAAGGATGTGGAAAGCTATCAGAGCTGGTTCCCGCCTGAAGGTTTAGTAGCAACAGTAACAACGAAGCAGCTTTTTCCATTTTGCCATTATTTGTTTAAAATTCAAGGCTGGTGCAGTTTATACATCTGCCAAACAAGAAGGAAAGGAAAGGAATACAGTCTAAGAAGGAATTTGTTTTTCAAAATATTCTGCAAAGCTCAGTGACCTCATTAACTCATTGAAGGAATTTGTTTCTGCTGACATACAGTATGATCAGCTGTACCTTTACAAACACAAGAGGAAAAAAAGAAGAAACTTTATGAAAAAGTCAACTCCTACATGGATCACAACTTCCTATATGGAGGAATGGCACCACTGATAAAGGGATTTCGTTTGACAGATAGATTCATTCCTACAGTCCAGTCAGGCTGGTTGAAGACTGAGATGGCAATAGCTGATTGTGACAGAATTTGTTCCCAAGTGGTTGGATGTGATCAATCTATTTCTCCAGCGGAAAAATGTATCACTTTGCTTTGGTTAGAATAGTGGGAGATCATTGCCATTAAACAACAGTGACCAGTTTTTATATTGTTCTAATTTAGGGTTCCTAATTTCCTGCTGCACCATTTGCTACAGTATCTTCAGATTAACTAATGGCACTTAATTCAGAACAAATAATGATACAACAGATGTCAACAATCCCAGTGCACAGCTTTATTCAATGTATAAAAAATCCCACCAAAGATGTAATCCAGTGGAATATGGCTTTAATGCCAATTTTAACACTCTAATGCACAGTCATTACCATCATTTTCGTTTAGCTAATGAAGCGAATGGAAGTCATTTGGAATGCACAGTTCTAGGAACATTATAGATCTGGCAAAAACAATTACTTTTTCCAGTCTGCTGGGCTTCAGATGATCAAGTTAGGTTCTAAAACGAAACAATCGACATAGAGATGTCCTAAAAAATAGCTCATGTTTTTTTTATATTTCAAAAAACGACGTCATTTCACTATTTTAAATTAAAATCTATTCAGATTATGTGCTGTATTTTTAATGTATATCAAACTTGTTGAGCTTTTTGAACATGAAGGATCTTAAAAAAGTTGCTTATTTTGCTTCATAAAAATAATACTGCCAGTTCATTGTGCTTCCATTTTACATCAGTGGTTGTGCAACTTATTTTCAGGAAATCAACTGTACACTGGATAGTTTGAGAGTTTTTTTCTACTGAGGCAACAGCTGTTGAATCTATGATATCTAAGCCCTGTGTATGTATCATTTTAAAACCCATTTATGTCTTGTATTAAGATTACAATTCATAAACCCCTCACAATCTGTAACATTATACAAGTGCTTTTTTTGAGGAGTCTCACTGCTCCTGAGCCCTGGCTTCATTTGTAGATTGTGAAAGGATATTTCGTAATTGGCAAACTGCCCCTGGGTTTTTAATTGTATCTTGGTCATGTGATGATTTGGAAACAAATTCAAATTGTATCGCCATCTAGTGTCCTGAATCTGCCCCCCCAAAAAAATGTAATTGCAAAGAATAATCGACAATCTTCTCTTATTAATAAAGGTAAAAGACAATAAGAATGACCTGAACTTGCAATAATTTACAGGATAGTCTTAAATTTATAGGATAAGAGGTAGAAAAATAGCCTGTCTTTAGACATATGACATAATGTGAGAACAAATCTGGTTAGTTGCAGTGGCCAGACGTTGATGCACAGCTAGAGGTAACACAGATACACAGTCACCTTGGGATATCCCAGCTACAGATACATTTTGGACAAGGGATTTTTGTTTAATCAGTCCACGCTGTGTGAAGTTCTCTGTCTGCTGTGTTCTGTACTGTATGTGGAGTTTTTGAGTACATAAAAATTGTGTGAGGAAAGCTCAAAGCGGAGGTTTGTAAAAGGCTCCTATGGTTTTCAATCCTTCATTACAGAGCATAGGAAGTGAATATGGCAGACCATCGGATTTCAGAAATGTTTTTTTATTATTTATAAGCTGAATAAGACTGAATAAGGAGTTATTGAGAAGCTTTGAAGAATGTGATTGATTCATTTGCAGAATTAATACAAGGTACTGTAGAAGTTTTGGGGGGGATTTTCTGAAAAAGATATGAATGTGTGTTTAATCTCTACAGAATAGTGTTTAAGATTTTGAACTTCTGAAAATGAACTTTTTCTTTACTATTTATTATTGATGGCCAGTTTTATGCAACTTTTGTACATGATGTTACCGCATTCTAGATATATACTGTATGCATTATATTTTGATTGAAAATTGAATATGCATTGTGTTTTCCCCAGCTGGTTCAAATGAAGAATCAGGCAGTTTATTCTGTTACTGTGGCTTATATGGAATCTTATCTGTTTTCCTGTTGCTCTTGATTGTAATTGAATCAACACTTGATTCAATTAAAAATGTTAAGCTGTCAGGTCAGGAAACAGCCAAAATCCAAAAGTCAGGCAATTAGTCCATGGAAAATTCAGCAAAGGCTAGATCAGGAGCTCAGAGTGTTGAAAACAATACTGAGCACAGCTTGAACAAACAGCAGGGTTTAAGTAGGTTTGGAGAGGGGAGGCGTGGTGATGTAGGGACACTGGGCAAGCAGAGTTTGGCTACTTCTGTCTGCTTGATCTGCGCCTCTGCTGAACAGATAAAGTCGGCACTAGAGGTTTGGGTGCCCTCTAGTGGCAGGATGCTGGGACTGTAACATCAAATCAAGAATTTTGAGTGATTTGTCACGAATAGACTTATGAAACTACAGTATGTTGCTTTAGTCTTGAACATGACTGAACACTTATGATGTTTTTGCTCAGGTATTTGAAGCCATAACAATTATTACCAATATTTTCTGTATTAGCCACTCAATGGTGTCCAGATGTGACAGGTATGAGCACAGTACAAAGATGCTGTTGTGTAATCTCAGATGGGTGCCTATCCACCTTTGGTCATTCTAAACATTCAAAAGGCTTGTGATTGGAGCCTGTGTAGCTCAACTGTCATAGTTGGTGACTTGCCAATCGAAACTATTGCAGCTGCTGTTAACCAGCCTAAGCCTCATTTTCAAACTCTTTCAAAGAGCCAGTAATTCAGCTGTCAGGAAATGTGGTAAGTATCCACACTTACTTCAGTTTCGTTAATTGTAGTTTGCTGTGTTATTTGTTGATAACTTGGTATTTATCATTGTGGGGTGAATAAAACAGAAATATGTTCAAAGAGATATTAAGGGTCTTTGAAATGTTTTTATATCCTTCCCCTGATCTGTTTATACAGTACTTCACGCCTTTTGAAAGCTCTTTGGTCAATACGGTTGAATCCTTGCTTGAAATTCACTAACTCGAGGCAGACACTTACAGAGACAGATGTATTTATTCTGAAATTGTGTGGCTTGTTAAGGAAATGTTGTGCACCTAAATTATTTTTTTCTTAAATCCATAAGTTTGAATACTTTTGCAGTTTTGTCTTTTCCATTTTATGTCATATTAATGAACTATTTGCTTCTTTTTCGAGTGTGTGAAATAAGTTGGGTGTATTACATAGAGTAAATGTCATCTTCCAGCTTTTTACCTCGTCTTGAAATGTGTATTATTAAATTCCTTTGGAGTTTCCAGAGTATTGGCTAACCCTGATATTTTGGTATCATCAGAAAACTAGAACAGTTTACTAATTAGGCCAGAATCAAAGTCATTGATATATATCTTAAATTAGGAAGAGCAGAGGTCTTTGTAGTACTGCAGAGCCCTTTGCCGTTCCATTAGTGTACTGTATTACTCTAAGAAGTTACTTAGGCAAGATAAGGCCTTCTAAAACTTCTGAAGGAATCTATGCCTTGTTATGTAATAACAATGAAGTCTTTAAGAATGAAGTCTTTTATTATTTTGCACATTCCTGGTTTGTCAAGGTCCTTTGTATAGAGATGTAGTTCATGTATTCCACGCTAAGATTCAGCAATATGAAGGGAACAGGCATTTTGGTTGATTTTTTCCTTTATTTCTTTATTTTTTCTGGTTTATCTTTGTCCTTTATTACACCTTATAAAGTAACAATCTGTTATTGATCAATAATGAAAATGTGTGGGGTTGTTCGTGGCATTCTGTTTCTTTCTCGAAATAAAAGCCTGTTGCTCTGTCTGCAAAGGCAAGTGGGAAACGGGCAGCTAACTTGTTAACTTTGTCTGTCCTCCTTTCTTTATTGGAATAAAGAAATCACCATTTGTTTCATCAGAACTGCGTTTGGGTATATAGTATTTGTGGAGTGTTACACAATTCAATATACCCCTTTACTTTTAATGTATCCTCTTCTTTTTTAATCATTCTAAATAGAGTCACCAATCCATTACTGGGTTATTTTTTCACTCCAATTTAGTGAGGCATGGGAGAAATCTGTTCTATGCTCAAAGCCGTATATTTTAAAAAAGATGCAATCCTTTACTGATTCCATATTTATCCTTATCATATTGCACATCTCATAAACTTTCATTCTTTTTATAACAACCTACAAAAAAAGAAAGCTGGTAGGTACTGTATATTAAAGCTGTGTTAACTATAAAAAGCTGTGGTTTGTGTTATAAGTTGGGCTGGGAGGGACCTCTGTGTTTTGCAAGCTGCAAAGTGCAAGCTGTGTCAAAGATGAGAGCCCTGTTAATTCTAATGTCAAGATACAGTAGGGTTCTGAACTCTGGTTTCTGAACAAATGGGGTTTCATATAATATGCAAGCCTGGACCAGATGAGATGAAGTACTGTAAATGACAGTACACTAACATTAGGCTTTGTGACTCTCTCTCTCTCTCTCTCTCTCTATAAGGTTAAAATAAGGCGTTGAATTAGAAAGAAGAATCGAAAGTGAAGATTGCCACTTTTATTATTAGGAAGTTGAAATTCCAAACACTGAAGGAACAACAGCAAAAAAAAACCAACAACAATAATAACTTCTATATAGTTTGATTGTGTTCTACTCTTTGTCAAAGCACTAAATTTTTTGCACTTGTTAGATACTCACTTACCTTCTGTTCACACTGTATGACCGCAGCACTACTGGGTGAGCTTGGCTACCAGTGGAAGGACTGATCTTATCAATAAGAGAGTAATCTTAAATTCACAGATTACAGAAACCTAATCAGGCTCATCAAGGCTGTGAAGATACTATACTGTGACCTTTTCATGTACAAAAAATGTTATCCCTTATATTTTAGTCACTAATGATAAAGAACATACTGAAGGTATTCAGCCTGACCCTGAGTGGAGAGTCAGGCCAGTAAGGAGATCCAGTGGAGGGAGAAACTACTACTGCAGATTAATAATACTTGCAATGAAACAGACAAGCCCCAGCATCTATATTAGTTCCAGTCTATTCGTATTGACACACATCACATGTAAGGAATTGTATTGATCTATACAGAATTGATTATCTATACAGATAACCAAAAGATACTACAGACAGGTTGATTATCTGTTTAGATTCATAGAGAACATATACCTGTTATGTCTTTGATCCAACAGGGAAAAGAACGTTTTTGTTAACATTAACCCAGTGGCCTAGTGAACGTCATTGTAGTGACACTGTATCTGATTTCCCACCCACCTTCCATTTCTTTTCATGCATTTGAAAAACTTCACCAAAACATGCACAGGAAAAGGGAGCCTCACACTATTTTCTGTTTTTTATGTCTGCCAACACTTTAAGACATTCTAACATAGTTTAATTTCCTCATGAATTGCTAGAAAGTGATATAGCTGAGACAGCCAAATCTTAGCAGGGTCTGGTAGTATGATACATACTTCACTTGTCAATGATCACCTCTTCATACTTCACAGTAAGACTTAAGTGTTTTTGTACCTTTCTCCTTAACTGTGCTATCCTAACCTTCGTTTTTAAAGGCCCATGGTCCTCATGTTTAAATTTCGAAATTCACTGCATGACCGAGGACCCTTACAGCAATATTATGAATTTATTCTGAATTTTGAATCATGAAAATTGCTCATATATCACAAAGACAGTTTTAAGTCAACTAATTGCATGGCTTATTAAGGTAAATGTGTGCCCCTAAATTATTGTATTTATTATTTACTCTGTGTGTGTATGTCTGTGTTTGTGTCTTTCAGTATTTCTTACTATAGAATATTGTTGTGGCAAACTCCAGACCTATTGGAAAATATAGCATGGATATAAATCTACAAACTGTGAAACAGTGAAAATGAGTTCTGCTCACTTACTTTTTTATTCATGTACTGTACTTTTAGATGATCCTGAGCTATCAATAGACAGATATGGTATTTTATTTTAATATATGTAAAATGTTAGGGGCCAAGCTTTTAAGTTCTATTTCAAAATCTGTAACAATTTATGGACTTTCTAAAAAAAAAAACATTGCACCTTATGCTAGTCTAAAAGGAATAATATACATTATATGTGTGTGGCTGTCCTTCTTATAAATGTCAATGACATACAGTACAATATACTGTTCAGTAAATGCAAATATTTTACTTTTTTTCTATGACAAACAGTGCTACACTATAAACCACAGGAAGCCCCTTCCACTGTTTGACCAACTTCTGAAAACAACCTGTGCCATTTTAAGCAGATGATACAATATGAAAACATCAGAAGACTGGGCAACAATAAAAGTGAGTATGCTTATGTTATACCTAAAATATTAATTGGCGGAAATACCTGAAAGGGTTTCATTAAGAAGTGTTACATGAAAATTAGAATTTCTTGTTAGATCCAGAAGTGTTTGAAAGCAATTCAAAAAGGAACTGTTCTGCTGTCTTTGCCCTGATGAAGACTTTGCCCTGATCTAGAAGTAATTTTTTAAAACTCTTCCTGATTTTATAAACTGCAAATCATGAGTCTGAATCATGTAGAGCTGAACTATGACAATAGCATGGAGAGTAAAGAGTAAAGTATTTCTTGCCATTTCTGCCTTAGCACATGATTAATTATAATCTATCAACCTGACAAGTTAACTGTTCGCAGATCTGCCTAGTCTCTGAGTTTCACAAAGAATATCCAACACCTTCAATAGCCTTTATATGCTGTTATTGTACTTTGCATGAACATGCTAGTTTGGGAATGAGTGTTCTGTGTAGGATTACATATTAACATTAACATTACATATTAAATCGAAGAAATTCTTGAAATCTCTTCACAAAAAAAAAGGAAAATGTATTCACTGGTAATTGAAAACAACAATTACTTGTATAATATTCTGAAAAAAGCACTTTTACATGTAAATTATAGCCATTTGTGGTTGCTCTCAAACTATTAAGTTTCTTAAATGCTCTAGAGACACATACATTTTGGACATTGTCTTATTTGATGTACTGTACTTCTGTAGTGTAGTAATTGTACTTTCAATTCTGGGGCTGTGGGGTGGCTCTTTGGCTAAGGCTCTGCGCCTGTGGCTAGAAGGTTGCTGGTTTGTATCCCCTGGCAGAAGAATCCTACTCCGTTGGGCCCCTGAGCAAGACCCTTAACCCAAACTGCTCCAAGGATGCTGTATAAATGGCTGACCCTGTGCTCTGATCCTAACCTTCTCTCCCTGTCTGTGTGTCTCATGGAGAGCTGCGGTATGCAAAAAGACAAATTCCTAATACAAGAAATTGAATATGGCCAATAAAGTGATCTTATGTTATACTCAATGTTTTAAGGTCTTTTGAAAGCACAGGAAACTCTTGCAGATGCTTTGTTTGTTAAGGCAGAGGAAGTTTGATATAATTAGCACTTGTCTTCACATACTCAGTCCTTTTCACACTCGCTGGCCAGAGCTAAGTTTAAAAACGATCTTTTGCTTAAACAAAGTCCACCGGAGAGAGAGATGTTAGTTTTCATATTGAGGGACAGGAATAATTGACTAAAAATAATCTACACAAAAACATGACTCCTCACAACTCCCAAAAATCATCTGAAATTAGTTTTCACACGGTAATCATTTAAAATCAGTAAATTACAAAATAGTTCTTCACTCCTGGTGTCATGCTACAGACCGTTTTGCCTTATTTGTATCAGGAACAGTGGTCGCAGGTGACAAGAGGCACAGAACAGTACTTTGTGAACCTTAAGATGATTTACATTTAACACAGTACACAGTAGTGTTTTTGAATCTGATACCCTGGAAGGAATGTCTTCAACCCCATGAGATTGCTGGATGAATTAGCGATCAGCAACTCCACAAGATGCACTCCACAAACAGCTCCCCCTCTCATTTGTAACTTCTTGCCATCTTTTGTAAACTAAATGAGTTTTGAGAATACAATTGAAGGCTG